CTGGGTGGGCCTATGCTTATTTGCAAACAATAGCTAATTAACCAACAATCAAAAGTAAACACCTAGCTAATCAAATCAAATGCCTTACTAATTACCAACAGGAAATCAAACCTCTAGAAGGGCATGCATTCTCCGCTCAGGTATTTTAAGTCCCCTGGCATTGACTGAGCGTACCTCTAACTGTGTCTTAAGTAGAGTATATTGTATGCAGTTCTATAAATGCCATAAGAATTCCTATCACCCGGTACAAAGTAAATAATAAAAAGAAAAACACAAAGAAACCATGGCCAAAAAAGGCCTAAACTGATTATTTACAAACAATAACATAATGAGCATGCTTATCTGGTGTAAGATAGTGTTGAATAGAAACAGCAGTAACTCGATTGTTCGGGGGCATGAGTAGAGCAATCTAAGATGAGAGAAAACAGCGATCATAGTCTCCACGTAGTTTAAATGCAGAGATGCAATGTGACTATATATATATATATATAAAATAAAGTATGCTAATGTTACTCCAACCCACTATAGGACAGGAGAACATAAACAGGTACCCTATTAACACTGTTACTCAGATGTCCCTTCCTTCCTTGATTAAATTAGGGAGTCCTCTGAAGCCCTCCTTTTGAGCCCCATAACCCCTTCATCAGGAAAGAGGCTTGAGTCCAGTAGGGGGCCTTAGGGCACATCCAGTCCAATATTGTCCCAAGATGTTCCATGGAATGTCATTGGGCATCTCAGCATACAGTTTCCAATAAAAATTCCCTCAGTGGGCAACAAATTATCATAGGCGGTCGTGGGGTACTTATTGTGACAGCAAGATTCAACGCATGTCGCAAAGTAAGTCAAGGCAGCAGGCTTGTGCTAGATATAGTACCCATAAGTTGGGATGGAGTAGAACTAATAAATTAGTAATTTACCTGTAAATCAGTACGGGGAGTGTGATATTGTTCTGGAGGAGCTTGAGTCCTACTTCCGTTTATGCGACACTGTGGTCCACCGCTGACTCTGTGGAAGTCTAGTAGGGGCTGAGAGGTCTACATGCCATGCCAGAATCTCTGGAACCTATAGTTGGAGTTGTGTAGCAATATCCCGTATATCTTCCAGACATGTAACAGTGTAACTTCTGTACCTTCACACATTTCTGTGAGGCTAAGTGGAAAACCCCATCTATATATAAGCTCTTTAGCGGACAGTGCTTCGGTGAGAGGTTTCAACTGTCTCCTCGCTTGTAACGTAGACCAGGCAAGATCCTGAAAAATGGCAATAGGCTGGTTATTGTACATCAGTGGCGGTCCTGCTCGGGCCTTTCTTAATAGATCTTCCTTGAAGGCAAAGTAATGCAGCCTGCAAACAATATCACGTGGTGTATCTTTAGCAACATGATATTTTCAGGGCCTTCCTTTTCTGGCACACCTTTTATTCTGATATTACGTCGACCCCTATTATCAAGAACTTCCACATACCTGTGGAGTCGTGACATTTGATGTTGTTGAGGTGTGACCTGTGGTCTTAATTGAAGCACTTGAAGGGTTGTGTCTCTTTCCACCTCCAAATCAGATATTCCCCTTTCCAGCTTACCCAATTCTCCTTTAATGGAAGTGACATCGCGGTGTATTTTTGCTTCCAAATCTCTGAGCATACCAGTGATATCCGCTTGTGTGGGTCATAAGTGTAATATTGAGCGGAGGTCAGTGATCGCTTCACCTTCCCGAGCTTCCTTGTTATGGCTAGTGTCTGGGTCATCCGCCGCTGCCACAAGATCCCCCGCCGCCATCTTACCGCTTTGCGTTGGGCCCAATATTTCAGTCAGATATCACTTCATCTGAGCCTGGGCACTCATCTAGTAGTCTGTCTGTGTTGCTGGGTTATCAGCATTTTTGGGAGCCATTTTGCTAGGCATTCACATTGTCAGAACGTCTCTTAAAATAGTAGCTTACTGCCTCTTACGCCTGAGTGGTCGTCTCAAGCAGCCATCTCAGAGTTCGATCGGTCACCCCCCCTCCTGCTGTCTACAAAAAGAACATGTAATACTTGGTGATATATTTCAGAGGCATCCATTGCCCAATATTAGGGACTACCCGACTTCATGAACCCTTACTTTTCTTGACAATTTTCATCATCATAGATTGACACATTATTTACAATCCTTATGTGGAAAAAGGGGGACAACCCAACCATTAACACATTTTGAACAAATCTGCCACACATGCACATCACTGAAACACGGGCTTTTTTATATGTATAAATAATTAAATAACACTAGATATTCTGATCAACCAAAATTCACGGAGAAATGGGAATCTGATCTTAATATTAATCTAATTAATCAACAATGGCAAAAAATATTTATCTTAACTCACTCCCCAACAACATGCTTCCAAGAGGCAGGATATAAATTTCTTACCTGGTGGAATCACACACCGGCGAAATTGCATACTTGGAACCCTTAGATTTTGGATACATGCTGGAGTGGTGGAATAGATATCGGTACTCTTTTGCATATCTAATGGTATTGCCCCCTGATACAAATCTTCTGGGAGATGGTATTGCCAGTGATACGTACGATCTTTGGCTTGCCCATCTTCTCGAACCATGAGGAAATATTATTGTTACACTCCACCATACCACTTAGGAAACTACAAAGGACCTGTTTGCCAATTCTATTATTATCAGCCAAAAAGTTGATACCCTTGAACTGGAAGACCACTCATTCCCCCTCCATGGCTGAATGGATAGATAGAGTAGAGGACATAAAGACAATGGAGAAGTTAACTGCATATGCTTCCAACAAATACCCACAATTTACCATTTTGTGTCAGCCATGGGTGAAGTATAGATCAGAGGATGGGGGGGAGAATAGGTGACTGATTATTATAGAAAGCCAAACCCTGGCTGAATGGACAGATAGAGTAGAGAACATAAAGATAATTTAGGAGTTGACAGCATATGCTTCCAACAAATACCCCCAATTTACCATTTTGTGGCAGCCATGGGTCAGTGGATGAGGGGATAGACGACTGATTATTATAGAAACAGATTATTGCCGCATACTCTACTGAATATGAGGCAATAACAAGGTTTACACAGAGTAATGTAAATATATGAGAACGTTTAAAATGCCTATTATGGTTATAATATTGAAATATTTTGTCCTTTCACCCAGTCACTTGTATCTGTATATATTTAATGTTGGTTCGTCCAGAATACGATTGTGTTCTGATCATATAGAGACCTAATGTATAATTTTCATTTAATTTTGATATAATTACTTACAAAGATTGGTTTACTTATCCAATGTATATCTTGATTATTATACTAATGTACCATCAGTTTATTGCAATACAAAAACCATAATAACCCCATCCCTTCCCCCCTCCCCCCTCCAAAAAAACCTGTTCTGTTTTCCTTCTAAGAAAAAAAAGCAGTGAAATAATTTAGCAAGTAGTTTGATGTGTTTTTCAGTTAATTGCATTGGCACTTTGAGATAAATTAGTTGGATTTGTGTTTCAGTTTGGACTGGGTCATAAAAACCATTTGCCACCGCTGTCTAACAGGACATGATGACCAGCAGGGCCTTAGGGAATTATTTTTTTTTTAGAAATCAGTAAACTGTGTAGCTTCCTGCAGAAACTGCACAGCCCTGTGATTTACATTGAATACAAGGGGTATGAATTTTAGGACATTTTTGTTTAATTTTAATGTTAATGCATTTTTTGTATGAGATGATGCGTGAAAAAGAAAGAAAAATGGGTAAAATGTAGCTGACAATGTCCCTGTGAGCTTAATTTTGAATTGTTTAATGTGGGGCCTTGCTTTATATCCTGGCTAGTCACTCTTCTTTCAGTGAGATGAAGACAAAAGATTTTGGCCGACAGAGATGTTCCTTTAATTGAATACACAAGCTGAAATGTAGAAGGAGGGGTTTTTACACAGCTCTTCTGCAGTAAGAGATCATGGTGAGGCCTGTTCAGGGTATCTAAAGGCTGACAGTTTGCAATGTAATCCTTTTATATTGCATTTTGTGATGCACAATGCAGATGCATCAATTTCTCTCTATCAAAATGCATTACTGCCAGTGTAAAGAACATAGAATATCTATTTATTCTGTGACTGCAAATGTAAGAAAAACAAACTAGGGGATTCTGGGTATACACAGTGGAGAGGACTGGGGGCAGGGCAGGAGGGAGATGCTGTTGCCACAGCCTGGTGTAGCCTTGCAGTGTTGTACAGGTAGGCAAAATACATCTATTTAACTCTAATATTGTAAATTGCCATCCAAACATGGACATCTGGTTTGATATCACGTTTTCATGGCAGGATAACCTCCACAGACATAAGCACTACATTTAATGATTGCATATTTGTATCCCCCATGTTTTTATTGAAGAGAAACATTTTACTGTATCTTGTCACTATAGAACATTTCTGTAACATTAAATTGCACATTACAACACATTTTAGGATCTAGTTGAAAGGTAAGGATTGACCTCAATATAGTTCTCTCAAAAATACTTAGTCCAAAAAAAAAAAAAGCAAAATAAATTTTTTGCACAAACAAAACTAGAGGCATATCCTTGGAAATCAGGGATAATAAAATTGAATTCCCTGTTTATATTTGGTATTGCACATATAAAGCTCAATTTTTTTTATTTTTTTTTTACAATTTCTGGTAAAGTGCAAACAAGATGGTGTGGTTGTGAATTTTCACATATTCACTGCATAATTGAGAAATATTAGGCCAATTTAGCAAAACTGCATATGTTTCTTGTCCCACATTCTTGTCAATTAATCAAAGATCACCGTTTAGCTAATATGCCCCTTATGTTATTGCTTCTATACAACCTCTGCTTAATGCACTGTCATGCACAACACACATTGCTGGCAAGCTCAGCTTCTTGTCGGAGTGCACATGTTAAAGTATACTGTATGTTGCTGAAAATGCCAGCAACATAGATTAAATGATACTGATACACTTGGTACCTAAAGATTGTTTCTCCTTCATCCAGCATAGACCCAGCAGCAAACACTAACTAACCTGTCCCTCCCTCAAGAAATACAGCCAGCATCAAACGAGGGACCGACGCAGGTGGACAGCAATTTGTCATAAAACTTACAATTGTAGCAGTAAGTATAAATAAAGAAATCTTAAATGACTATCTATCCATTTTCCTATAGATGAAATTAGTTATAGGCATTGCACGTTGAAAAGGAGTGTGTATACCCAAAACATCTGTGTTTTAGTCCTTCATTACATTTAGCACTAAGAATTCTGATTGTGCTTGTCCAATTTGCTTTATAGTTGAGATTTCTATATCTACCATTAAATGAGCCATGGTGGTTTGATGAATTAGCCGCACACACGTTAACCTGCTTTGTTCATTTTGTAAACTGGCTATTTCTAGATATATATATTTTTTTATACTGCGGTATATTTTTCCTCTTTTTTTTTTTTTGGGACATATTTTGTTGAAAATAATTATGGCATTAAAACAGGAGCCGTAAGTGTAATATACAGTTGCACTCTAAACCGTTTTGGTTTGCCAGATAGTCAGTGTACTTTGTACCATGGATGTAAGTCGGTTTTTCAGGTTAGACGTTAATTTAAGACAGCTAATATAAAATATGTATATAAAAAATCATGCCTTCTCATTAGTTAAATCTACACAACCTTGACGCATGCATTTTCATAGATGTCGCTAAATCAAATTGTGGTTTGACAGCTATTTCTTTAACTATATACCTTAAACAACTAACCAGTTTTATGTCTGAGAATCCTTATGTTTTTATACATTTAGAAAGTTCAGTGACTAAAAAAAACATCTTCGGAAATGCGACACTTTTAACATTTTATATACTAACACTACTATTTGAATAGGATATATATAGCCTTTCATTTCCGCTATATCTGAATGTACCTTTCCTGGTTAAATACTTTGTTATTATTATTATTATTATTATATGTGTGACATTTTTTTATTTTTCAGTGGGAATTTAGGTATCATTTTGGTTTGTCATGACAGATTTATAAAATGTCACTCACTTTTGTGACATAGACAGATACAGTCAAATTTAGCAACAAAGGACGTTTTGATTTTCCACAGTGTTTCTGTTTCATCAAAGCCCAGTGCAATTCAGGTGGGCTGTTTGCTTATATTGTATCATATTGGGCTCACTCTGTTATAGGTTATTTAATGAGAGTTCCATATGTTCTCGATAACCCGAGAGAGAATTTTGTGGCATGTGGGGCCCTGCTTGCATGTTTGCCTCTGTCTGTCTTTGATAAAAATTTATAAATATAAAAATCAGTTTTTTTGTAACAAAAGGAGAGACTTAAAGCGGATACATATCTCCACATGACTTTTTAAAAGATAAAGCTAAAATATTGGTAACATTGTATAAAAAGAGGCCTATGATTTGGGGATTAATAGCATGCAAACCTAGGCTTGCCATACGCTTTAATGTAGGTGTCCAGATCCGGCTGAAACTGGTTTGAGGCAGATCAGCTCATGTAACAATGCAGCCACAGAGCTACAGTGGGATAAATCCTTCATGGCAGACAGAGGAGGTAGCAGGAAGGTATCATCATTTTATTTCAGTATGAATTGCACTATAGACACACAGCACTGGTATGTAAAACCAGCAGAAAAATAAAAACAAAACATGCATATGTGTGCATATTTTGCATTCATGGGAATGGGCTTGGTGGGTATGTTAACATGTCAGCTGTTTATGAGCTGAGATTTCAAATATACTGCCATTGCATTTGTCATACAAGGGGTTAATTAAGCAGAACATTCTAAAATCTAGAACAAAAAAATGAGGGGGCATCAGTATTGGGGGCGGGGGGGGACTATTGCATGGTCTGTTGTTCTGTGCATGCATTGTACCTTCTATGTGCGGTTTCCTTCGGTTATAATAATAAATAAGAATAATAAAACATTGTGCTAAAAAGACTTGTATCACCAGGCCACTCAATTTAAATCCACAGTGACATGTCTGGGTGTGATTTAACCCCTTCCACAGGATAAGATAATGAAAGGTCAAAGTTCAAAGTATTGTAGCATTGAGTAGAATTATTTTTAACCACTAGACAGCAGCAATCCTATATAAAATATATATTCTATATATATTTAAATTCTATTTATCTACGCATACAGACACGTATATCTGCCACCATAACTATTTTCATTGGCTGTTGCGTGCCAGATCTGCATTCTATATTTGTTTGCATGAACGAAAAGAAAAAAAATAATAATCAAGAACTGAAATATAGTTGCTTGGAAAATGCAATCACTGTACACAATGTCTCTTTTACTAATGCTTTTCTGTACACAGTAAACATCTTTCTGTGTACAGGAGAGTAAGTGTTTCAACTGTGACAGGTTACAGGTTTAAAAAAAATAATAATAACATAATAAAATATACAGTGATTTTTAAATATAGCCAGCAGTTTCTAAGGACAAAAATGTGTTATGATGTATATCCCTACCCCTGTCTGTGATAAACAGTATTATTTAATGTTTTTATAATCGTAACATTATATATATATATATATATATATATATATATATATATATATATATATATATATATATATATGTGCTGTAGCACAAATTGTTTTTCTATTTACAATTTTCACAGTTATGGAAATTAGACAAAATCTGTTTCTTACAAAAAAAAAAAATCTATGCTTTCATTTGTAGCTGGCGTATGCATCTTGTTTTGTGAACTGGAGAGGCCTGGGAGAGAAGGGGAATGAGCGTGGCAGAAGAGGGACACAGGAGGAAGGCAGCTGTAATGAAAGGATGAACAAAGACTGCTAGAGGAGAGAGAATGGACTTCTAAACAATCCGCCTTATGAAAGCCAGGGAGACATCTGTAACTTCCTAAAAACAGGAAATCCATAGCTCTGCAATCCTGACCAGTTTGATGCTTTACTGTACTGACGGGTCTTAGCCCTAAAGCTGGCTTTGTGTTAACTGCAATGAAGGAAAAAAAAATGGAGACTTTTAGTGAAAGTGTATTCAGATTTTCATTATGAAAGATTGTCTATGGTACTGTACAACGCAGCACAATGCAGCCCATAAAGCCCTGGAAATTTTGAATTGGGTAAGTTGTTTAATCAGAGGAGAAGAATTATTATTATTAATATTTTTTTTTATTTTTTTCACAAAAAGCAAGACAATGCTTAGTTGATTTAATGTTTTCTTCTCTTAAAATGACTACGTCTGGGATTCAGCTTTTCATACATTTCCTTTGCATTGTCATTAGCAGGCTAGTAAACGTTCCATAGATTCCTCTGCTTTTCAAAGGCAAATTCACAATTTGCATTGGCTTTTGAACCACTTAATAAAGACAGCTAGAAGGTGAGCTGAAACATGAGATGTATAACTGTGCTATGCTTATTTTTTAGTTTAATGCAGTCTTCTTTGGGGGAAGGAGGGGGGGATCTGGCAATGTGACATGGAAATTGCATGGGCAGTTTAAATAGTTGTTTTTTTTGTTTTTTTTACAGTGACTATTAAGAATGTTGACAAGCATATTAATCTGTTATGAGTATGCTGTTTTATATAGATGTCCGCCTACACTCAGTAGTTTAAACCCTAAAATTCAGGCCTTAAAATGTAAAATGTTGCATTGCTAGAGGCTTAGTGCAATACGTTAATATAAATACGCTTGTGTCTGCTTTTCTCTCTATTTTGTTCTTTTCTTCTTTCATCCATGCATTGTGTTGTAGAGCTCTCTATAATTAAAGAATATTGACAGTGCGTGTGTTAAAGGCTCTCTATGAGCGTTGCCACTTTAATTGGGGATCTGAGAGGTCTTTGTGCATTTAGATGGCTGAGTGACACTGGATTCACGTATAAACGTATCAGTTTTGAGGGCCTTTTTTACTGCTACTGTTGCAGAGGCAGGCCTAGCCTGCATTTTTTTTTCTTCCTGCTGAATGTGATTGCCTGCAGCTGTATTACCCTGTTTCCGAGCAGGAATCAACATCAGCCTACATAAAAAAAAAAAAAAAAAAATGTGTTTAGTTTGGCTGGAAGACGTTTCTAGAAACGGATAATTAAAAAATCAAACCAACAAAAAAAAATGTCTTGGCCTAAAAATATCTAATTATCTGCACCTTCTTTTATTTTATGGAAAAGTCTAGAGTGTTAAATGGAAGAGTCATCGAGTCAGCCTGAAGTCATCTGTTCATTTTGATAGTCTGGTGAGTAGGCCTGAATCTTAAAACTGCCTTGGATAAAATCAGGCCCCATTCTGTTATTATGTCTTTGTTCAGTCTCAGATGGGTCTCTGCTTAATACAAAAAAAAGGCAATAACCAAATTCTATTTGGAAAATGACCGTGTAAAGAGGCAGGGATATCGTAAAAGATAATAAGATTAATATCAGTTTGCACTATTATTATTTTTTTGTTATTTTGAATATTTTTCATAATGCTAAGCTTTCCAAAATCATCTAATAAGACTATAGGCATGAGTCACAATTTTACGATTTGTAAGTAGTGTTGTTTATTTTGAATTTTTGTGCATGTGTGTGTATAATATATACATGATATATATATCTAGACAAACACAAAGTACATTTCAAATTATTAGTTGCTTATGTCATTTTGTCATTGTGTATTGTTTATCTACATAGTTTCTCTATTCGTACACCGATGCATGTTGAATATGTGGAATATTGCAGTGTCACTTAATGCATTGTTTTATTGAACAGTCATTTTGTAACAAGCTTCTGAAGGTACTTTCCTTTTCAAGTGTAAAATATTCCCAAAGGAGTAGTTTCCAAATTGAATGGTCCCAGTTTAAAAGGCGTTACAAGATACTGCAATACTGCCATAATTCTCTGTCTGCACACATACATATATATATATATATATATGTGTGTGTGTGTGAATTGGGTTTCATGTGCTAATTTTTGTTCGTTAATGGTTTCTATGCATGGAATACAATGGTGGCTGGTGAAGTTTAAAGGTGGGGGGGAAGGCGCTGCTCCCCTGACTTGTTGGGATCTACCGCTTAACTCCATGAGATGCAATGCCATGTTCAACACCAGCTCCAGTCATCCAGCTGATATAATCGTGACAGACACATGTTTTTCCAACACACACCTATCAATAGTCCTGACAATGCCAGTAGATTTGTCATTTTTTGGGGGAGAGAAAAAGCTGGGGGTATGTGAAAGAGCCAACCCCCCTTCCTAAACAGACAAGCACATAATTTAATTTTGTTAGTGTGCCAACCATAGTATGTGTAGATCTGGGTCAAACCATCAAGTTGCGTAAGTCTTTCATCCTTCTGATTTCGGTAAATGAGTATCATTGAACTGTAATTGCACTTTATATACAAGCTTTCCCAGCCCACGGCCTATCATTGTTGTGCAAATGTGTACAGATAATGAGCTCATTCATAAAAACAGTGAAGTGAAGGCACCAAGAGATTCATTACACCATAACCACGACAATAGACTGTAGTGTCAATGCATACCTCCCAACATGTATTTAAATTAAATTAAGCAGTATGGACGTTTTAATTCTAGCGGTGTGGCCAGGGGCGTGGCTTTTTTGAAAAATTGTAGATGTCTTAATAATAACAATGTATACAACTAAAGTGTAATTTAGAACACGATCTGTGTATCTTATTTACAAAGATTGAGTTCTAAACACATTTATTGTAGTGCAAAGAAACATCACTGTGAGTATTATTGCTGTGGAGTTCTGTTATACACTCACACATCAACAACAATATGGAGCTTACAGAAAAGATGGCCATTAGGATTAAAAAGAGGGACAGAGGGATTTGGGTCCAAAACAGGGAGTCAAATTGGTTATTACTAACCTTTTAAAAATAAATTCTATCAAACTACATGATTTTATGTCCCTTTTTTTTTTATTATTTTGAGTGAAAGTAAATATTTCAGCTTGGAAAGGCAAATGGGTTGTGTAATATGGATGTGTGTGGGCGGTTTCACATAATTACCTTTTCGCTGCTGCAGTGTCACTTTTTCCACCGAAATTTGCAAATCTTGAGCCTAGTTGACTGGTGTCAATGGAAGAAACCAAAACACTGCTCATGGTCAATGCCTGGCAAGCCCCTCATATTTTTTTCTCCTCGAAATGATCATCGCCTTAAGCTGCTAGGTTCTTGGTTCTTCCTTATAGTGCATGGCCTGATGACTGGAGGCATTGGCATATAATGTCACATATCATATTGTCCTAATGTGTTTTATACCCCACCTCCTGTAGACTGTAAGCTTGTTTGAGCAGGTCCTCTTCAACCTATCATTCCTGTAAGTTTTCTTGTAATTGTCCAATATATAGTTTAATCCCCCCTTTCATAATATTGTAAAGCGGAATCAGTTGGCGCTATATAAATGGCAATGATAAATAATAAATACATAAATAAACATCCACTCAGCCACGAGGCCTGCAGAGTGTACAGGGCTGCCCTGTTTTAAAGGCAGAAAAGAAGTGCAAGAGCACACTGTACTTAACTTTTTGCCATTTTTTTCTTAGCTAGAAGAGGATTAACTGCTCAGCTAAAGGAAAAATATCCTTGTTTATTATTATTACTAAACATAAAGAATTGTATGTGATATAGCATTGTGTATTAGTTTGTAATTGGCTTAAACTTGTTGAGTGGGCTGGGCTGGCTATTATAAGGTGTGAAAGCGCGGCTTCTACATGATGTCACTGTTCGCTCTGCCCTGCTAAGACTTAAAGATGGCTTCCCCACAGAGTAAAGCTGGAAAATGCACTGAAAAAAATAAGTCTTTAGAAAAATGCATGCATTACAAAATAATGGCACAGGTTGAGCTAAAACCAGCTTGAGATCTGAGCGGGGACCCACTGAAGGGCAGGCTATTTGAGCTGTTGTCCGTTCTCACCTTTCTTGCTACTTTTTTTTCTATCCAAATTTTAACTCAAAGGCAGAATGGATATTTATATTTTGACTCCATTGGTAGATCAGTGATTACTGAATACCAGTTTTATGCTACCATGTGAAATTCTGAAAAGTCGTGAATATTGTAAATGATTTGTTTATTTTTTTGTACTGCAGCGACAGAAATACAGTCAAGTATAGACATGTCATCATGAGACATAAGAGTATCAGTGAAAATGTGAGCCACGTGTCGAGATACCTGCACATGTTTTTAGATTTTATAATGCTGAACAGTAAGAAAAACAACTCTGTTTATGAAAAAAGGAGGATCATAGATTGTCAAAATGTAGATATGAGGTCCAGTGAATACATGATAAGCTGGCTGTTTCATGAGAGGAGGAGACACTCATATCGGAAATAATAGACCCCAAATTAGATATCTGTAGCTTTCACATGCATGCAAAAATAGAACTTAAGAGCAACTACCACTGGATATAAAAAACAAACAAAAAAAACAAAAACAAATCAGCTAAGCAGTTTAACAAAGAAACATAGAATGTGATGGCAGATAAGAACCATTCGGCCCATCTAGTCTGACCAATATTTTCATTAGTCCCAGCTGAGAGGTGGGAATGAACAACAGCTCAATTAGCCTGCCCTTCGGTGGGTCCCCACTCAGATCTCAAGCTGGTTTTAACCATTACAGAGATACCTCCCTGATGATACCTTACAAGGTTGAAATGATAGTCTGGGGTTGCCGTATCTCTCGTGCAGAGGGAACTTGCTGGCATTTTGGATCTGGACTGCCCGTAAGAGTGGGATATGTTCTTCAGATATGTTCTCTCTGTAATGGCACTAGATGAGCTAAAACCATCTTGAGATCTGAGCGGCGACTTACCGAAGGGCAGGCTAATTGAGCTGTTGTCCATTCTCACCTCTCTTGCTACTTGTTTTTCTCTCCTAAAGTTTAAAGGCTAATCCAGACATGGACCTTTTGCTCACGGTGCCTTGAGGCATATTGGCTATACCTCACTGATGATACCTTACAAGGTTGAAACGATCGTCTGGGGTTGACGTATCTCTTGTGCAGATGGAAATTGCTGGCATTTCGGAACTGGACTACCCGTAAGTGTAGGACCAGTCTGATATGCTTCAGATATATTCTCTCTGTAATGGCACAGGTTGAGCTAAAACCAGCTTGAGATCTGAGCGGGGACCCACCGAAAGGCAGGCTATTTGAGCTGTTGTCCGTTCTCACCTTTCTTGCTACTTTTTTTCTATCCACATAATGGGTTCTCCTGAAACATGTTTTTGTTTGTTTTTGCACTAACTGGTAATGCAGAAATAAAGTAAGCTATTATAGTAAAAGTTGAAACAATGGGTAGGAGGAATGTGCTTTTTATATCTGTCTCCCAGAAGTGAATAAAGATGATACAATGATGAGTCAAAACAAGTCACTTCCTGCCATCTTACAGTCAGTATTTACTACTGAATATTCTCCTTTATAAGGATCATGTTTTCAATATAGCTTAAAGGGACATGTTTTGTTTGTGTATTAACAGAAGTACATGTTTTTAAGTATAATGAGCCCTTACCTACACAGCTCTCGCATATGTACCCTATGATGCTCGGCACAATCAGGCATCTACTCGGAAAGTACAGTTTAAGTGCCCAGGCATGTGCTTATTCATGCCAACTGTGTGCACGAATTGTGGGTTAAAGGTAAAGGTGTAAATTGTGACATTAAACAAAATAACATTTGTTTTGTTTTTTCTTTTCTTTATGTATGTTCTTTATAGTGTAGAAAGAAGGTAAATCAGCCTGGGGGTTTCCGCTCAGCCCCCTGATGCTCTGCATAGGGTATAACTGTTGGCATTGGAAAGAACCAGTTATAATCATGATGCATGAAATTGCATGAGCTTATTGTTGCTAGAGGGAGTTGTTTCTAAAGAAACCCTCTGTCTTAACAACTTTATTATCCTTAAATACGATGGGAAAGATTATAGGGCACGTCTAGATTAAAAAAGAAAAATTATATTTTTATTGCACTTGAACAAGTCAAGTTAAGATAAAAAAAATATACAGTTATTAGTTTTTTTAGTTTTTTTTTTAAATGCTCTGTGTTGCTTGCATTGGCTCCTCTGCATGGTTCCTTCAGCTCGCAACATGGGGACCTAGGTCAAGTTAGATGGTTGGTGTCGATGTGTGTTGAAATTTCAAGGTTACTATGGCACATTTGTTTAACGTCGTGGTCTGTAGATGGTGTGGTTCCGGGGTGGGACCGACCCTCTTCTCGTGTATCAGGATACTTAAGTTGGGGTACTGCGACCTCACCGTATGATCAGAGGCATGTGGAATATCCCTTACCCTTAGTGTCGTCCCAGGGATATCCAACCCGTCCTTAACCGAACCACACGGCCGCCATGTCCCGGAAATATAGGCAAAGCTCCTCCCTACTGGTGGGCGGACTTCGAGGTGTTACAGGAATATGTTACTCCAAAGGGTAGGGTAAGATGAGTGGAGAGTTTGTAGTGGAGGTGTGAATAAAAATATGAATGAAAAAGGAGTCAGAGTGCACCCAGGTCCTCTCCTAACCCCCCCAGGCCTCCGCTTGTGACTAGTCATCCGCATCTGTCTGCATGGTAAATACATACCAGGGTCTCCATTGCTCCATGTGTTTGTCTTTTCTCCCTTGCACGTCTACTGTTTTGGCTTCAACCGCGTGTGTCTTCCACCTTCTGTAGCCATTGGCTGATGGTTGGAGGTAGTGTTTGCTTCAAGTGTGCTGGTATCAATGATTTGGCTGCGTTGAATAAATGTCTCAGAATCGTTTTTTTTGTATTTAGCGTGTAATGTAGAAAGACATTCTCAATGGTGAAGCTTGATAGATCCCCTAGGATCTTCTGTACCACCCATTTGATCTTGTCCCAATAAGGCTTTATCTTTTCGCAGTCCCACCATATGTGGCGTAGAAATCCAGTCGCTGAGTCACATCTCCAGCTGGTGTCTAGTATAGTCGGGAAGATTCGATGTAGTAAGGAGGGTGTGCGGTACCAGTGGGAGATCAATTTGTAGTTTACCTCCTGGTAGTGGGTGCTCGTTGAGCTTTTATGTTGTGGAATGAGTATTTTCTCCCATTGGTCGTTAGAAAAGGTCCTGGCCATCAGGTCTCCCCATTGTCTCTTGAAAATATCCCTTTTCACCATAGTGGAACCAGAGCATCAAGTGTGGGCACTTTTTCTGTGGGAAGGTCTCGAAGGTCTCTCACACCCAATCCACTGAAGACCCTAAACTCCTCCTGATTGGTCATGGAGTCCATCTCCTAGGTCTGGATTGTGGGTAATATGTATCAGGGGACTCTGTTTTGGGGATATGTAGGTCTCCTTCCTTAGAGTGGTCCATGTCTTTAGCGTTTGTGTTATAGGGGAGTCCTCCCCTAAAGTGTGTGGCATCTGATTCCCTATGCCAGACCAATGCAAGTAAGGAATTAGCGGTGGCAGCTCTGCTCAGCATTACCCAAAGCTTTTGGGGCGAGGTAATATGCAATTCTCGGAGCCTCTGTAATACCGTTGCATGATAGTATTTGCGAAAGTTAGGTAGTGCCAGCCCGCCCCGTTCTCTCAGAAGACTGAGTTTAGCGTGGGATATTCTAGCTCTATCGCCCTTCCAAATAAATAGGATAGCTGATCTCAGTGTTGTGAAAAAGGTTTGCGGTATTGTACAGAGTATGGTGTGGAACAAGTATAAAATCCTTGGTAGGACATTCATTTTCACTACCACTATACGACCCTGCCAGGAGATGTGATTATAATTCCATTTCCTGAGATCCTCCAGGATCATGTTTAAAAGAGGGGTGTAGTCGTGGTTGTAGATGTCCTTTGTTGCGCGTGGGATCCACAGCCCCATGTGACCCATTTAGCGAGATTTAATTTGAGGCCGGACAGGCGTTGATTGTTTTGAAATTCTTCCATTAGTGATAGCAAAGTTGCTAGCGTAGCCTCAATGAAAAACAACATGTCGGCCGCATATGCGGCTACCTTATGTTCCTGAGTTTTATTTTGAAATCCCATAATGGATGGTTTGTTCCTGATTCGGTCGAGAAATGTCTCCAAGGTGAGGGCAAAGAACAGGGGTGATAGTGGACATCCCTGTCTGGTGCCGTTTCAAATGTTGACATTGTCTGTGAGTGCCCCATTTACCCGAACGCAAGCACTCAGATTCTGATAGAGTGAATTAATCCAGGTAAGCATCCCCTGGCTGAGTCCGGTCTTCCATAACGTTGCCAACATGAAGTGCCAGTCTTACATGGTCAAATGCCTTCTCGGCGTCAATGGAGAGAAGGAGTAATTTCTTGCCTTCCCACTTCGCTAGGTGTTGAATCGAGAACATTGGCAGAGTGCAAACTCTCACCTCCCTGCCCGGGATAAAGCTTGTCTGGTCCGGATGTATGAGTCGAGGCATGAAGGTTTGTATCCTCATTGCTTGAATGAGGATACAATACCGTGTTGCACTAGTTGCCACAATTTTAGCTGCGGCCAGGGACTCCACGTGGAACGAGGCTCCATCTCGTAGTTGATTCCGTGCCTTTGTGAGCTTCGGTATCCGTATCTTGCCAAATTCTTAAGATACCCATTGGGCAGGCCGTCAGGTCTAGGTGCTTTATCATTCTTCACGGATTTCCTCCTCAGAAATGGGAGCCTCCAGTTCATTGGCTTCTGCCGGAGTAAGGGCTTCTGGTGTGAATTCTCGAAGGTACCTGTCTGTGTCCTCGTGTCAAAGTGGAGGGAGGTCTAGATGCAGTGTTCTGGGTGTCATACAGCTTTTCGTAAAACCTCCGGAATTTGCCTGCTATGTCTTCTGTAAACTGTGTTAGTTTGCCTTGAGTTGTTTACAAGGTGTGGCATCCACGCTAGCAGTTTTCCACTCTTGTTGGCGTTTATATAGAAGAAGGCTTTGGATCTCTGCAGGTTTCGGAAGTGTTTACGTTTTATGAGATCTGTTAGTTGTCGTCGTGTAGACCGCAATTCTCGATACGCCTGCTCCTTTTGGGTTCTCTTATGAAGTGTTTCCAGGCATGACATTTTTCATGTAAGGTCTTCTATTAGTTGTCTGGTCTCTTTTTTTTTTTTTTTCTTTTGAGTGGCCATCCTGATGAAGTGTCCCCTAAGGAGACTTTTGTGCGCTTTCCACAGTGTCATATCTGACATCCCCTCAATGGTGTTTTTTTTCAAAATATTGTTTTAAATGGTTCATTACTTGTTCCTGTATCTGAATGTCCGTCAGGAGTGATTCGTTTAACCTCAATGCTGTTCGAGATTGGCGGTGGAGGGGTGAGTCCATAGATAATGTAGTAGAACTGTGGTTGGACCAGGGTGTGGATAGTATATCACCCTTCTGGAGGTGTGTGAGTCCTTAAATGAAGATGTAGTCGATACGTGAGTATCTGTGGTGTAAGGTCGAATAATACGTATAGTCGCGACCATCTGGGTGCAGGGCTCTCCAGGCAACAACTAGTATTAGCTCCCTGAAAGAATTGTGGATGATTCGGAGCGTTGAATGCGGGACACTACTGGTCAGTCAAAGGGTCCAGAGGGACATTTAGATCCCCACCAAGGATCAGGCTACCTTCTGTGGATTTGGCGAGTTTTGCCACTGTTCTGCATATAAAGCTGGCTTGCCCAGAGTTTGGGGCGGAAATCGAAGCAAACGTATATAGTTTCTGTGCCACATTTCCCTTTACGAATAGATACCTGCCGTCCCGGTCCTCAAGAGTCTCAGTGAGAATGAACTGTAAGTTTGCTGCGAGGAGAATTGCTATCCCAGCCTTGCCAGCTGTTTGGTGGTTGCTATACTAATTCGCTGGGTAGTTCTTATCTTTCAGCAGTGGGTTCGCGTCTGCTTGTAGGTGTGTTTCTTGTTGGAGGGCTATGGAGATATGTTGTCGTTTGAGGTCTCATAGTAGATGCGTAGTATGGAAAGTTCACTAATAATCTGCAACAAAGCATAGGATACAAAACATAGTGTAGTATATTAAAACAATATTAATAAAATGTAAGCCAACTGGTCAGACTCACATGTTGCTTAGCCTATTAGTAGCAGGCTCAGACTTTTAGCGCCTTTCAGCAAGATTAACCTCCAAATTACTGTTCCCAGATTCTGCTTCACCTCAAAGATCCTGGTCCAGACTTGTAAAGGTGTAAACAATTTATTGGGAATTTAACAAAGGTTAAAAAATAAAAAAAAGCATTTTGATTTCAATAAAACAGCACACAGGTATAGCACAACGCGTTTCGGTTGTTAGTTCAGTCTTTATCAAGTGCATAAAATATGTTTGTTCCGGTTTTACTTACCGTATTTATCGGCGTATAACACGCACCTCATTTTAAGAAAGAAATTTCAGAAAAAAAACCTTAAATTTCAAATAAAGAACTTCTTACCCCCTTCTTACTCCCCCCTCCCTCTCTTCTTACCCCCTTCTTACTCCCCCCACCCCCTCTTCTTACCCCCCTTTCTTACTCCCCCTCCCCTCTTCTTACCCCTTTCTTACTCCCCCCTCTTACCCCTTCTTACTCCCCCTCCCCTCTTCTTGCCCCCTTTCTTACTCCCCCCCTCTCTTACTTCCCCTCCCCCTTCTTGCTCCCCTCCCCTCTTCTTACCCCCTTCTTACTCCCCCCTCCCCCTCTTCTTGCTTCCCCTCTTACTCCCCCCTCCCCCTCTTCTTACCTCCCTCCCCCCTCTTCTTGCCCCCTTTCTTACTCCCCCCTCCCTCTTCTTACCCCTCCTCTATTTACCCCTTCTTGCCCCCCTCCCCTCTTCTTACCACCTCCTGTAGGTGGCCGAGCTGCTCTGCTGTCGCGGTGCCCGGCCGGAGTGATAGGAAGGTGCGCTCAGTGTGCAACTTCCTGTCAGTCCGACGGGTACAGGAAACAGAAACTCCTGTTCGCGTGGAACAGGAGTTTGTTTCCTGTACCCGGTCGGGACGGAAGGTGCACACTGAGCGTGCACCTTCCTATCACTGGCCGGGCACCGCGGACAGCAGAGCAGCTCGGCCATGCTACAGGGGAGGGGAGGTGAGAACCAACTGCAGCCGCCTGACCGCTCTTGACAGAGCGCTCAGGCGGCTGCAGCATTTAAAGGGCCGGCGTATAACACGCACCCATAATTTTCCCCCTATTTTCAGGGAGAAAAAGTGCGTGTTATACGCCGATAAATACGGTATATATCCCTTTTCGTGACGTTTTCTTCTTTCCATCACAAATGTTTTTTTTTCTTTCAACTTCCGGGTTCAAAAGGTCATCTTACGCAATTTCCGGTGTCTGTATTACGACACTCGACGGAATGCCTCAGCATCTGATGTCATCACGCGATGACATACTGAGTCATATTTAATATTTGAGTTTTGTCCTTAATGTCCTTAATTAATGTGCATTTAGTACAGAAGTCCATATAAGCTAATATGGAATGTTAAAAGCATAATGATTAGATCCAGTATAAGAGTTACATACATAGAAATTAGGTTTTGAACAGTTTTAGATTAAGAATGTAAAAGAAATGTTTGGAATTAATAGGGGATCAATTATGTTGGAAAATTCCTATAAATTAAATAAAATGAACATTATATAAAAACACTATATAATGCGGGCACGCAGTGCATTCTGCCTGCGTGGCCAGAGGAGAGGACCGGCATGGGCGACGGGTAAAGGTACATTTGTGATAAAAGGTTTATGTGTCAATTTTGTGATTTTTTTTTTTTTTTCTTCAATATTTACCTGCTATTGTTTATGCTCTCCACACTAAATCCCAGGGGGGACACTGATCTAAACAATCAGTGTCCTCCTATATATATGAATGCTGGAAAAGTGCAGTTTGAGGATATATCCTAACAGGAAGAGAAAAGAGGGAGCCTGATCAGTCAGGTTTCTCTCTTCTGCTGTTGCACAGTGATGTCCTGTTTCTGTCATTAGTTGACTGGTCGGAAACTGAGCTTGGTGGGTAAGGGGCTGGTAAGAAGACTATATACTCCCCTATCTGAGAGGCGTGCCTAATAATGCAAACTGATCAAGTTTATAGTTGGTTTATATAACGTTTATTACATGCTTTTTAAAGTTTTTCATGCTTTATTTTGGCTTGTGTATTTGTGTAAAAGTGTTTGCTGGTTTCAAAAAATAATTGTCAAATGATGCATGTCCCTTTAAACATTCCAAGGTCTTGGCACCAGCGAGGGAAAAAGTAACAGACCCAGTAATCGTAAAGCAGAAGGTAAGTCAAGTAATCCAAGCCGTAAGATAAAACCATTAAAGCTCATAGAAACCAGTTCATCAAATTCTAAAGAGTGAAGGAGATGGGGAATCCTGTCTAACAGTCTGACAGTAGCATCTCTGGGGGGTCAGTCTGTGTCTGTGTGTGTGTGGGGGTAAGAGGGGATCAGTCAGTCTTTGTATGTGAGTGGGGGAGCAGTCTGTGTGTGTGTGTGTGTGTGTGTATGGGTTGTCTGTGTGTGTGTGTGGGGGGAGGGGGAGGTGTGTGTGTATGGGTCAGTTTGGGTTTGTATGGGTCAGTCTCTGTAAGTGCTTGAGCTCCAAGAGAGATACTTCTTATCTCATAACTTCCCCTGTACCTGATGGATTGGCAGCCTTCTCAACCACCACAGATCTTATTGTGCCACCCCTTCCCTGCAAGGTAAGATCAGGGAAAGGGGAATATACTTTATTTTTATTTTTTTTAAACAATTATTAAAGTAAAAATTGTAAGCCTCTTCCCTATCACACTATCTACATCCCACTGAACACCGTACACCCTCACAGACCGTGAACCCCCCACATACAGTACACTCCCACGAACACAGCGTACACCTTTGCATACACACAGAGCACTCACACACATCATCTCTACACCCACGCACAAACTTTACAGGCCCTTTCAGCACACACACACACACACACATATTTTCTCACACACTCACAAATTGCTATTTTTATTTTAATTTAAATCCACGCAGCCTTTGGGAGAGCTGAGTGGATCTTTTCCTGACATCCAGTGTATCTCCTTTCAATCTTCCTGCAGTTTCTCTCTGCTCCCCTGCTTGCTCTCTGTAGTGATGCTGGGGCTGGAGTGATGTAATGTCACTAAACAACGCGCAAGGGAGCAGAGAGGAACTACAGGAAGGTTACTGCTCCCTCACGTGCCACCTCCACGCTCTCCGCGGCGTCCGACTTTAATGTTTTCTGCGCGGCTTAGCAAAAGGGCTGACAAATGCCAGGCACTAGGGAAATGTCTAGTCGCCATGGCGACCTGGTGTCTGGAATTTATCTAGCCCTGTGTGTGTGTGTATATATATATATATATATATATATATATATATTGAAATATAGGCTAGCACTCACGGTCTTTTAGTTAAAAGATCATCTTTATTCAGTTATTCCATAAAAACTCGACGTTTCAGCCCACGTCCTGGGCTTTCTTCAGGAGCAACAAACAACTTTGTTGCTCCTGAAGAAAGCCCAGGACGTGGGCTGAAACGTCGAGTTTTTATGGAATAACTGAATAAAGATGATCTTTTAACTACAAGACCGTGAGTGCTAGCCTATATTTCCATATTTTTGTATATTTTGGCTGTGGCTTTTAGCACCCGGCATTTAATATTAAGCTTAATATAGCAGGGTTAATCTGAGTGCAAGGACTGGTCTATTTTTATATATATATATATATATATATATATATACACACATACACACATTTATAAAATGTGTGTGTGTGTGTGTGTATATATATATATATATATAAGATATAGATATAAAAAGACTAAAAAGATATAGGTAGCCAGCACTTTAGGTCTTGTGAAAAAAGATTTTCTTTATTGAATTGAAGATCCCACATAAGGTCAACGTTTCAGTTCACATTCACACTTTCATCAGGACATATATAAATGTATATACACAAACACACATACACACACATAAACACACTTTTTATAACTGCCCCCCTACTTTTGTCCCTGGCCCCTTATGACCCCCCCAAGTATGAATCCTGGAGACGCCACTGCAGTCTGAGTAAGTAGCGAGTGGCAATTAAGTTATATCTAGGATACCTGTGATGTAACCAGAGTTAGTGCACAGAAATCACACCGGAAACATTTCCTCAGCATGAAGCACGACTAATGTACTAATAGAGTGGATTTAAATAGCCTGCATACTTGGTAGTGCTCCAGCGTCCTGATTTAAAGCAAAAAATACGTATTGACTAACAAAAATTTCTTGCCAGCAGACTCTCAGAGTACAAAGACTTATGTAATGTTAGATATTTGAACCCTACATATTGACAATACTGGAATAACGGAACACTTCATTTTATGATCCTTTTTTATTTTGGAGATGTCCTTTCTTTCTTGATTACTGTCTCGAAAACATCTCAGCAAATGTCCAAGGTAATCCAGGAGTCCCATATGTTTTTACTTATTGTTTAGACACAACTTAATACCATAGCACCTGACTCCCACATACAAGAATTATTTCATTGTGATATATATGTTGGTGATCAAGAGTAGCCTTCATTTTAGACGTGACTGATATTTTCACTAATAAGCTGTGGTTCGGTCTCGATGCAATATTTACCAGTATATTATGGATTTTATCTAATCTGAACTCCTAATAATTTGTAGTGGTTTAGGAGTAAGTTTTGTAGTATTTTGTATACTACCTGTATGTAGATTACCTAAATGTTACAACTTTGATAAAGCACCTATATTATTTCTTCTCTTCCTGAAACTAGAACGGAAGATTGTTTTTCAGCTCAGTATCCGCAAACAGAAAACCAGCCCAGAGCTCCTCATTTGGTGAACATTAGTCCCTTTATTGGTTTCTCAAATCACATCAAAACGTTTAGAAACTTTGCTGACAAAGACCAGTAACAGTCAAAACTGTGCTGCTGTGATTTGCGGCACTTTTAAATGGAGGAATGCTGTACATTGTTTTCTTCTTCTTGTATGACGTAGAATACCTTAAGCACCACCTTCAATTTGAGGCCCCCTTGTGTTGGATATTTACAGTTGCAAGAAAAAGTATGTGAACCCTTTGGAATGATATGGATTTCTGCACAAATTGGTCATAAAATGTGATCTGATCATCATCTAAGTCACAACAATAGACAATCACAGTCTGCTTAAACTAATAACACACAAAGAATGAAATGTTGCCATGTTTTTATTGAACACACCATGTAAACATTCACAGTGCAGGTGGAAAAAGTATGTGAACCCCTAGACTAATGACATCTCCAAGAGCTAATTGGAGTGAGATGTCAGCCAACTGGAGTCCAATCAATGAGATGAGATTGGAGGTGTTGGTTACAGCTGCCCTGCCCTATAAAAAACACACACCAGTTCTGGGTTTGCTTTTCACAAGAAGCATTGCCTGATATGAATGATGCCTCGCACAAAAGAGCTCTCAGAAGACCTACGATTAAGAATTGTTGACTTGCATAAAGCTGGAAAGGGTTATAAAAGTATCTCCAAAAGCCTTGCTGTTCATCAGTCCACGGTAAGACAAATTGTCTATAAATGGAGAAAGTTCAGCACTGCTGCTACTCTCCATAGGAGTGGCCGTCCTGTAAAGATGACTGCAAGAGCACAGCGCAGGCTGCTCAATGAGGAGAAGAAGAATCCTAGAGTGTCAGCTAAAGACTTACAAAAGTCACTGGCAAATGCTAACATCCCTGTTAGCGAATCTACAATATGTAAAACACAAAACAAGAATGGATTTCATGGGAGGATACCACAGAGGAAGCCACTGCTGTCCAAACAAATCATTGCTGCATGTTTACAGTTTGCACAAGAGCACCTGGATGTTCCACAGCAGTACTGGCAAAATATTCTGTGGACAGATGAAACCAAAGTTGAGTTGTTTGGAAGAAACACACAACACTATGTGTGGCGAAAAAAAGGCACAGCACACCAACATCAAAACCTCATCCCAACTGTGAAGTATGGTGGTGGGGGCATCATGGTTTGGGGCTGCTTTGCTGCGTCAGGGCCTGGACGGATTGCTATCATCGAAGGAAAAATGAATTCCCAAGTTTATCAAGACATTTTGCAGGAGAACTTAAGGCCATCTGTCTACCAGCTGAAGCTCAACAGAAGATGGGTGTTGCAACAGGACAATGACCCAAAGCATAGAAGTAAATCAACAACAGAATGGCTTAAACAGAAGAAAATACGCCTTCTGAAGTGGCCCAGTCAGAGTCCTGACCTCAACCCGATTGAGATGCTGTGGCATGACCTCAAGAAAGCGATTCACACCAGACATCCCAAGAATATTACTGAACTGAAACAGTTCTGTAAAGAGGAATGGTCAAGAATTACTCCTGACCGTTGTGCACATCTGATCTGCAACTACAGGAAACATTTGGTTGAAGTTATTGCTGCCAAAGGAGGTTCAACCAGTTATTAAATCCAAGGGTTCACATACTTTTTCCACCTGCACTGTGAATGTTTACATGGTGTGTTCAATAAAAACATGGCAACATTTCATTCTTTGTGTGTTATTAGTTTAAGCAGACTGTGATTGTCTATTGTTGTGACTTAGATGATGATCAGATCACATTTTATGACCAATTTGTGCAGAAATCCATATCATTCCAAAGGGTTCACATACTTTTTCTTGCAACTGTATATTGACAATAATTTCTACTTAAGATTCTATTCTATAGTATACTTGTGTTTTTCTTTTCTTGTTATATCTTTTCTGCTTTTTCCCTACCTTAGTTGATTATTGTTGCTATGGAAACCATTATGTGAAACCATGATGTATGTCTGTAACAAAGCTCCAAATAGAGATTTTTCCTCTATAGGAGTAAAATAGTGTCTGTGTTTAGTTTTTTTCCCTAATGTATGTTTTCCTGTTGCTGTAAGATGTATGTATTTCAACACCTCTATCTCATGACTATGAAAAGATCTGAAAGATAAAAAACTAAATTAAAGTGACATGTACCTAATTATACTGTGCCCTTATCTAGCACCATATGAGAACAAACTCCCATCTGTATTGTAATGCAGCTTGCCAGTGTATATACACACATCTGCCACCTCTTGCACCATGTTACAACGCACATCTACCTACTGCCTCATCTATCTCCGCTAGATTAAATGTTGTGGTTTGGATTATGCATAGCTTTTGCATAATGGGCAATGAATCTGGGTGTATAATTCATATACACAAGATAAAGTAAATTTGAGTCAGAGTTCTAGAGCTGGATCAGATATTATCTAGCAGGAGTAGGCAACTTTTGGCTCTCCGAGTGTTCTGGACTACATCTCCCTTGATGCTTTGCCAGCATTATGGCTCTAAGAACATTATGGGAGATGAAGTCCGTAATATCTGGAGTGCTGAAGAATGCCTATCTCTGCCATATGTAATCCTGCTCATTGTTCCCATATAGCGTTTTGCTAAACAGAGTGTTTGCAATAGAAACTTTAGGCATAGGCTCCAGTGTGTTCTATGAGTTGTAGGGCATATGTCTTCACTCTTTCAATCATTGTGTTCTATGTTCCTTATAGAGAGTATGGAATTATCAGCATGTGACTATTATGGTACATAGCACTTAACATTTCAAACCCCAATACATTATTCATACCCACCAACTGTGCCAGTTCACCAGAGGTGTTATTCCAACTGGGATATTGGGGAAAACAAGAAAAAGTATACAAAATGTACACCTGTATAGGAGTGTGAATGTTTTCCCATGCCAATATAACATAGCCCAATCAAAAGCCAACTTCTCTGTATTCCAGATTATACATTTACACTACTGGAAGTTATGCACTAGACATTTTTTTAATATACTGAGTTCCCAGCCATACTTTATATAAAATATTTCAGTGGATTCTGAACCCATAACACATCTTGTGCTTGCTTTTCTAATGAGGCTTTATTCAGCCATGCATGATGACCCTTTGGCCGCTGCTCGATTTATACAAGTTTGTAATCAGTGGTAAGGATAATGAATGCTTTAATTAAGGTAATCTGACAAGTAGGATTTGACAGCCATAGTGGAAAGAAAGGCAAGATTTGGAGTCTCAAAGTAATTATCTGCAGTGGATTTTCAGTATATTATTTTTTTTTTATAAGAATCCTAGTTTGGTCATATGGTTATTCATGGGCAGCTGCAAAGATAGAGAACACTTTGGAAAGGTTTAAGAACATAAGTAATCATACATTGGATGAAGTATTGTTACCAAATACCTCACTCACTTTTTCTATTTTATGTGTTTCCTTTTAGTTTTATTGACACTGATAAAGTTGTGCCTTCAACGATTACATCACAATGCTGGGATACTAATGGACCTCTACAGTGCATTCAGAAAGAATTTAGACCCATCTTTTTTTTTTTTTTTTAATGTTGCAGCCTTATGCTACAGTTTTTTAAATTTATTTTTTTTTCACATTAATGAAACTCAATACCCCATAATGACCAAGTAAAAAACTGATATTTGACACCATTGGAAATATATGAAACCGAAAAAAAACCTGAACTATAATATTGACTTGGGGAATGATTAAATAAGCTTTGCACACTTGGATTTCTGTAGTTTTTTTTCTTATTCATTTCTGCAGATTCTCTTAAGGTTGGATGGAGACTGTTTTAGGTAGCCATTTCCCGATCCTTCCAGAGATATTTGATTGGGTTCAAGTCTAGGCTCTGTTATTCACATAGTTGTTCTTAAGCCACTATTGTGTTGTCTAGGCTCTGTGCCTAGGGCCATTGTCTTTTTGGAAGGTGAACCTTTGGCTCTGTCTGAGATCCAGAGTTGTTCCTAAGCCACTCCAGGGGTTTAAGCGACATGAGTGCAGATAAGACACCGGTTTGATTGTTTGTTTCCGACCCTCCTCGAGAATGGTGTCTGTTTTTTCTATCAAACCTGTGTCTTATCTGCATTCATGTCGCTTTAACGCCTGTATCACAACTCAACTTTGAATTCTATGTTGAATTCTTGCTCAGAAATACTTTAGACTTGAGAAAGGGAGGCTCTCCCAAAAGCTTGTCATTAAAATATTCTGTTAGTCCAATAAAAAATGCATTACAAGATATGAAGTTTATCTGTTTTTTACATCTACATCACTGGACTAATATGGCTACAATCTCTACTCTCTACTTGAACACTATGGTGTATATGTGTGTGTTTGTGTGTGTGTGTGTGTGTGTGTATATATATATATATATATATATATATATAGAGAGAGAGAGAGAGAGAGAGAGAGAGAGAGAGAGAGAGACAGACAGACAGACAGACAGACAGACAGACAGACAGACAGACAGGGCATGTGCAAGGATTTTTGTGAACACTTACATACACTGACCCATACAAACACTCACACTGACCCCCCTCCACAAACACACTGACTCATAAAGACACACACACTGACACATGCAGAGACACAGAGACCCCCCCCCCACACACACTGACCCATGCAGACACATGCTGACCCATACACAGACCAATACATACACACACACACATACACACAGTCCCATACTTACAAACATACTGACTGAAACCTACTGATACACATTCTATGAAGCACACTGTGCTTTCTCTCTTGCCTTCATTGCACTTTGCTCTTCATTCCTGACTTCTTTACTGTGCCCGTTTTTCCCAAGCCCCATTTCCTCTTATTCTCCTGCCCCCTTGTCCCCACATACAGGGCAAGGGGCGGGAGCGAGTGAATGACGTGCCCTTGCGCTGCCACGGTGCTTGACTGGGAGAGCGGTCCTGACTTAGCAGGCTGTGGTGAATGCGGGACCGACATTCTACCAGGCGCTAGTCTACAAGTAAGTGCTCCCTAGCGTCCAATAACATGGTCGGCTTTATATAATCAATCCCACTTGATAGGGGGGTGGCCAGACAAGCAGTAAAGCCACTGCTGGTGCTTCCCCTAAGTAGGCGCCCTAGGTGGCCGCCTACTTAGTATATAGGAAGCTCCGGCCCTGTGTGTGTGTGTATGTATATATATATATATATATATTATAGCTTAAGGCTGAAACATAAAAAAAAATGTTAGAAAAATTAAGGTGTCTGAATACTTTCTGAATGCTCTCTATATCATTTTACATTGCAGTGATTTATTTATTTTGGTGCATAATAGAAGCATTTTTTAGAATCCCTGTGCCAGCCGAGCAATGTGGAACAGATATGTAATTTTGCAGATACATGATATTTTGCACCCACTCTCACATTATAGATGATGAGCGTGCATAGGAAACATCAGTTGTCTTTGCCCGGAAAGCTACCATCCCTACAATTAGAAAAGTAAAATAAGTCCCGGCTAAATACTGCCTATAAAATTGGATTACATCTCTACGTTTGTCTAAGGTTGCCAGTTTTTGAACGCTTGGGAAAGTAAGAAGTTTGGCTTTGCTTCTCAAACCACGTAGAGCTGTTTTGCTCAACTGTCAAGCCTGGCAATTTCCACATATTTCCCCATACCTTGAATTTTTGTCTTTTGTAAAGTGTCCAGAACAATCTGAAAAGTATTTACATTAAGCAGAGTAGCTTATAAAGCAAGCTACAGTGGTGTGCATTTATAGCATGGAGATTGATTCACACCGCATGTTGAGAATCTTTGCTTGCAAGGCTAGTACGTACAGGTAAAAACAGTAAGCCCAAATACTATATACATAGTCATATGATCTTTAGGTAAAAGGATAGCCAGTGAACACGTTAATGTACAGTAACTGTTTTTGCCTGAACCAAAGTACACTATGTATCCATTATTACTTTTTATTAATGTATACTGATCAGTCGAATATCTTTTGTGGCTGGTGGTGCACACCAATATTTTAGATACTGGACCTTATGAGCCTATGCATGTAATATAACTTTGTTGTTCGTGCCTGTAAGAGAAAAATTGGGCACATTTGTCTTTTATAGAAGGTCCCCTTATAGATTACTTTTCAAATGAGTGGATGTATGGGCAGGGAAGAACTGATAAAACTAATATGGCATTGTGACAGACCGCCTGGCACCCTGACCGGGTACCTCCATCAATCGCTGCTTCCTAGTACTTGCGAGCACCATAAGCACTGCACTGGAACACCATAACCACCGTAAACCCCACGAAACGCCACAGCTTGGTTGGAGTCTAGCCTTCCTCCACCCACCTTGGACCCAAGACCAGGATCCAGCTTCCAGTGGTTAGACCTCTCCTAGTCCAGGGAGCGTAGCAGGAACAACTCTTATAAGAGCTAGTGATTATCCCCAGAGTGAATGTAGTTCTCCAATCCCCCAAACATGAGCCAAGACTTCATGAAGGGGTAAACGAATCTCTCTTTAATGGGAGCCACACTTGGCCTTATATGACAATCCTCATGCAAGGGTTACCCCCAATGGACCTGATGGTAGACTGATTTGCCACTTCACAGACCAATAACAATAAGGTTACAAGGCACGACACTCCCACACACAGCACACAATCCCTCCACTCAGCATGGGAGATAATTGGATCAGTAACTGTACTAATTCTAATCCAATTATCTCCAAGCACAGGAAAAAAATGCTTTTTAATAACACCCCAAAAGTACCCTAAAAATACATAAAACCCCATCATGTTACATCCCCTGATAGCCCTGATCTGGGTGACCAACATATCCAAAAATCACCCAGATCAGTTCAGGGGTTCAGGAATTTCTGACCGACCGTGCACATGGTCCTATGCCCAAAATAGTTCCAGGGAATCAGGGCTAACGGTCGGTCACTCTGACTGGAGTACAAAAGTACATAACTCACATTAACAGAGCCTGTTTAAAGTATTTTAGCCTGGTCTATTGCAGGGGCCATAGTCACAGGGTAGTAGCCTGGCAAATAGGCCCCTTCATAAACCAGTGGCGAGGTTACTTTTGCCACAGGCATATTCTATGAAGACTGATTAACCCTTTATTATCAAGGGTGGTGCACAGTCTCATATATTTAGTTATTATTAATTCAGAAACCTACAGAGAGACAATCATACAAAAAGTCCAGTATTAAAAATAAAATGCAATTACTGGTTCTAGACCGGGGAAGGCAACATTCAGCACTGTATCTCCCATAATGCCCCTACTGCCATAATGTGCCACATGTACTATGCCATATTTGCCATGAAAAATATTCAACATTCTAAAAGTGGAACTGTCACAGAAAACAATAGAATCAACAGTAACATTGTTCTTCATTGCCCACTTTTCTATTATTGATCAATTCGTATTATTTACTTTCTGTTCACATTCTATAAAATGTCCATACAATGATAATGTTTCATTATACATGGTTTAAATAGCTATAACCCTTTGTGGGTTTTCTTTCTACATGTTTTATTTGTTTGAAACGCTTATTCGACTTTGGTTACAACATCAGAGGTGTTCTGGCAAAACTATTTCAAAACTAGAATTACTTTTTATAGACTATCTTTATCATTTTCTGTATTTATTCACATGTTGATGTTTCTATGACCATCTTTTATTAACTATTGTATCTTGACGCAATGTTTGCAGTCTTGTGCCTTTCTTAATCAGAAATGGAGATATAGGATTTTTAGATAGATGTAGTTGCCTGAAACGTTACATTTCGCAAGCTGTTTTCCTCATTGCTTCTCATAGTTACAAGAGGGAAGAACCTGATCAATTGTCAACCAATCATACAGAACTGTTTCAAACAAATATATGAAGTATGCTTGCTTAAAGGGATTCTGTAGTGTTAGGAATACAAATCATCTGTATTCCTAACACTATAGTGCACTCTGACCCCCCTTTCCCTTTCTCTGTCACATAAAGGATTTAAAACCCCTTTATTCAAGTACTCGATTCCCTGGCTGATGTCCCAAGTTGATGGGTCACCTCCCTGACTACTCTTACGTCATCCGATGGGAGGAACCAATGCGCATGTACCACAAGCACATTAGGCCCTCTCCATAGGAAAGCATTACCTCAGTGCTTTCCTAGGGGATTTTTACTGACGGATATTCTCATGAATAGCATGAGGGACTTAAGGGACTTAGAATCACAGAAGCGGCTCTAGTGGTTGCCTAATAGACAGCCACTGGAGGCAGTCTTAGTGCTGCAAAATAGTCAATTAGATGAAGTGGTCTGGGTTCCTATAGTGTGCCCCTTAAACCTTAATATGCATGCAAGTAGCCTAGAATGTGGGAGTGTACCTTTTAAGCACCAGAGAATAGCAAAGGGATTGTTAGTGGATGTGATGTGAAATATTCTAGAATAAAAGGAAAAATATCAAATGGGGCTAAGAATCTATGGAAGGTGGTTTGGCAACGTTCCAAAGCCAAAACAAAAACCTAGTGCTTGAAAGTGTAAATGGTGAGGTTTTTTTCCCCATGAGGATATGTAAACCACTTGTATAAAGCGGTTAAAGAAGGATGGAAAAATATCAAGAGATTCTGTTGAAGGCAAACGGTACATAAGAATTTTTTTTATTTTTTTTTAAATGCGTAGTTCTTGCACCATATCTATTGGGGTTTTAGAGATGTGTGCAAAGTAAAGAGACTTTGCTGGAAACAGTCAAGTTGTAGTTGTAGATAAAAACATTTTTTTTTTTAAGTTATATACTTCTGTTTTTCTCCTGCACCACATAGACTTTCCTCTTACAGTACAGACAAAAATGTTTGTTGCAGAGGCAGATAGGCTATGTTGCTTACATAAAACTTGAGATATTTCAAAATGATCACCATTTCTATTAATTAATTTACATGTGAGATGATACATTATACTGATATTGTTTTACATTTTCTTATTTGTGTTCCAGAATTAGATTAAATCAATCTGTTCAAGATCATGGGAGATATGAAGACTCCGGACTTCGATGACCTTCTTGCAGCATTTGACATTCCTGACATGGTTGATCCCAAAGCAGCTATAGAGTCTGGGCATGACGATCACGAAGTTCAGATCAAGCAAACTGCTCAAGGGGATGATGATAGTCATGTTCCGTTATCTTCAGATGTTGGTGTAAGCGTTATTGTAAAAAATGTAAGAACCGTTGATTCTTCGGAGATGCCTGAAAAAGACAATCATCACTCCACAGGTAATGGCTTGCCCAATGGGTTTCTCACCGTGTCACATCTTGACCATTTTAATAAAGAAGAATTGAAATCCCTTAAAGATAATGCTGTTGTATCGAATGCCATACTCAAAGAATCTGCTTTTAATCAGTTCAGTCCTATTTCCAGTGCTGAAGAATTTGAAGAAGATGAAAAAATTGAAGTGGACGATCCCCTCGATCGAGAAGAGTTACATTCGAATTTCAGTGCCAACATTTTGACAGCATCAGTTTCTCAGCACACCTATGAAAGGGACAAGATGCATGTAGGAGAACATTTAATTAAATCAGGGACTGCTGTTTCGAGCATTATGGACAAAAACAAAGAAAGTAAGAGAGATTTAGAAGAGAGCTCCACTCATTTAAATTTATATGAAACATTTAAACTAAGGAAACTACATGAAAAACTAAAACAAAACACCCAGAGGCATCTAGAAAATAAACTAATTGACGGGAAACTAGATGTTGACAAAAGTGAAACCAATGGAGGAGGTATGTCTTCACTAAAGTCAAAGTCTTCTGAAAAGCTTTCCTCTTGCATCGCTGCAATTGCAGCCCTAAGTGCAAACAAAGTGTCATGTGACTCGAAGGAGTTACAACTTAACAGTGATGAAAGATCTCCAGTATCAAAAGAAATCGGCGATAGCCCGTTACCAAATGACAAATCTCCAGATTCTCAATTGACCATGCAAAATCTCATTGATGGCACCAAAAAAGTCTCTGCGAAGCAACCTGATAGCCCTAGAAGTGTCTCAAGTGAAAATAGTAGTAAAGGATCACCATCCTCTGGTGGTTCAACTCCTGCTATTCCAAAAGTAAGAATTAAGACCATCAAGACTTCATCTGGAGAAATTAAAAGGACAGTTACAAGAGTGTTACCTGACTTTGAAACTGAAGGCATAAAAAGTCCTTCTGATCACACAACCTCAATGGTTGTTTCGTCACTTTTATCTTCTCCTACGTCTGTTGCTCTTCTTTCCTCTCCAAACAGAGCATCCGTGCAGCCAGCGGTGACCAGTACTCCATCATCAACAGACATGCCTCCAAAGCAAGTTACAATTAAACCTGTGGCCACTGCATTTTTGCCTGTATCTGCAGTTAAAACTGCAGGCTCACAAGTCATAAATTTGAAGTTTGCTAACAACACTACTGTAAAGGCGACTGTGATATCTGCTGCTTCTGTTCAAAGTGCCAGCAGTGCCATAATCAAGGCAGCTAATGCTATTCAGCAGCAGACTGTAGTGGTTCCGGCTTCAAGTCTTGCCAATGCTAAACTTGTGCCAAAAACCGTGCATATTGCCAATCTTAATCTCTTGCCTCAAGGTTCTCAGGCTACATCTGAGCTTCGACAAGTTTTAACAAAATCGCAGCAACCGATTAAACAGACACTTGTATCAACTACTGGAGCACAACCAGTTAAAAAGGTTTCCCGAGTCCAATTGGTGTCTTCTTCTCAAAGTTCTGTAGTGGAGGCCTTTAACAAAGTACTGAGCAGTATAAATCCAGTTCCAGTATATGTACCTAACCTCACACCTCCTGCCAATGCAGGGATAACCTTGCCAGCTCGTGGATACAAATGTCTGGAGTGTGGCGATGCATTTGCCCTAGAAAAAAGTCTTTTGCAACATTATGACCGTAGGAGTGTACGGATTGAAGTAACGTGTAATCATTGCACAAAGAATTTAGTTTTTTACAATAAATGCAGCCTCCTTTCTCATGCACGTGGACATAAAGAAAAAGGGGTTGTCATGCAGTGCTCACACTTAATCCTAAAACCAGTTCCTACAAGTCAAATGATTTCTTCACCCCAAACAAATGTGTCCACCTCAAGCTCTGTCACTACTCGACCAAATCCAGTGGCACTTTTTACCCACAGTTTGGCAAAAGTACAATCCGGTGTAACTGGGCCTGTGATATCGGCTCCTGTAAGTTCACCGGTTACTCCTGCAATGCCTTTAGATGAGGATCCAGCTAAGCAATGCCGACACAGTCTTAAATGTCTGGAATGCAATGAAGTGTTCCAGAGTGAAACCTTGTTAGCTACGCACTACCAACAGGCTACGGATACCAGTGGACAAGTACGGTACCTTTTTAGAATTATCTTATTTGTGTACTTTGTTGAAGGGATCCCTAACGTTAATACAATCCAGTTTTTCATTTGGTTCTAATTGAGTGTTGTTTGTGGTTGTAGTTGTGTTTTTTTTTTTATTTGCATTCTTTATTTTGTTTATTGAGTAACTTGTTTGAATTTTACATGACCAAATAATCTGCCTAGTTGTTAATGAAATATTAATTCAGCGTTTGTAGCTTTATGCTACTATTTCCACCTTGATTGGCCTCATCCAGCCTTTGTAATGACATACATTTCTAAATTTCTAAAAATATTTCAACATTATAGTTACGTTAGTAATTCACAAACATCTGTTTAATGCCACGATTAAACCACACTAATAAGTCTAATTTGTATACAGATTTTAAGTAATACGGCGTAAAGGTACATTGAAAAAGTGATCGTAAATGGACACTCTGGGCACCAGCACATCTCTAATGCATATGGTGGCTTTTGGACTAATTAATATACTATATTTTTACATGCTTTAAATCTATATCGTTTTTGCAAAAAAAGTACGTTTTATACCATTCTGTACCATAAACCTCCCTCCTAGCCACGCACCCTTTTCTACAGAAACGTATTGAGACATATTTTTAGTATATCACTACCTGTCTGCCTCTTGGTCCTGTGCTGTTCCTCAACCCTTCAGCTCTAAATGTATTTGCCCCCTATGTCCAAAGTGTATTTGTCCCCCAGCCCTCTGTATGTCACCATAGTAAGTAGTCACACTGTTTTAAAAAGGTTTGTATTCTTACCTGGGGTCTGCTGAATGCCGATTCCTGGCTCATCTCACATTTCTGGGCGCCTCCATTTTGTTCTCCTCTGTTCATGATGTCTGCCATTTGCCCTTCTGTGGGATTGTTTTGACGGATGGATTGTGGGTAAATTAGCGCCACCCATTATTAAAGATCATACACCCCATAAGTAAAAGTAGTCACTACTTTTTATTATGTATAACTTAAAAACTAGTTAATTTCAGAAAAATAAAAACAAAGGGAGGTAGAGGAACAAAAGAGGATTACATTAAAATCAAAACCTGCAAAGTGAAATATTTAATGCAGTTATCTTGCTGCTGAACCAATTTAAAAACATTAGGATTGTTTTGCATTCTGACAGATGATATTTCTGTGGAAGAGTGCAACATGGTGTACACACTGACCAATTGGCTGCTTCTCATTCACAAATAGAACCATAAGAAATGGATGAGATGAGTGGATAATATTGAGATTCTGCAGCTATTCGTCCTTTGGGCTCTCCAGCCCTGTTTGGATGTCTAATTTTTTTTTTAAATGTATCTCTATAGGAATGTATTTATTTTAAATGTCAGCCAGGGCTGCGCTAACATGGGGACTAATGGAGCTGAAATTCCATATCCACAGTATTCTTCACATGCTCTTGCTCTAAAATGTTGTGCCGAGGGAATTAAGTATGGGAATTTAGGAGGAATGCAAGGGAACAAAACGTGTGTGGGCCAAGCTTAGCAGCAACTGCATTGAGGCTCATATGCTGAGGGGACCCAATGGATGTCTGATGCACTTAGGGACACCCAATAGGCATTTATCATCAGTGGCCCCATCATACGTTGCTGCTTGTGTGCTAGTGTGTGTGTGTTTGTGTGTATATGTGCGTGAGTGTGCTTGTGTGTAAATGTGCATACATTTCAGCATTCAAATTCCAACAATACACACTAATACACCTGTGCAGTCAAACATGAACACTACATACAGTCAGCTGGGTGTCGCCTGGGGGACCTGCAGATCGGCGCTGAAGGCACACTCTGGGGTTAAACCATTCAAAACCGATTTAACACCTTGAGGTAAGAGTGCACCTGGGGGTTGCCTGGCACCATAACTTAATTTAGTGTTTTACTTTAATCTGAAATAGGTGAATTATGCTTGAATAGACATATAGCTCACATTCTGCGATTTGTCTTTGTTCAGATCTGCAGGTTCTGGCACTTAATGTCTAATAAATAAAATGAATTAGTGGGTTGTAGATCTCTGTCCTTGGATACAAATGTTTTTCAGAATTGCAGGACTTCTATCAATCCCATCTATGTGAAAGTCAAAACCCAATTATTGAGGCTTTACTTTCACTTTTCTTCTTTATACCCATGCTGGCTAGGATTGATACGCAACCAGTGTTCCTCTTCGTCTATGTCCGCCTGTGCTATGAATATTTTTAGGACGGTTCCCCTTGACACATGAACAAATCTTGTTGTGCCTGCAATTTGGATGCCAAATAATCTATGAAACAGTTTGTTTCTCCTATGTTGCTGCATTTCTAATTTTGGTTTACTAGATTTAGTGGTAATAAATGGAGATTTGGTGTCAGCTATTACTGTAGGTGAAAGTTTAGGATCCAGTGATCATCAGTCAGTGTGCTTTAATATAAGAACAGTGACTGAGTCACACCACACAAAAACAAAAGTTTTAGACTTTAGAAAAGCAGACTTTTCTAAAATTAAAATACGTGTAAAGGAGTCATTATCAGACTGGAGCAATTTAAATGGAGTCCTAGAGAAATGGGATTATTTAAAAGTTGCACTGCTGAAGGGAACATAAAATTGCATTAGGCTTGTCAGTAAAAGCAAGAAACCACTGTGGTACTTCGCAGATGTGGAGCAAATAGTAAAAAACAAAAAGTTAGCATTTAGTAATTATAAAAAAAGTGAGGAAGACAATGATCTATAAGATTAGGCAGAAAGAGGCTAAGCAAGTTATAAGAGCTTCCAAATCACATACAGAAGAGAAAATAGCACAGTCAGTAAAAAAAAAGGGGACAAAACATTTTTTAGATACATAAATGAGAAAAGGAAAGTAAACCAAGGATTAGTTAGATTAAAAACAAAAGAAGGAAGGTATGTAGAAGAGGATAAAGGTCTAGCTGACTGCCTATAGTCACCTGAACAACATCAGCTTAATGAGGTTGTTCAGGTGAGAACTATAGCTCCCTGCAGCCTTTCTCATGTAAACACTGTATTTTCTGAGAAAATACAGTGTTTACATTGAAAGCTAGGAACACCTCCAGTTGCAGTCACTCACAGTGAACCACAGGGACTTCGGAGTTGATGGAGGCATAATATCCCTCCATCCACTCAGATCTGCTGTGCACGAGCATCCTGTGATTCAGTATCTCCTCCCACTGCATGCAGACACTGAACTTTCCTCATTAATTCAATTCATCTCTATGAGGAGATGCTGATTGGCCAGGGCTGTGTTTGAATCATGCTGGCTCTGCCCCTGATCTGCCTCCTTGTCAGTCTCAGCAACATGGGTTTACTTCAGGGAAATCATGCCAAACTAATCTTATTGATTTTTTTGATTGGGTAACTAAAATTATAGATCAGGGTGGTGCAGTAGACATTGCTTACCTAGATTTCAGTAAGGCTTTTGACACTGTTGCACATAGAAGGCTTATCAATAAACTGCAATCTTTAAGTTTGGATTCCAATATTGTTGAATGGGTAAGGCAGTGGCTGAGTGACAGGCAACAGAGGGTTGTAGTCAATGGAATATATTCAAAGCTTGGACTTGTCACCAGTGGGGTACCTCAGGGATCTGTACTTGGACCCATTCTCTTTAATGTTTTTATTAGTGATATTGCAGAAGGTCTTGATGGTAAGGTATGTCTTTTTGCTGATGAAACTAAGATATGTAACAGGGTTGATGTTCCAGGAGGGATAAGCCAAATGGCAAATGATTTAGGTAAACTAGAAAAACGGTCAGAGTTGTGGCAACTGACATTTAATGTGGATAAGTGCAAGAGTACAGAACATTTTATAGAGTCCTAACCTGAGTCTGAGGAAAGGGATTTAGGGGTTAATATTTCTGATGACTGTACGCTGATGACACTCAGATATACCTCTCCTCCCCGGACCTTTCCCCTGCCATCCTGCAAGGTGTCACTGCTTGCCTTTCTTCCATCTCTGACTGGATGTCCTCACGCTTTCTGAAACTTCTCTAAAACTGAACTCCTTGTCTTTCCTCCTCCTAATACTGATCCTCCTCTCTCGCTCTCCCTTCAAGTCAGTGATATCCACATAAGTCCATCCCTGCAAGCACGCTGTCTTGGCATCATACTTGACTCTGGTCTCACCTTTGAGTCTCACATCCAGTTTGTTGCCAAGTCCTGTAGGTTCCAACTCAAAAACATAGCCCACATCCGCCCCTTTCTTACGCAAGATGCTACCAAGGAGCTTGTCCATGCTCTAGTAATTTCCCGCATGGATTACTGTAACCCTCTCCTGATTGGTCTCCCCAAAAGCCGTATTGCCCCGCTAAAGTCTGTAATGAATGCTGCAGCTAGACTGATTTTCCTCTCTAGTCGGTCCTCTCACACCTCACCCCTCTGCCAGTCCTTACATTGGCTCCCTGTATGCTATTGGAGTCAATTCAAAGTACTAACCCATACATTTAAAGCACTGAACAATTCTAGCCCCTCTTATATCTCTTCACTAATCCATAGATATGCCCCTCCTCGTACCCTCCGCTCTGCCCGTGACCACCTCCTGACCGCTGCTCGCACCCGTACGGCCAACTCGCGCTTGCAGGACCTCTCGCGGGCGGCTCCTCTCCTATGGAATAGCTTGCCTACTGCCATCAGACTCTCCCCTAGTCTTCAATCATTTAAGAAGGGCCTTAAAACCCATCTCTTCAGGAAAGCTTATGGCCTCCCAGAGTAATCTCTACCTTACATACCTGTCTCCTGCTCTCTCCTATGGGACAGTGCTTTGCTCTCTCCTCCAGCTCTGCTTCACTCCTACTCGATAATTCCTGTCCTAATGTTTCTAATACCCCACCTCCTATAGTCTGTAAGCTTGTTTGAGCAGGGTCCTCTTCAACCTATTGTTCCTGTAAGTTTTCTTGTAATTGTCCTATTTATTGTTACATCCCCCCTCTCAAAATATTGTAAAGCGCTACGGAATCTGTTGGCGCTATATAAATGGCGATAATAATAATAATAATAATTAAAGGTAGGCAAACAATGTAATAGAGCAGCAGGAAATGCTAGCAAAATGCTTGGTTGTATAGGGAGAGATATTAGCAGTAGAAAGAGGGAAGTGCTTATACCATTGTACAGAACACTGGTGAGACCTCACTTGGAGTATTGTACACAGTACTGGAGACCGTATCTCCAGAAGGATATTGATACTGTAGAGAGAGTTTAGAGAAGGGCTACTAAACTGGTTCATGGATTGCAGGATTAAATTTACAAGGAAAGGTTAAAGGAATTTAACATGTATAGCTTGGAGGAAAGACGAGACAGGGGGGATATGATAGAAACATTTAAATTCATAAAGGAAATCAACACAGTAAAGGAGACTATATTTAAAAGAAGAAAAACTACCACAAAAAGAGGACATAGTCTTAAATTAGAGGGACAAAGGTTTAAAAATAATATCCGTAAGTATTACTTTACTGAGAGGGTAGTGGATGCATGGAATAGGCTTCCAGCTGAAGTGCTAGAGCTGAACACAGTAAAGGAGTTTAAGCATGCGTGGGATAGGCATAAAGCTATCCTAACTATAAGATAAGTCCAGGGACTAATGAAAGGATTTTTTTCAAAATTGGGCAGACTCGATGGGCTGAATGGTTCTCTTCTGCCGTCACATTCTATGTTTCTATGTTTAATGCTTAACAGTTTTTTTCAATATGGTGTTTGCACTATTTTTGCTGAATTTCTTTCATTATGCAGATGAGTATAAACCCTGTAACCTATAAACAAATAATCCAACTGTGACATTTAGGAACATGATTTCTAAATCTGGTCCTGTATTCCATTGCTTTGCGGTCAAATTTGGATACAGTTTGCCATTATGTTATTTATGCATGTTACAGACTCATTTTATAAACCATAGTTCAGAATTGTCAGTTTAATTATACAGTGTTTGTTTGCTTTATACATGCAGAATAATATTTATAATGTGGTAAAGCCGGCACCAGCAATGAACTACCTTAATTCACTAGCTTTGCTTTAACTACACTTCCATTAATCTATTGCCAGCCATCAATTGGAGATCATTAGTTGTTAAGTCATTAGTCATTAATGGTTTGCTTTGTATGGAGTTTTAGTTTGTCTTGTTGCAATAAATGGCTGTTTTACACAGACAAAAATACATTAAAGGGAAACTGTCCCTTTCTAAGATTTTTAAAGGGACGGTACAAGCACCCAAACCATGTCATCTCAATGAAGTAGCCTGGGTGCCACGCTACTGCCTGTATAACTCTGAAACTCCAAACAGTGCCATTCTTCAGGAATGGCAATGTTCACATTGCAGGGTTTACATGCCTCTTGTGACTGTCTCAATGACAGCCACTGGAGGTTCTTCCACCCTAATAGCCAAGTTAAACTGGGCTCTTTAATAGGATGGTCTCAAGGATTGGCACAGACTGGCATATTGCCATGCATGCACACTAGCTTTGTAATGATCTCCGCAAAAGTTGCTAAGCGGCATCTTGGAGACCGCTGCTTTTTATTAGTCAATTTGGGTTCTTCAGTCAATCATTGTTATAAGCTCTGTGTGTTGTACTTGGTAGTAGAGAAAGCATAAAATAAAGAGGAAAATAAAACTATTTTTATTTGTCACCTCATTATTTATTTTTTAACTGGAAGGTTCCCATTTGTGTTTAGAGTACTGGGCCTTTATTTCAACCTTGAAAGAATTAAACATCAAACTCACCTTTATTTCTGCATTAGGAGAGTCTGCTTTCTCGCGAGGTATCATTAATCAAGTCTCATAGAGATACATTGGAACACTCACTGTGATCCAGTGGCGGATCCAGAGCCTGATCTCGGGAGGGGCACTTGTAGATTATTTAAATAAATAATCCAGGCACAATAATCACTACAGCTCATTGTAGTAGTTATGGTGCCAGTGGTGCCAGGATCCCATCCCAGAGTAAGTAGTCAAACCGTTTAAGAACAGTTTGACAACTTACCTGGGGTCTGCTGGAATATAGGGCATAGGAGCAGTGGTATGTGTGAGGGGTGAAGTGTGTGTGAAAGGTGCAGTGTGTGTTCGTGTGCAGTGAAGTGTGTGTGAGTGCGTGAGGGCGGCAATGTGTGTCAGGGTTGCAGTGTGTGTGTTAGGGGGCAGTGTGTGAGAGTTGCAGTGTATGTGTGTTTGGGACAGTGTGTATGGGGGGCACTGTATGTGTGTATAAGGGGCACTGTGTGTGTGGGGGCAATGTGTGTATGGGGGCAGTGTATGTGTTTATGGGGAGCACTGTATGTGTGTATGGGGAGCACTGTATGTGTGTGTGGGGCACTGTATGTATGTGTGGGGCAGTGTGTGTGGGGGGCAATGTGTCTATGGGTGTGCAGTGTGTGTGTATGGGTGGCAGTGTGTGTATGGGGGCAGTGTATGGGGCAGTGTGTGTGGGGGCAGTGTGTGTGTGTGTGTGACGAGTGTATGTATGGGTGGCAGTGTTTGTGGGGCAGTGTGTGTATGGGGGCAGTGTATGTATGGGGCAGTGTGTGTGGGGGGCAATGTGTGTCTGGGTGTGCAGTGTGTGTGTGTGACGCAGTGTATGTGTGGGTGGCAGTGTTTGTATGGGGGCAGTGTATGTATGGGGGCAGTGTGTGTCTGGGTGTGCAGTGTGTGTGTGTGTGACGCAGTGTATGTATGGGTGGCAGTGTTTGTGTGGGGCAGTGTATGTATGGGGGGCAGTGTGTGTGTGGAGGGGAAGGAGGGTAGGGGGCTTTTAAATAATGTTTTTTTTAATTTAATTACATAAATTTCCCCCCTCCCTTCTTACCTTTACTGAGGGAGGAGGGGGGACATTTCTCCATCCCTGGTGGTCCGGTGGGGATTCCCTGGTGGTCCCAGTGGGGAGAGTGAACTCTAGCCCACGCTCCAGGACTAGAGTTCACTCTTGCGAGATTTGGAGCGTTGCCGTGGTAATCGCGGCAACGCTCCGTGCTCGCGAGAGGAGGACCTGGAGGAGCTGCAGGCTGAGCTCCCGGGTCCTCTCTCCTCGCTGCCAGCATAGTGCCTGCTCCCCGGACAGCAGGCACATTGCAGGGCTGGCAGTTGGACAATGCCAGCCCTGCATTAGCCGGCAGGGGTGAATCTCGGGGGGGGGGGCAATTGCCCCGTTGCCCCCCCCTTGGATCCGCCTATGCCATGATCCGACAACAGTAGAGAAGCATTGATTCTACGAAAAGTACTCTCTTCCTCTTTGAACTTTTGTTCAAAGCAAGTAAGGCAGGAAACCAAGCAAAAGTGATTTAGGGGACTGGAGTTTCCTTTTAACAGAAGTTATAGGTGGTTTTCAACATGTTATTCAGTAGTGTAATGTCCATAGAAGTTAAAATTCCACTTTAAGAGCTATAATGTGTTAAAGGGACTTATCATATTTCTTTCTCGTAGTGCTACTAATTGTATGCATTGATCTAGAGAAAATATCTATTTATTTTAAATAGTGTACCTACAGGTACATTTCTTGTGCTGAGTAACGGAGTTCCTCGGCACAGGTAACATTTCAAAGGTAGTTAGTGTAGATATTTGTGAACAGATGCGTGCACAGCCACTTGATCCAAATTACATGAACAGCATGAATTTTGGTAGTAGATGGTGGTACGTTTACATCTATTTCAGGAAGCAATCAACATATTATGCAAATACAGTGTTCTAGTAAATGTACCTTTTCCTATTAGCATTCAGATATTTTTAGGAAGATATTAAAATTCTATATTAAGTGATAAGTGTTGTTGTTAAAACAACTTTCTAGATACATTATGGAATGCATTGTATTTTCAATAGTGCTGCTGTGATACTACCCTTAATATTATGTTTTATTTTTTCTGATTTTCCTTTTTCTAGAAGACATGCAGTATTTGTATGATGCTGCTACCAAACCCATGCAGCTACTCATGCCATCAGCGGATACATCATCACAAATCCCCATACACATGTCCTGAGTGCGGAGCTATCTGCCGGTCTGTGCATTTTCAGACCCATGTCACCAAAAGTTGTCTACATTACACCCGCAGGATAGGTTTTCGGTAAGTTCTCTTGTTTGTAGCAGGAGAGGCATACATTCATTATTTAACCCTCTCAGTGCGTTCTAGCACACCAAGGTATAAACTTTCAATGATAACATTGTGGTCCATCTTCTACCTTGTTGTACTACATCTTATTAATAGTACATGTTGATTAAATGGACACCCATACATGCAGTTTACTCCTTTTTTGCAATACATTAAGAAAATGACGCATTAAAATGCAAATACATTAATAAAAAGAAAACCTTTCCTCGCATTTTATCTGGCTTGCTGCCAATCTGCAGGGACTTAGCAATTCCATTTTATGTTGATATGTACGTCTGCACTCACCAGTAGTTTTGTTAATGAATAAATAAAATAAGAAAAAAAATAATGAAGTCCGCAAATTAATAGGAGTCAATGTTTGGTGTATATATATATATCAAACTGAGGAAGCCTGTACAAGTTTCCCATAGTTTGTACACAGTGTACATCTTACACCTGTGATATCATGCATAATACATAGAATGAAGGAAGGATAATGGATATTTGAACCATAGCCTGTTTAATTATGGTGCATATCTTATTTCTATTATATGTGCCATTTTATGAATATAATAAAAATGTAACACTCTGCACACCTTGACAGAACCTAAAATGTATTTAAGGGTCATTTACATTTTGGCACAATCCAATTCTTAATGTCCAAACAATCTAATTGCTATCCAGTGCTAATGCAGATTCATAGATTCAGAGTTACAGAACACGGACTTGCACTTACTGAATCAGTTTTTATTACCAATATGCTTGTCTCTAATGTGCCTGTCCTTTATATTATACTGAGCATGACTTTAAGTGCAGACAGATGCAAGCTTTTAGTGCAGCCCCATCTTGAAACAATAACCAAGCAGGTTTTTCTTGGGTATCATTGGAGATTTTGCCATTTCAATTAATAGTTTACAGCTCTATACCTGCCACCACCTGACCTTATAATCCATGGTTTTTGTGGGTCGCAAAGCTGTTCACCAACAGGAAGGGAAAGAGAACTTCCCAATGCACTCGGAGATTTACAAATTAGATGTCACATTTTTAGGGCTTGCTTTATGCCAGTTCCTGATATTTACATTTTGATTGTGTTTCTCCTAAATAATTAAAAGACTAAACCGAAAACAGTGGAACTGCCACAATCTAGTGAAAGAACCTGCACGATGAATGTTGGTATGATTAAAACCATTTTTTGTTTTAGGTGTATACATTGCAATGTGGTTTATTCGGAAACGGCAGCGTTGAAATGCCATATTCAAGGATCCCACTGTGAAGTCTTTTACAAATGTCCGATCTGTCCAATGGCGTTTAAATCCGCACCGAGCACACACTCCCATGCTTACACCCATCACCCTGGTGTGAAGATTGGAGAACCCAAGTATGTGTCTTCAAATTTATCCTGTACTTTACAGCAAGCCTTGCATTTATAGTGGCCAACTGTTTTTCTTTTTATTCTTTTTGTGGTGGAGAATTGAAATCTCTATTTTCCTCTGATACATGAAAGAAACACTCCGAGCTAAAAGTTATCGCCTCATTTGCATGCATGTTACAGAAAATGTGTTACAGAAAACAGACATTTTTGATGAAATACATTTAAATTGATACCTCCGAATGTCATTTATATACACAAAATCTTTTGGCCCAGCTGCATGTACAGTGATGTCTGGGGGTCTTTCAGGTACTCCTGTTTCTCTTATTGATATAAATGGAAATGCTGAACACATAAACCCTGATTAGATGCACTTTTCATAAAATGTGGGCTTTCGTCCATGCACAACAGCTTCTCATTTGTATTATTTTGTGAATAAAAAGCAGAATATTCATCTTTCTGTTCAACCTCTGATTGAAGTACATTTTGTCATAGGGGAGATGTTTCCCCTAAACTGGAAATAACACAGCTGTATTTTTTCTTTTGATTGTCTCTTGTGGTTTTTGCTTGTTATATATTGTACGGTACACCTGGCACTTTTGAATAATATCAAGATTTTTTTTTTATGAGATATGTTCCATCAGATACATTAATGTATATTGTCAGTAGAACTAAATGTCGCTCAATTTATGCGACTGGAAAGCAGCATGCAGTCCTTACTTGTTGATCTGTCTATTTAAATATAGTTTGCATTACGTGAACTGGAGAAACTGGCCAGGGTCAATTAATGCCTCTCTAGTTTTAATTATTCAGTTGTCAGGTTTACAGGAAACATTCGACTAGAAATGTTCTTAGAACATTAGTGTGCTAATCACCGTTTTAGTTATTGCACTCCTGTGTGGTATAATAGACTCTAATTAAAACAACCATTGAGAATGCTTTGTGCACAGAGCAGTTATGGGGCCAGCTTCTAAAAGTGGAAATGTTATCAAAATCATTGGAATGTTCTTGAGAGTAACTGCATTTTATGAACGTTCCATGGTTGCTTTTTTATACATATCCTCCCCCACCTCCATGAATTTCTGAAGAATAGTGGTGAAATAGATTTTTTTAATCCTATCTGTTAATGCCATGAACTTGTAGAACACTGATGACTGTCGGTGTCTTAGTGTACGGCCGGTAAAAGATCATCTGATCTAAAAGTACCTAATCAGTTTCCGTTGACATGCAATCCTCACATAGGTGTTGGATGTCAATGTCAGTTGTTGAAATGGTAATTGTACTTGTGTTTTACGGGGAAGGCGATGTTGATAAGCCATTTTCTCAAACGTCACTAGTTTTAAATGTCCTCTTTCTTGCGTGAGTAGCTCTCTTATCAGTAATGTTCTTTAGCCACATTGCTGTTACATTATTGCAAAAGATAATATTTTATTATCTTCTTATATTTTATTTAAAAATTTTCCACAAAGTCATCAGAAGTGTTTTTAAAGAATAATTTTGCGTTGACCGAACCTTTTATCACTCAGTTAAAAAAATTTTACTCTTAAAACCTAAGGTGCTACTGGTCGGACAAGTAACACAAGGCAGCTCATTTATGTTTCATTGTTTCTCGCCTTATAAAATATGTTGAGGAAAGTGCAGAGGATGGAAAGGAAACAAGCAGATTTTATTCAGAAATTCTACTGTTTGCAGGGAAAAAAATTGTGAAAAGAAAGACCGCATTCTGCTTTTAACAGAAATCGTGCCATTGAAAAGCTGCATTAAATTCTTAAACCCACGTTTGTTAACATAGTTTTTTATGTATTTGATTATTCAATGAAATGCTTCTACTAAACGTTGTATGTGCTTTTTTTTTCTCTCAAAACCTGTTTGGGAAGTTCATTTTATTACCCTCTAGTTTTACCTAAATTGCAGAGTTTCCATAGTGTATTAATAAAGACAATAACATCTCTTGATAGTGTGTATTGGTATGTGTATAAGGGATGCATATTATGGTTACCATCTTGGGCACTTTAGGACAAACGGTGCACTTTAGGACAAAGTAACTTGGCATTCCGTCATCCTGTATTAATGGAGTGACAACTTGGAGATGACTTCTTAATCTGATCAATGCATTAAATCTCTGTCCTCCCTTACCCCCTTCCTTCATGTGCATGTGTCCAGCTGCTGGGTGTCTCTGTTTTGTAAGGAGCATTGTGGACACCCACTTCTTTTTTTTTTTTTTTCAAAGACATTAAGAAATTCCAAATGCATTATCTTGAGGCTTGGTATTGCCGCTAACATCATATATATAAACATATACATACATATAAAAGACATAGATACCACTTTGTTTTATATAACCATAGAATTATGGCAAAAGGTGGGAAGTTAATGAACCAACAAATTTTCAACAAGCCATTTTAGAAGTGATCCTGTGAGGAGAGATGAAGATGAGGGGGTGGCAGTGCTGAGGAAGGTGTGATATTCATTTAAGTATATCCCCGTTCCCTTTTTCTCGTCAGATGTGATGTAATATCCAGGGGATCTCTACAAACAGAGAGAGATCCACATGTGACAATACTACTTTTAAACACTTATACTACTATAAAAAAATAAATAAAATAAAAAAGTTACTGGCACACTATCCCAAATCTCTATGCATATTTAAATAAATGGAGGTTTTTAGTATCCGTCCAATGGCCATTAGATGTAAGCCCACCCGCCATGTCAAGGCAAACCTGTTAGGTGAGTCCTACCCTAACAATTTACATTGCTTCCTTCAGCTTCAGGTAGTGTAGGACTCCCCTAAGAGGTTTGCCTTGACGTGGCAGGTGAGCTTCCACACAATTGCCATTAAAGTGATACTAAAAACCTCTAGTTATTTAAATATACATATTTGGGATAGTGCGCAAGTAACTCTTTTCTTTGTTTTTTATTGTATGTTTTGGGGCTGATGTGTACTATGGTCATTGCTGCCGCCCAGGAATCGTGGGAGTTTGAGCGTAAGACTTATCTTTGTATACTTCTACTACTATACCTTAAAAAAAAATAGTGTCTATTGAGCAAAACAGAATGTTGAAAAAAATATTATCCTGTTTATTTATAGATTTATTTATTTTGAATATAGAATTTAAATGAAATCTCCCAAGTTGTAGGGCCACAAGCTAGCATATGCTGCACAGTGATCCTGTCGATGCAAGACATACACAACGTATACAAGAGTTTGGTGATTAGTGAATATTTATTACACTTTCAATCATTTAATTGTGTTTCTTTCTAAGCCAGGAATTATGTAGTAAGCAAAATGTTTCTCTTTTTAGGACTATATACAAATGTTCCATGTGTGACACAGTGTTTACACTCCCGCCGTTACTTCATCGACATTTTGATGTGCATCTCGAGAACCAGAAAGTGTCCGTATTCAAGTGTCCCGACTGCTCGCTGCTGTTTGCACAGAAGCAGCTAATGATGGATCACATCAAGGTATGATAAGATGTATTCTGTACCCCGAGAAGCTGATATACTCCTATTGCTTTAATGGGTTTGCAGGAGGTGTGTCAATTCCGAAACGTGCAGATTATTTAATGACGTATATCGAATTATGCCATTAAAAAAAAAAATATTTTAGCAAAAGACCACTGCATTTTTACACTAATTTCTCTTTTAATGTAGAGATAAATTACATTACCATAATTTTAATTACTGTGGAGCTCTGTAATTCACTTCTATTTTCCAGAAAAAATAGATGGAGGATTTTGATCACAATCCTTCCAAAAGAGGAACAACCTTGCAAGTCTAATATTCTAAGGGCTCATCACAAACATCCGAGTAATCCCCAATTCTTTTTATAAATAATTTGCACTGGTTCTCTGCATTTTTGCTGGGAATTTGTGTAAAAATTGATAATTATAGGGTTTGTATGAAATGAAAGTTAGTGTCTCAGTTCCTGTTTTTTTATTTGGTGTGATAATACCCTGATGGGTCAATATTGGACTTGTGCACTGCAAAAAAAATTGATTTGGCTGAATCAATCTGTCCAAAACAAATTATTGTGTCAGCCAATTCTGGATTCATTGATATGGTGTTTCGGTTTGAATGCATTTCATGAATGCAATTATTTCGGAGAAAAACATTTGGTTGAAACAAAATGTTGTGGTACACTGATTATTATTATTATTATTATTGCCATTTATATAGCGCCAATAGATTCCGTAGCGCTTTACAATATTTTGAGAGGGGGGATGTAACAATAAATAGGACAATTACAAGAAAACTTACAGGAACAATAGGTTGAAGAGGACCCTGCTCAAACGAGCTTACAGACTATAGGAGGTAGGGTATTAGAAACGTTAGGACATGAAATATCAAGTAGGATTGAAGCAGAGCTGGAGGAGAGAGCAAATCACTGTCCCATAGGAGAGAGCAGGAGACAGGTATGTAAGGTAGAGATTACTCTGGGAGGCCATAAGCTTTCCTGAAGAGATGGGTTTTAAGGCCCTTCTTAAATGATTGAAGACTAGGGGAGAGTCTGATGGCAGTAGGCAAGCTATTCAATAGGAGAGGAGCCGCCCGTGAGAGGTCCTGCAAGCGCGAGTTGGCCGTACGGGTGCGAGCAGCGGTCAGGAGGTGGTCACGGGCAGAGCGGAGGGTACGAGGAGGGGCAAATCTATGGATTAGTGAAGAGATATAAGTGAGGCTAGAATTGTTCAGTGCTTTAAATGTATGGGTTAGCACTTTTAATTGACTCCTATAGCATACAGGGAGCCAATGTAAGGACTGGCAGAGGGGTGAGGTGTGAGAGGACAGACTAGAGAGGAAAATCAGTCTAGCTGCAGCATTCATTACAGACTGCAATAGGGCTTTTGGGGATACCAATCAGGAGAGGGTTACAGTAATCCATGCGGGAAATTACTAGAGCATGGACAAGCTCCTTGGTAGCATCTTGCGTAAGAAAGGGGCGAATGCGGGCTATGTTTTTGAGTTGGAACCTACAGGACTTGGCAGCAAACTGGATGTGAGACTCAAAGGTGAGACCAGAGTCAAGTATGACGCCAAGACAGCGTGCTTGCAGGGATGGACTTATGTGGATATCACTGACTTGAAGGAAGAGCGAGAGAGGAGGATCAGTATTAGGAGGAGGAAAGACAAGGAGTTCAGTTTTAGAGAAGTTAAGTTTCAGAATGTGTGAGGACATCCAGTCAGAGATGGAAGAAAGGCAAGCAGTGACGTGTAGCAGGACGGCAGGGGAGAGGTCCGGGGAGGAGAGGTATATCTTAGTGTCATCAGTGTACAGGTGGTAGTGGAATCCAAAAGAGGGAATAAGTTTACCAAGAGAGACAGTATAAAGAGAAAATAGAAGGGGACCAAGGACAGACCCTTGGGGAACTCCAACCGATACAGGACGAGGGGAGGAGGTGTCCTTGGAAAAGGAGACACTGAATGAGCGTTGGGAGAGATAGGAGGAAAACCAAGAGAGGACAGAGTCACAGAGACCGAGCGATTGAAGAGTTTGAAGGAGGAGAGCATGATCAACGGTGTGAAAGGCAGCAGAGAGGTCAAGGAGAATTAATATGGAGTAGTGACCTTTGGATTTAGCGGAGATTAGGTCATTAGTCACTTTGATAAAAGCAGTCTCAGTAGAGTGGAGAGGGCGGAAGCCAGACTGAAGAGGGTCAAGGAGAGAGTTGGAATTAAGAAAGCAGGACACACGGGTAAAGACAAGTCTTTCCAAAAGCTTTGATGAGAAAGGGAGCAGGGATATGGGACGATAGTTAGAAGGGGAGGATGGGTCAAGAGATGTTTTTTTCAGGATAGGTATTACAGTGGAATGTTTAAGGTCAGCAGGAACAGTGCCAGAAGAGAGAGAGCAGTTAAAGATGTGTGTTAGGGTAGGCACAAGACAAGGGGAGAGAGATCTGATCACAGATCAAGTGTGATAAAGTAACCAATAGATGTAAAAAGTAGGAGCAGTAAATAAATGTATATTTATATAATCGTGATATAATATAGAAGTGACTCACTTTATTAATTAAACTTATTAAACTAAAGTTAAAGCTAAATTGAAAACAGAATTGACTTTTTTAATTTTGAAATTCACTTTGAATTCCTGGCAATTCCTATTAATATTTAAAGGACTACTATAGTCACCCAGACCACTTCAGCTCAATGAAGTGGTCTGGGTGCCAGGTCCCCCAGGTTTTAACCCTTCAGATGTAAACATGGCAGTTTCAGATAAACTGCTATGTTTACATTGCTAGGTTACTCCAGTCTCTAGTGGCTGTCTTCCTGACAGCCGTTAGAGGCACTTCTGCAACGCTGAATGCGGAAATCACATCCAGCGTGCAGAACGTCCATAGGAAAGCATTGAAAAATGCTTTCCTATGGGCGTTTTTAATGCGTGTGCAGCTCTGGCCACGCATGCGCATTCCGCTCCACTCAGGAGCTGACGTCAGAGTGGGAAGAAAGGTCACCAGCTCAGAGGGAGCCCAGCACTGGATTAAAGTAAGTAACTGAAGGGCTTTTAACCCCTTCAGCGCCAAGGGAGGGGTGCCCTCATGGGTTATATACAGGGAGTGCAGAATTATTAGGCAAATTAGTATTTTGACCACATCATCCTCTTTATGCATGTTGTCTTACTCCAAGCTGTATAGGCTCGAAAGCCTACTACCAATTAAGCATATTAGGTGATGTGCATCTCTGTAATGAGAAGGGGTGTGGTCTAATGACATCAACACCCTATATCAGGTGTGCATAATTATTAGGCAACTTCCTTTCCTTTGGCAAAATGGGTCAAAAGAAGGACTTGACAGGCTCAGAAAAGTCAAAAATAGTGAGATATCTTGCAGAGGGATGCAGCACTCTTAAAATTGCAAAGCTTCTGAAGCGTGATCATCGAACAATCAAGCGTTTCATTCAAAATAGTCAACAGGGTCGCAAGAAGCGTGTGGAAAAACCAAGGCGCAAAATAACTGCCCATGAACTGAGAAAAGTCAAGCGTGCAGCTGCCACGATGCCACTTGCCACCAGTTTGGCCATATTTCAGAGCTGCAACATCACTGGAGTGCCCAAAAGCACAAGGTGTGCAATACTCAGAGACATGGCCAAGGTAAGAAAGGCTGAAAGACGACCACCACTGAACAAGACACACAAGCTGAAACGTCAAGACTGGGCCAAGAAATATCTCAAGACTGATTTTTCTAAGGTTTTATGGACTGATGAAATGAGAGTGAGTCTTGATGGGCCAGATGGATGGGCCCGTGGCTGGATTGGTAAAGGGCAGAGAGCTCCAGTCCGACTCAGACGCCAGCAAGGTGGAGGTGGAGTACTGGTTTGGGCTGGTATCATCAAAGATGAGCTTGTGGGGCCTTTTCGGGTTGAGGATGGAGTCAAGCTCAACTCCCAGTCCTACTGCCAGTTCCTGGAAGACACCTTATTCAAGCAGTGGTACAGGAAGAAGTCTGCATCCTTCAAGAAAAACATGATTTTCATGCAGGACAATGCTCCATCACACGCGTCCAAGTACTCCACAGCGTGGCTGGCAAGAAAGGGTATAAAAGAAGAAAATCTAATGACATGGCCTCCTTGTTCACCTGATCTGAACCCCATTTAGAACCTGTGGTCCATCATCAAATGTGAGATTTACAAGGAGGGAAAACAGTACACCTCTCTGAACAGTGTCTGGGAGGCTGTGGTTGCTGCTGCACGCAATGTTGATGGTGAACAGATCAAAACACTGACAGAATCCATGGATGGCAGGCTTTTGAGTGTCCTTGCAAAGAAAGGTGGCTATATTGGTCACTGATTTGTTTTTGTTTTGTTTTTGAATGTCAGAAATGTATATTTGTGAATGTTGAGATGTTATATTGGTTTCACTGGTAATAATAAATAATTGAAATGGGTATATATTTGTTTTTTGTTAAGTTGCCTAATAATTATGCACAGTAATAGTCACCTGCACACACAGATATCCCCCTAACATAGCTATAACTAAAAACAAACTAAAAACTACTTCCAAAAATATTCAGCTTTGATATTAATGAGTTTTTTGGGTTCATTGAGAACATGGTTGTTGTTCAATAATAAAATTAATCCTCAAAAATACAACTTGCCTAATAATTCTGCACTCCCTGTAGTGTCAGGAAAACAAGTTTGTTTTCCTCACACTATAGTGATCCTTTAATAAAACATGAATAACACATACATGGTATGGAAACAAAATATTCATCGATGGCAGAGTTTGTATTTCACCTGGGGTCTGGCTCTCAGAACCTCGTCACCTATTGCATATTTTGTAGCTCTATTATAACACTCGTGTTCTCAGCTTCAAGCTTTGTTAAGAAAACAAAACTCACTTGTATATTTGTGTCTAATTTGTTCCATTGTTGTCAACTCTGTACTCAAACTTTGCAAAGAAAGTTTATTTGTTTTTAGACATAATTTTAGTTTTCTTTTTTCTCTGGTAATCACAGATAGTCCAAATGTTTATATACGACTGGTAGTTTACTTCCTCTAAAGCAAGTAGAAGCTGGGGTACCTGTGATGTGCTCTTAGTATTTATCTGTTTATCGTACTCTCAGAGCCTAGCTAACCAACTAACTTAAATGTAATAGAAATACATGAAGTGAGACACTGTGCTTTCAAATGCCTTGTCCTAATCTGCTATAATCTGAACATCAGTAAATTATTGTCTACAAAATACAGTAAATTATTTTTTTTAAGAGTTGATCTTTTGTCAATCTTAACTAACCACTAGTTCAACTCATTTTGCCTAATAGAAATAGCAGATCCAATAACGGAACAAGTGGAGTATTGATTCATTTAGATTCCAAGGTTATCGCGTTACAAGTGACAGAATTATTTAATAAAGTTGGAGTTCAATTTGAGAAGCTGGATGGCGAGCATAGTTCGGCTATTTTGACCTTAAATTTTAAATCCACTTTGAATTCACCTTGAATTCTCACTTTAGTGAAAAACCCCGTGAGTGTGAGTACACTCCTGATTCTGCTATAAAGTGTTACTTTTCTAATTGACAGGATTAATTTACAAAAGGGCTGTAACAATGTTTTTCATGGAAACATTTCACAGATCTTTTTTTATTTATAATTTGTTTATTATTATTTTTCTTGTATATCAAACATACATATATACATATACATACATTGCATACCTAACATACAATGCATACAAAATAAATACATTGAATACACAAATCCATATAGACTAACAAACATATAACAAAGTTGATCGTCCTGTCCTATTCGTTCAGCTTGGTACTTAAATTACATAGAGGGTTAGATTAAATTCCCACTTCTTCAAAGATTACCAATTGATTAATACACCATAAATACTTTCCAATATTTAATTCTCCAAGACTCTTATCCAATCATCCCAGATCTCATATTGTCTAATATTAATGCTTAAATTAGAGGCTATTCCCCTTTCCATTTTACATTGAGTAATAATAGATGCCTTAATTTGCGGCCATGAGTCAATTGTCATCTTCTTCCAATTTTTTGCAATAGCCATCTTAAAGGCCATCAACGCCTGAATCAACAAATCTCTCTTTCCTTTAGTTAATTGCGGCAAGTTTAAATGTAATAGCACATTGTCTGGGGTCCAGATGTAAGTTATATCCAGCAATTTATTTATATAACCTAAAAATTGAGACCAAGCTACCTTAATTGGTGCACAATCCCACTATATATGTAGTTCATTTGCTCCCTCATTTCCGCATCTCCAGCATCTAGCTGTCCCTACCTTTGCAAATTTCTGGATCTTATTGGGAGTTAGGTACCATCTATTAAGTATTTTAAAATGTGCTTCCCTAATATTTAGACAGTGTATCGTCGTATAAACTGATTGTAGAGCCTTATACCATTCCTTTATATCAAATTTTTTTAACAAATCTCTTTCCCATTTGCTTTTAGCTATAGAATAGACAGATCTTTTTATGCTTTTTATAACCTCAACACATCTAGTTAGTATTTTAATATTTTTCTCTAAGTCTATGAGAGCATTTAATTTAGATAAAGTAAAAGAACTCCTATTACTTCCAAGAGAGCTTTGCAAAAAGCTCTTGATCCTAATATAATTAAAGGCTTGTGAATATGAAATACCATAAATTCTACGTATCTCAGTAAAGCGAATAATCTTCCCATCTACTAATAGGTCCGCCAATTTTTTGATGCCAAGTCTAGTCCATTCGGACGTATCCATATTTTCCATCCATATATGTAGATTTTTAAAAGTCAAGGCAGGTAAAACTTTATTTTTCAAATCTAATTGGTTTTTGAGATGGAACCAGAATTTTAGGAGAGGTCTAGTTATCATATTATCCGTCATGCATCTTATATTTTTAATTCTACTATTATTTCTTATAGGCCACATGAATCTAACGTTATTGTATGGATCTGTAATATCTGCTCCTTCTATTTTAAACCAATCTTGTGGACAATAATATTGTTTAATTAGAGGAAGAGTATGCATCAACTGTGCCGCTTGGTGGTACAAGAAAATGTTAGGAAAACCAATCCCTCCTTCTTTATACTTCAGATATAAGAGATCCTGGCCTATTCTAGGTTTCCTATTAGCCCATATGTAGTCCCTAAATATCTTATTCACAAGTCTAAGCCGCTGAGGATGGATCTGTAGAGGAATCATCCTCAATAGGTAAATAAATTTAGGAAAAACATATGACCTAATAAAATTTCATTTCACAGATCTTAGTTTGGTTTTTGCTTCAGTTATTATGATTATTATTATTATTGCCACTTATATAGCGTCAACAGATTACATAGCGCTTTACAATATTATAAGAGGGGGGATTTAACTATAAATAGGACAATTACAAGAAAACTTACAGGAACGATAGGTTGAAGAGGACCCTGCTCAAACGAGCTTACAGTCTATAGGAGGTGGAGTGTAAAACACAATAGGACAGGACATAGCAATCAGATAAGGTGGGAGTAAAGCAGAGCTGAAGGAGAGAGTAGAGTGCTGCCCTTTAGGAGAGATCAAGAGACAGGTATGAAAGGTAGAGGTTACTCTGGGAGGCCATAAGCTTTCCTAAAGGCACTTTTTAAAAGATGCAAGACTAGGGGAGAGTCTGATGGCAGTAGGCAGGCTATTCCATGGGAAGGGAGCAGCCAGCGAGAAGTCCTGCAAGCGTGAGATGGCCGTACGCATGCGAGCAGCGAACAGGAGAAGGTCACGGGCAGAGTGGAGAGACCGAGAAGGGGCATACGTATGGATCTGTGAAGAGATATAAGAGGGACTAGAATTGGTCAGTGCTTTATAGGTGTGGATTAGCAGGAAGCCAATGTAAGGACTGACAGAGGGGTGAGGTGTGAGAGGAGAGACTAGAGAGGAAAATCAGTCTGGCGGCAGCATTCATTACAGACTGTAGCGGGACAATACGACTTGTGGGAAGACCTATTAGGAGAGAATTACAATAATCCATTCTAGAGATTACTAGAGCATGGACAAGCTCCTTGGTAGCATCTTGTGTAAGAAAGGGGGCTATGTTTTTGTGATTGTACTGCATTGATTGTTATTTTAATATTGTGGTCCCTGAGGAAGTCCCATATTTTGTAGAAGGGACGAAACGCGTAGGACCTTTATTTGTATCTATTTTATATTTTTATACAATTAAAGCCGCTTTTTTCATATCTTCACCTGGAGTCCTGCATTTTGAGTGGAAGTGTCCAGGGGATTTCTTTAGCCCCCCATATCATCAGGGGTGGCACCATATATGCCTGAACTGTCCAATATCCTGTGAGTGCATTTTATATTGCGCAGTGTTAATATTGTAAAACTGTATTACACTATACCTCTTTTTATTTATCTTCATTTAGACAATCAGCCGGTTCCCTCGTTGTGTTTTGTATATTCTAGAGATTACTAGAGCATGGACAAGCTCCTTGGTAGCATCTTGTGTAAGAAAGGGGGCTATGTTTTTAAGATGGAATCTACAGGATTTGGCAACATACTGGATGTGAGGCTCAAAGGTGAGGCCAGAATCAAGTATGATGCCAAAACAGCGCGCTTGCGAGGATGCACTTGTGTGGATACCACTAACCCTAAGGGAGAGCGAAAGAGAAGGATCAGTATTAGGAAGAGGAAAGACAGGGAGCTCAGTTTTAGAGAGATTGAGATTCAGAAAGTGGGTAGACATCCAGTCAGAGATGGAAGAAAGGCAAGCAGTGACACTTTGCAGGACGGCAGGGGAGAGGTCCGGAGAGGAGAGATATATCTGGGTGTCATCAGTGTACAGGTGGTAGTGGAATCCAAATGAGGGTATAAGTTTGCCAAGAGAAGCACTATAAAGAGAAAATAGAAGGGGACCAAGGACAGAGCTTTTGGGGGACTCCAACCGAGACATGATGAGGGGAGGAGGTATCATTAGAAAAGGAGACACTGAATGAGCGTTGGGAAAGATAAGAGGAAACCCACGAGAGGACAGAGTCACAGAGACCAAGTGATTGAAGAATTTGAAGAAGGAGAGCATGATCAACGGTGGAAAGAAAAGAGAAGCGCAGCCAACCCATGTTCAGTAGCCGGGGAGAAAGTCTGAAGGGTAGGAAAGGCATGATCTAAGTGTGGTTGCGAAAGAAAACGGCAAGTTCTAATGCAGGTTCAAAATGACTTTAGAATTTAAAATTAGAATTAAAAAAAACTGAAAACAGAGTTGACTTTTTTATTTTTGAATTTCACTTTGAATTCCTGGCAATTTTTCTTAATATTTCATAAAACATGAATAAAACATAAATGGTGTAGAAACAAAATATTCCAAGTTAATCATATGTTTTTCTTAACAGTCTATGCATGGAACATTAAAGAGTTTTGAAGGACCTCCAAAGTTTGGACTAAATCTACCTTTGAGCATGAAACCCACTACTCAGAACTCTTCTAGTCCTGTAAATGAGGAACTGAAACCTGTTAATGGTGCAGAAAAGCCAGAGAAAAAAAATGCCAACCCTGAGAAAAAGACTGGTTCGTACCGCAAGAAAGCTACCAAACCTGGGTGGACATGCTGGGATTGTGATCAACTCTTTAATCAGAGAGAGTTGTATATATCACACATGAAAAAAGAACATGGAAAGGTAAATGGGCTTTTTATTTCTTGGTCAAGTCATGCTTCAGAATTGTATTTGAAATGGAAATCCTGGAAAATAAAGATTAGAATTAAAGATAAAATAAATCTTGTATTAGTTAAAGATATATTTGTAGCATTGTGTTCTTCTGGAATATGGGTGCTGCAAAAAACTTTATTGGGGTTAGAGTGCAGTGCAAGGTTCTAAAGCAAGGAATATGGGTAGCGCACTGTTCTACAAACTTACTGATGTGGCACAAGTCTGTGTAGGGGGAGGAAGAGAAACATCTCAATAGGTTGGTTGTTTACTAAGAGCAGGGCCGGAATGGGAAAATAATTTGGCCCGGGCATTTTTTAATCACATCGGCCCACTGAAAAAGGGATGGGGCAAGATAGGGTGGGTTTTGTCATCCCCAATGACAAGCACGCCCCATCTCAAAGTGGGCATGCTGGTTCAATGCTCATCCAGGGCAGACCATGCGCAGAGCTCCATAAATGGGATACCAAGAGACAAAAATGCCAGGAAAGCGTACTGTGCATGTGGTTGGAGCCAGCTTATGGGATTGCATGTGTGAAGAGTGAGCTGACTGTGGTGTGGTATTGTGTTAATAGGTTGGTTTCAGTCATGTTGTGTTTGTGGTATAATGTGATGTATGTGTGTCTAGGTGCTGTAGAGAATGTGTGTATAGGGGGCATAGTGTGTATAGGGGATGTAGCGAGTGTGTGCATACAGGCTGTAGTGTGCGTGTATAAGTGATGTAGTGTGTGTAGGGGTTGTAGAGAGTGTGTGTTTAGGAAATGTAGTATATGTTTGCTTACAAGTAATCTAGTGTGTGTGTAGGTGGTGCAGTGTGTGTGTGTAGGGGATCTAGTGTGTGTTTGAAGGGCCCACAGTGTGTATAGGACATCTAGTGAGTGCGTGTAGAGGATTCAGAGTGTATATAGGGATGTAGTGTGTGTATATGTGTAGATGATTCAGAGTTGGGGACTGTGCTGCCATCCCTGGTAGTCCTAGTGGTGAGTGAACTATAGCCTGTGGGTCATGGCAATGCTCCAGATCCCGTGAGAAGAACCCGGCAGAGCTGCAAGATAGAGCTCCTCCGGGTCCTCCTCTCCCTCCCCCACCGGCATCCTCATTACACTGCCTGTGGGCCAGTGTGGGAGATCTTTGATCTCCCCACCGACCCGTCATGGAATGCAGCTCGGATAGCGCGGCCCTGCATGGACCGGCTAGGGAAATCCTGTGACCTACCCTGCCGGCCTCGGCCCATAAGCTTCGATGGCCAGTCCAGACCTGACTAAGAGTGCTCTATGCTGGCTAGCGGATGTGCGATGAAACTCATCATGGCAGTCTGCCAGTTCTGTGCGGGGGATCTTGGATATAAACAACTTTTGCAAGCATTTTGCTGTTGTTAAAAGTGTTTGGATGGACGGTATGATTTTTGTGAGAACTCTCTGCCCACCTTTTTTGTAAAAAGAAATTAGAGAGAAATGTATAAGCAATAAATCATAGTAGCCTTTCTTGTGACTATTGTGAAGTGCGGAAAACCCTCTAAAACTCTAAGCATCAAAGCAACTTTAGCTTAATGAAGCAGTTTTAGTTTTCAGACCATGCCCGGGCAGCCTAACTCCTTAAATAACTAAAATTAAAGCGTTAAATAATGTTGTTTATGCAGCCTGAAACACACCACTCCAACTATACTAACACAGTCCCCTGCACACACCTAAGAAAGTCTACATTCTTTAGCTTCCCTTGTTGCACAGTATGTTTAATTTAGAAGTTAATATCTCCTGCTCTGTTAATTGCCTGTTACAGCATGCAGTAGCTTCCTGTGTGTTATTAAAGTTCAATTAATAGAGCAGATGATAATAGCTGCCAAAGTAAACTCACTCATCAAGTACCAGTTCAAGAGTTAAATGGGGTGTTAAAATGGCGAGTAGAATTCTGGAATAACAGAAGAATTAGCTATTTGTTACCTTACAAATTTAAAATTATCACGTCAATTTTACAACTGCTTTACTTAAGTGCTTCTTAATATTTTATGAGATGTTTTCTCAGTTAAAAAGTAAAAACACTGAAATGCAAGCGAGACAGGGGTCTTCGAGTGAAGTAATTCAAACTCTATATAAACATTCAAATTCTTTTCTTCTGGATGCACTTTTTGTAAGCTCAGGATGTCCTCAGATTCATAGCTGTACTAAGAGTTGTCTCTTCTCCGTATTACCATCCTACAAAAGCATACAAATTGCATTTTCAGGAAAAGGCTTTGGCATGTGTGTGCAGAGTATGGTATTCAGGAAAATCGAAACCAAGACTTCTATAGACTTAGATAAAAGAATAAAGGAAATGAGAAAAATTTATCACCCGCATAATATAATAATATAATCAAAATGCATAGGTAGGTGGGATTACAATAATATGAAAATTAAAAAAACTGAAAAATCTCATTCAGATTTTTTTTATGATTTTAGGGTTACTTCTGGAAGGTAAAGGGATCACAATTAGAGGTGATCCCTTGAATAGTATATAGCTCTACAGACTGTATGTTCAGTATTATTGAGAATAAAATATATTTGACAATATTTCCACAGAAATCCTTCTTAGTAAAATTATGCCAAGGGCTGGCCGGGATTGTAACTCCCTGTAATCTGAGGTGGACCAAGACGTATATGTCCCCAGAATGAAGAAAGATGATCAGTGCTTTGTTCCCTGTTCATCACGTAAATAAATGCACAGATCATGCCATTATCCATACTTTTCAAGGTCTGCCTGAGATTAGTGTTACACTCTTGAGCAGTATATGTTGCCATTTTAATGACCGGATGAGAAATAGCTGCTGCCTAGGACTGTAACTCCCACTAATATCCAGCAGCACTGGAACGTGTAATTACCCAGTGCAGATCCTAGTATAGTCTTATGATGTATTGCTGGCCTACACTCTGTAGATCAGTGATAGCAAGCTTTGTCACTCCAGATGTATGAGAACTGCTGGTTTTCGCAAGGTTGGCTATCACTAGTGTACGTGCTTTATTTGGAATATTCAAAGTGCCAGTATTCTAGAATCATAATTCCTTTATCTGGGTATTCCAGAGACTGATACATTATCCACATTACAAACCAATGTAACACAGTTTAATTACAGTTAAGGATTCATTTATTTTCATTAAGCTGGGTACTGGTTCTCAATGCTCCTTTTCTTTGTCAAGTTTGTGGTTTGTGTATGTGTTTAAAATGTGTGCGTACACCTCCAGTTGTACGGATTAAGTAGGCCTAGTTTAACATATATTTTAATGTTTACGTCAATCTTTCCTACAGCAAATGAAGAAGCACCCGTGCCGCCAGTGCGACAAGTCATTCAGTTCTTCTCACAGTCTGTGTCGGCACAATCGTATCAAACACAAGGGAATCCGTAAAGTTTATGCCTGCACGTGAGTTCTGCCTTTCTAATTGCACCACTTCAACATCAACCAAACCTGCATGTCTGTATTGTCATCATACGCCTTCTTTCCACATACCCCTCTGGGTCCAAGTGCCAAGTTATGTATTTTGCATTAAGTAATTCTGCATTGAGGATTACAATTTATTAAATTATTTATTAAACCCTTGCCCAGTTTCGCGGTAATGAGGTAAATGTTTTTGTAACAGTTTTCCCTCTTATCTGCACCCTGCCAAGCTCCTGGACTCCTTTCAGGGCTGGTGACAACATGTTTTCAGTTTTTGTAGAAGCCAGAGGTCAATCCAGTCACCATTCATTGGCTGAAAGTGGCAGCTTGACCGTTCTCAGCCAATTAATGTAATTGTGTGCATGAAAATGTGCACAGAATTGACATTCGCCAGCCCTGAACTCTTGTCCTGCCCCATGATGCGGCAAGAGGTGGAGTTACACCTTACGCAGCAGAAGGTGTTATTCTCCAAATGTACAGCGTTTCATAGCAAAATGCTGCACCATGACCCATTCAGATTGCTGAAGTGGTCAAGGTGCTTGGAATAACAGATTAATAGTAAGTTCCCTATTTCTAGAAGGTTTAAAATCACCTCAATCTATCATATCATTCAACCCAACTCTTGCTCCCGTCTAAAATCTGTCTTATTTAGCCACTTGATTTTTCTAGTTGTAGATAGCTGAAGCTTCATCAATTCTTCCCAGTAGTTTAAAATGCATTTCTTGACCATTGGCATCCAAAGGTCTACCTATTAAGCATTATTATAAATAGGAATTTTATTTTTTAAATGTATATACTTCTTAATTGTCACACATTGTGCTGGACAGCCTTGAGTTGGGATCTATGTCCACTTACCTCCATCAGGTACTTCATGACAATGTTGTCTGTGTGTTGTCTGCACCGCTTTACCGAAGCACAGACGGAATAACCAAAGCTCTGTACAAACTGGATCAATTAAACATTCAATTAGCAAATATGACTGTACAAAATTATAAATAGAAGCATTTTCATCCTCTTCCTATCAGCAACTAATACATACCTACAATCAAGGACCCTTTAAAATCTGAAACACGAAAGGATGTTTTGTGGCTTATCTTTTATTGGATATACTGCTGATCACTCTCAATCAACAATTTTTTCCATGCGGTTTTGAACCGTGTCAGTTAAACATGCATTGGCTTCCAGCTCAAAGTGGTATGCAATATATGAAATTCAAATTTGTAATCTTCTTTTGAGTGCATTAGTTCAGTGCCGCGCTGTGCATCATCAGCTTCTAGACGAGCAATTGGAAGGAAGTTAATGCATTGAGGCATTTTAGATCAACATTGCAGAGGAGCCAGGATGAAAGGGAGCAATAAGGGATTGAACCTGAATATGACTGATTAATACCTGAACACAGGATTCCTATTGTTGTGAGACTCCAAGAGTCCGTTTCTAGTCAACATCCCCCGTCTCTAAATTCTGGGCAGTCCATGTACAACATGTACCATTGCTATAATTATTATTATTATTGGCATTTATATTGCGCTTTGCAGTCCTAGAACTAGGGATATTTGACAAAACGTCATTGACATACAAAATTATATTGACGGGGCGGCCCTTCCGGTGCTGCCAACAGGTTGCATGGCGCATTAGCTCCGCAGCAGTTCATAGCAATTCCCTTCCGTGAAAACGAGCAACTGAGCACAGGTGAAGGTAGCGCAACATTGGGAGCACCTAATGGCACCCCCCCAAAAGCTCAGAGAGTGCAAGATTTCTTCCATTCCTGGAAGAAAGAAAAAACGCGGCCTTTCCAAGATGGAGGCGGCGCGGCTTCGCCAGCCCGACTGTTGGAAGCAGGATCAGATGCAGAGTCAGTGCACTTACAAGGAGAAGATTTCCCAATTACGGAGTGGAGAATGGGAGAAATGCCGCAGCAACTACAATCCTCACTAATCGAGGACTTCCAAAAAATAACAGAAGACATCAGGAAAGAGGTTCAAAGACTTGGGGCCAGTATGGAGGTGCTGCAGAATAGAACAGATGAGCTCTGTGTTGCTAATAATGATGTGGTAGACAAAATCACTAAAATAAAAAATGGAAGCAGACCACAAAGCCTTGATGAGCAAATATGCAGATCTGGAGGATTGTTCACGCAGGAATAACCTCAGGGTTAGAGGGGTATCTAAGATGGTCCCTACAGAGGAAATACAGCAATACCTGCTCACCTTATTTAAGGCATTCCTTCTCACAGCCACACCAGAGGAGCTGTTGATGGACAGAGCACACATGGAGCCCAAACCTCTCAATCTCGTGCCTGAGGTACCAAGAGATATAGGGGTGAGACTTCACTATTTTTAATACCAAGGAAGCCCTCCTTCAAGCGCACCGCAAGACCCGAGTTCTACCCGATCACCTGATTGACATCGCGCTTTATGTGGATTTGTCCAAACGCAGAGAATTTATAAATACCACTAAAGTGAACAACAGCATACCATACCGTAGGGGCTTCCCACCCAAACTACTCATTGAAAGAAATGGACAGATGAAAGTGGTGTCCAATCCAGACGACGGGATCAAGTCAGTACAGCAGTCCAATCCAGACAACGGGATCAAGTAGGTACAGCAATGGGGCCTACTAAAATCTGCAATGCCTTCTCCAGCTGTTTTGTCGCCGAGGAGAATACAACCTGACTGGCAAAAAGTTACAAAGAACTCTCCTCAAGACCTATCCAAACAGGGTGCAGTCGGAAGTGTAGACATAGGCCCTGAAGTCTCCACGCATAACTTTGCGTCTGCTGAATCCCGAGAACCTGGTAACTTCCAGAACATGTGTTTTTGAGGGGGTTAAGTTGTATTGTAGTGATGGGCTCGGGAGTGGGATGAGATGTTCGGCAGTATGCCAGTTAGTGAATTTACTGCCCATTACTGCTCAGCTGAACAACAATTATCACAAAACCAATCACAACAAAACAAAAACAAACAAACAAAAAGTTAATTAGAAAAATATAGAAAAAAAACAAAAAACATAAAAGTGGCCAACCTTGCCAAATTCCAGGTCCTGGAAGGGAGACGCAAATGTGACTTTACTTTGTGAAATGTGCACAGTTAAGATGTGAAAGTTGATTAGTTAAGCTATGTTTGTCTTCCTCGCACCAAAATTTGGTTTATGAGGAATGCTCAAATCAGTAACATTATTAGGTCCTAGCTGGAAGTGTAGAGGTATCAATTCCACCATACCTATACCCCACCCACAAATGTCAAGAGTAATACCTACCAGAGACGGGAACCCAATCGTGATATCGCTAGTATGATGTCTTGGTATATACTTCAGTTTTAGTTATGTTTTATGTTATTTGTTTTCTCTCACTGCAATGTATAGATTGTTAGCATTACATAACCTGTGTTTGCCTAACCTATTACAATGTATGGGGAGACCCCTACGGTACTGGCATAGGAAGTGATCAGAATGACTGGTCGGGCATAACATGGCAGGAGAATTCACAGTACTTACACTTAACGCTAATGGCTTTAATACGCCACATAAGAGAAGGCTACCTCTAACACACATTAAAGTGAAAAATTTAGCAATAGCATGTTTCAGGAAACCCATTTTTGCATCCAAAATCCATCCACCTTCACCTCCAGACAACACCCACAAGCGTACCATGCCTTCGCCCCAAATAAAACAAGGGGTGTTAGCACATTGATACATAAAGACTGGGTGTTTAATTGCGAGGGGGAGTTTGCGGACAAGGAGGGAAGGCTCCTTATACTAGTGGGCTCCCTTAATGATGTGCCCATGACTATTGCCAATATATATGCACCCAACACGAACCAGATAGATTTCCTAGCCAAAACCTTTTGTAAAATAAACTCAATGAAACACGGTTAGCTCATTATTTGTGGGGACATTAACTGTGTATTAGACCAACAGGTGGGCATTTCCAGTAGTGTCCCTGCAAGGAATAGGAAGAGTAGGGAAAGTAATACATTTACATAATTGTGTAATAAATACGATATATATGACACGTGGCGCACCCTATACCCCACATCAAAGGATTATACATATTACTCCGCGGTACACACAATGTATTCCAGACTTGATTTGTGCCTTGTGAATAGAACGAATCTACATCATGCGTCAGATCATGCGCCGGTGCAGACAACATTTAAAACATTGCACCCAGCATGGGGAAGAGGTCTGTGGCGCCTGAATGAATCAGCTTTACGCAATGAAGAGAGGAGCAGACTCCTCCTGGTTGTGAACCTCAACCACATGGCTAGCCCATGTGCGGTAATAGGGGACCTGTTCATACAAATAGGTGCGAGGGCTAAGAGAAAGATAGGAGTCAATACTTCCAGTATAGAGAGGCAAATAAGGGACCTGGAATCCTGACACAAGGACGCAACAAGTAAAAATCTAGGCAAACAACTCAAACAGGCGAGGATCGAATTGGAGTGCATACAGTTACATGCTAAAGAACGTAGCCTGATAAAACTTAAACATACACATTACACTCAGAGCAACAGAGCTAGCAAAATATTGGCTTCAAAGTTTAAAACTAAATTTGTTCAAACAAAAATAACATCTATCTACAATGAGGAGTGAATCAAGATGGAGAACCCTACCCACATACTGAACAAATTTGCCAACTATTATGATTCCTGTTACAACTTGAAAGAGAACAAGGAAATAGAGCAACCCTCTGACAGAGCCATAGAAGATTTCTTAAGTAAAATAGACTTGCCAACCATTCCCACTGACATAGCTAAAGAGATGGACGCTCCATTTACTGAGGAGGAGGTTCACAAGACGATAAAAGCGCTTCGAAAACAGCCCCTGGGTCAGACGGCCTCTCCAATCTTTATTATATAACTTTTGCAGACACCATACATCACATCTCTTTTCAACAATATCATGGCAACAGGCGACATACCTCCGGAAATGTTGGAGGTGAATATTATCACGTTACCAAAGCCAGGCAAACCACCAACCAAATGCGAAAACTTCCCCCCAATCTCGCTTCTTAATGCGGATACTAAACATCTCGCAAATGTCATAGCCAACCACATAAAGCCCCAGCTGACATCCTTAGTATCCAGGGAACAGGCTGGTTTTGTACCGGGCTGTCAGGCCGGGAACAACACCAGACTTTTGTTTTTTTTAACCTTATAGAAATAATCAAAAGTAGAGGGGAGTTGGGACTTTTGTTGGTGCTGGACGCGAAAAAGCCTTTGACTGACTTCACTGGGGATATAAGATAACGGTTCTCTGCAAATTGGGTTTCCCTATGAACTTAGAGCCATATCAGCATTATATACAAATCCCTCAGCCAGAGTTCTAAACCCGGGGTTCCTATCCAGGAAATTTACTTTATCAAATGGTACATGTCAGGGATGCCCACTGTCTCCAATAATTTTCATTCTAGCTTTAGAACCACTGATAAAACACATTCAAATGCAAACCCAAATTAAAGGAATACAAGCAGACTTAGGCTTATCCTCCAGGACCCCCAAGAGTCACTACCGCATGTAATGACCCTCCTGCACACCTACCTAGTCTCCTACTATAAGAACAATATCGCAAAAACACAAGCACTCCCAATAAACCTGACTAAATCAGCAAAATTGGTGCTATCTACCCAATTTAAATTTGACTGGAGAGAAAAATCTCTCACATACCTAGGCATTCAACTTGCGACAACAAAACACACACTGATTTAAGCTAACCATGTAAGACTACCTAACTCCATACAACAACAGATGCAGAAATGGGAGAAAAAAATTATATCATGGCTAGGCCAAGTGAACGCGGTCAAAATGATGGTGCTCCCGCGAATTCTATTCCTGTTCCGCACACTCCCCATAGAAGTACTAAACTCAATATTGGCTAAATTAAAACGGCTGCTCAACGCACATATTTGGAAGCGTAAACCGCCCCGAATTGCAGCCAACATGTACTACAAGTTACATGAAGGAGGCCTAAGCACCCCTGATATCCTCAAATACTACACCTTTTACCATTCCCAGATGTAAAATTGAAATATAAGTTGGCTTCCATTACCTGAGGCTTAAACACATATTGGCTAAACACAACTTTTAACCACCAGCCCTGACAGATTGGGGGGGGCATTATCCAAATATACAGGGGTATAAGGAAAGGCATAAAACCACTAGCACTTTGCTACAGAGCACTACAAGAGCACGCCAAACCCCTAAAATTCTCATACATGCACAAATGGGAGGAGGAAATTAACACTCAATTCCCAGCTAAACAGTGGCTCAGAGCAATGAGGGATACCAAACAAGCGACAAGATGCATTGACCACATAGAAGAAACATACAAAGTGTGGATGAGATGGTATATGACACCACACAGATTAGCCCATATTTTTATCAGTGTGACCCCCAAATGCTGGAGATGCGAGGACAAGGCGGGGGACCATTTTGGGACAATATAAAATTAGTGGTATTTAAACTATCAGGAATTTCTCTTCCACTTTGAATAGAAATGTATATTTTACATATGCTACCTGCCTATATAGACAAATCAATGAATAAAATCATCATTAACGTTCTAATAGCAGCTAAAAGCAGTATAGCCACATTCTGGAATAATAAATCCCCCCTCCCCCTGATGTCACTGGTGATGGAGAAATTAAACTCCACGAGGATTTATGAGGAAATGAGCCATAGATTGCACAACACTCTACAAGTCTATGAATTCATATGGGCCAAGTGGCGTCCAGGCTCATGCTATCTAGGTGAAGTACTTGACCCACAGGGCAGCCAGTCATACGATGCATTTCATACATACAAGGGCAGGAACATGTTATTGGTCCTACATGATAACAGGTAAATGGAATGCGGATTGGATATGCCGTACATTATGCAGTGACTTTTATTATTGTTCTGTTCTTCATATGTTTGTTTTCTTATGTAAGCTTTCAATGTTCTGTATGCTCAGCTGATACCTTCAGATTAACCCCTTAAGGACCAAACTTCTGGAATAAAAGGGAATCATGACATGTCACACATGTCATGTGTCCTTAAGGAGTTAAAGGACCACTCTAGGCACCCAGACCACTTCAGCTTAATGAAGTGGTCTGGGTGCCAGGTCCAGCTAGGGTTAACCCATTTTTTCATAAACATAGCAGTTTCAGAGAAACTGCTATGTTTATGAATGGGTTAAGCCTTCCCCTATTTCCTCTAGCGGCTGTCTCATTGACAGCCACTAGAGGCTCTTGCGTGCTTCTCATTGTGATTTTCACAGTGAGAGCACGCCAGCGTCCATAGGAAAGCATTGTAAATGCTTTCCTATGTGACCGGCTGAATGCGCGCGCAGCTCTTGCCGCCCGTGCGCATTCAGCTGACGGGAGGAGAGCTCTCCGCCCAGCGCTGGAAAAAGGTTAGTTTTAACCCCTTTCCCCCTTCCAGAGCCGGGCGGGAGGGGGACCTTGAGGGTGGGGGCACCCTCAGGGCACTATAGTGCCAGGAAAACGAGTATGTTTTCCTGGCACTATAGTGGTCCTTTAACTCCAGTTTACTGGATGCGTTCTACAGGAAACACGATGCTATGAGGTTTATACTGACCACCGACATAATAGGGTTATTAAGGGGCAACTTTCCATCACAGAAAATACATTTTAAAAAGTGTATGAATAACATAAAGTAATATTGTGAACTGTATCCCTAGCAGATGACTATGTCTAGTGGGCGGGCCGAGCCGCTAATTTCCTGATGTATATATGTACACATGATCACATTGTTAAGCTGACATTTATGTACCCTGTTATGGTGATTGTAAAAATTCAATAAAAGTGATTCATGGGAAAAAAAAAAAATAATATTGACAGTGACAAGAGGCGAAGAAGGCCCTGATCAAACATCCTTATTATAATATTTTGGCATGGGCAGAGAAATTCTGTGTGACTTAGCAATACAAAGAATAATTGCTCCTTAGGTTTTATTTCTAAGAAATTTCTATGGGGAAATTTTAAGAAATTATAATTTCTATTTGCTATTAAGAACACCTATTTTTATGGTCAGTTTTTGTATCTTATTTGCTTATTAAAGATTTATTAATCCTTCTCCTTACCAGGCATTGCACAGACACAAAACGGGCGTTTACCAAGCGGGCCATGTTGGAGAAACACATCCAGCTCATGCATGGTATCAAGGATCCTGATGTTAAAGAAGTCGCAGCCACGAATAAAGCCCCTGCGAACAAGGAGGATTCTAAGGTAGGTTCACCAAAAGTTACTGTAGATCTCTTAAATACAGTGGAAACAGTTTATAAATGAATGTGGCTTATTTTGTCATAACAATCTAATTCTTACAGGCCCTTAACCCCTTAAGGACACATGACATGTGTGATTCCTTTTTATACCAGAAGTTTGGTCCTTAAGGGATTAAAGGGACACTACAAGCACACAGACCACTTCATCTCATTGAAGTGGTCTGGGTGCAGTGACCTTTTCCCCTTAACCCTGCTGCTGAAAGCACTGCAATTTAAGAGAAACTGCAGTGTTTACATGGCAGTGTTAAGACTGCCTCCAGTGGCAGCCTACCAGATTGCCACTAGAGCCTCTTCCTGCTGTATCACAAAGTTTAACTCCATGAAATGACGTTTGACATCCTCACACTTTGCATGATGACGTCCAGTGTCTTCAAAATCCACATAAGAAAGCATTGGTTCAAAGGCCTAATGTGTGCGGTACCCTTGCGCAGATGTCAGAGGAGGTGGAGACTGGAATTAGGTAAGTGTTTAAAGGGCTATTTAACACTTTGATTGCTGCAGGGGGGAGGGGACACAGGGGCAGAGGGACACTGTAATGTAAGTAATACAGCTTTAAATTCCCTATAATGTTGCTTTAAATGGCTAAGGATGTTCTACTCATTTAGTGGTAGCATTCATAAGTGTATCTGCTGAAGCTAAATATGGAGGACATGGTGTCAACTTGGGATCCATAGAGCAGATTGTCCCTAAGTCACTGAAAAGAAGTTGTTAAGCTTCCATATTTTTAAACGGGTATCTAACATTGGGGTTGTTTGTCAGTCATCATATCAGACCGAGCACATATAGAAGGTTTTAAGGCAGATGTTATTAGAAATCAAACATTGTATGGTTTTCCAATAAAATCTGCCTTAACACCACCTATATGTGCCTGGTCCATCTTTCTTCATTATTACCGACATGCTGGGAATGGTCCACCTGGACTGCAGGCACTACAGATGGAATTTGTTTAGCAAGTGCCACTGCGCTTTATGCATCATAATATCATCATAATAGAGGCAAATATTAAAATACATGTGCATCTTTAGAGATTCATGCAGTTTTAAATTCATACCTCTCAACTGTCCCAACTTGGAAGAAAGTCACTATTTTCTGTCCAAATCCCTCTGGTCCCTCTTATCTAGCCTAATGTTCCTCTTCTCTGGGATCTCAATATTGTTGGTGTGTGGGTGAGTTTACAACAGAGCTGCGCAGCAATAACACTCCCAGTAATGTGTCTTTAATCTCCAATAAAAGTGTTTAGAAATCAGTCTGTGTAAATAAGATACATTGTTCGTGTTCTAATGAACATTTTACTTTCATAAATTGTTAATAGTAAGTCGCCTAAGAGTTCTCAGAACAGCCCTGCCCCTGGCTACACCCCTACTCACATCTCTAAAATTAAAGTCCCTCTTTGTCCATTTGATATGGTGCAAAGTATGTACACTGACAGTCGTCCCACAACTAAACATTCCCCAAATAATCGCTGGAATAAACCACATGCTTTCCTCCGAGTTTTGGAGAATCATGCACAGGAGATGGAATGTATTCTTTAAGATATATGCTACTTTATTTTATTCTGAAACAAAATGCAGTTAAAACTTTAAAAAAATCAGGGTAAAATCAAGGGTAAAATACAGATTTTACTATTTAAAAATGTAAAGCAGTTTGGATCAGTGACTGTATATTTAAAATTGTCAGTTTTTTTTTTAAATCTTTCTTTTATTATGGCATTTGCGTTATAGGGTACAGGATAAAAAGGAGGACGCATTGTGGGGTAATACAAGTTAATGAAATCAGGATGGTGTGTAATACACTCCCAAGAAAGGCTGCCATATATTTTTTTTGTTTTTATACATCAAATAAACAGAATAACACATACAATTGTTTAAGAAATGGGTGCAAGGAATAATTAAAGATCGCTCAAATAGTCGTTTTCGTGTGCACAATATAACAGATTAATCAAGCTATGTGCTAAACAACTAGATGTGGTACAAGCTAAATTAGTGTGTCTAAAGTGGTGAGGCGCATTAGGGTATCAGGCTTGTGTCGTTAGACATGGATGCCTGCTCAAATATGTTAAAGGTAGGTGTCATAGCTGTGAGGCACAAAACTGAACAGGCAATATGTCGCTACAGTAGTTGAGTATCAGGCTAATTGCCACCATGGAACACACATGTTATGTTATGTTGGGGGTGCAGTTCTGGGGATCTACATTAGTTATGATACATCAATAAGCAGACATCCATTGATCTCTAATAGTGTCCACTTATGAGGGTCTAGCGTTGCTCAGCAGTGGCTGTGCGGTTCCCCTTAGATGTTGGTCTGGTTGGGGAGCACATTCCCAGGCCCTGTCTCAGGTCGCGGTCCGTTTCGTCAGCCAATCCCCTCCCGTGTCATTGTGAGGGTTGATACTTGGAGAGTCTGTAGAGTGCGGGTGAGGTGCAAAGGCTGGTGAGGTGCAGAGCCTCCCCCTGGCCCCAGGCCCTGTTTGGGGTCTGCATCCTGGTGCCACAAACTCTGGTGCTTGTAGAGGCTGAGTTTTTCCCTGTGGGGGGCGCCTCGGAGAGCCGCTGTGTTTTGTCGCTGCCAGCGGCAGTTGGGCCTCCAGCGTTGTGGCCGATGCTGCGGAGTTAGCCTCCTGGTGATCCCTGGCCTGGGTTGGCGGTCGGTGTTCAACGCTGGTGCAGGAGGGTATGTAATGCCCGGGACAGGCTCGCTCCGCCTCCGCTTCCCCGACCCCCGTGATGTACCTCCGTGTGTCAAAGGGGGCCTTGCGAGGAGTTGTTCCAGCTTTTCCAAAAATTGCTGGAATATCAAGTCCAGGGTTGTGGTTGTGTGGGTACAGGTCCCGTGAGGTTCGGTGCTTCCGCCATGTTGCTGGGCCTGAAGCATCCGGAGCCCAGGCCTGAGTAGGCAGCTGCAGTCCGTGCAGTTATGTGTCACTTTGGTGGGGACCGGGATAACCCCCACCGATCCATAGGGTGGGGAACAGAGGCTCAAACTTTGCCTTGGTGTGTGTTTTAGCAGCGGGAGAGCGGCCGTCTCCCTCACTGCCGCCATGCTTGTAGGCCGTAATCCTGGGAGGGTCGGAACCGGTGCAACGATCCACTTGAGTGGTGTCATCTTGCAGGTCTCGGTGTCCTCTATCGCTTAGAAGCCTCAAGGAGCCGGGTCACAGCCTCTGTTCATCGAGACTCGGCAATAGGTAAGGTTAGATGCGGGAGCAGCAGCCACATACGTCTGCTCCGTTCTGCAGTCAGGCCCTGCCCCCGAATTAAGTCAGTTTTTTACTTGTGCAACTAGGTTATTAAAATAACGATATGAAACAATTTAAATCTGTATGATTCCAACTGTAGCCCCATAACATTAGAATATCAGACTTTGTATAACACATGCAATGTACACTTACAGATGAACTATTATGACTCGATTAAATACATATGTAAAATCTACCTTGGTCAATTACTTTTATGTACTTCTGGTATATTAAATGACTTTATAATGCACAATTCGAGGCCCTTTGTCATTATATTCTCTGCTATTTGAATTGATATTTGGAGAGATTGCAGCCCAATGCTAATATTACCCATTAAAAACATAAAACTAAATGCAATCATGTTGCAGTTACTGTTAGAGCAAACAAGATATTCATTGTAGTCAGTGGTTTAATGTGCTTCCCATTGTGTAATTAATTGAGTTTCAAGTTCTTTGTATATTAGATTATTATATTACTCTGCTAGATTAATTCTCATTATCTAGCAGATATTGAACAATAAATATTATACATTTATATATAAACTTGATATTTTCTTTTTTACTGCTAATGTCATTTACTACTGTATGTTATTTAGTATAAAGAATAAAAATAAGTAAGAGTTCGTGTGCGTAGGACTCAGGGATTTTGCAAATATGTAAGAAAATGGTGACTTTTTATTTATTTAAAACTTTTTCATGCATTTTTTAAATTCAGATAATGAGTAAAAATGAGAGGCGATATCCATTCTGGGCTGGTAAATTATTTTAACTCTGTCTAAGACACACATATGTAATTTAAGAGATGGTGGGAAATAAGTAGAAGAGAGGAGTGGTAGTAACAGTCTAGTAAATGAATAACCACATGGAATATTTTGTACATTGCAGGTGCCGCCCCCAAAGCGTAAATTGGAAGAACCAGTTCTGGAATTCAGGCCCCCTAGAGGAGCCATTACTCAGCCACTGAAGAAGTTAAAAATTAATGTCTTCAAGGTCCACAAGTGTGCAGTGTGTGGTTTTACAACGGAAAATCTCCTTCAGTTTCATGAACATATCCCCAGGCATAAATCTGATGGCTCCTCGTACCAGTGCCAGGAGTGCGGTCTCTGCTATACCTCCCACGTGTCCCTTTCCAGACATCTTTTTATTGTTCACAAACTTAAAGAGCCTCAACCATCACCCAAGCAGAATGGTTCTGGAGGAGACCATCAAGAAGAGAACAAGTCTAGCACATGTAATGAAATTGCAGACAACAGCACCTGTGGCAGAACATGCAAAGTCTGTTCAAGGACATTTGAAACTGAAGCTGCCTTAAACACACACATGCGAACTCATGGAATGGCTTTCATCAAATCTAAAAGGATGAACTCTACTGAAAAATGAGATGTTGATGATATCCACACCATCAAAAAAAATAACATGTTCGATTATATCTCCCACAGGCTTCAGCTAGTTGTATTTCATTGGCCTACAAAGACTGAGCACCACCAAGTGAGAGACCGTGTACATTGAAAGATGTTACCCACGCTGTCCCACTAGACTGGATTTTGAAATGCAACCGAGTATGTTTTTAGCTGTTTTGTATTGTTTTATCTGTGAAGAAAAAAGAAATATAAGATTTAAAGAACTTTATGAGTTGTGGCAATATATGGTTTCATTGTATCTTACACCTCGTTATTAGGATACATTCTTGTTAATTATAAAAGCAGTATTTGACATAAAACACAAAACAAATGTATATATTTAATAATTTTATACTCTTTGTTACTTGCTTGTGCTGACGTACACTTCAATATGACATGTTTTTAGTATATTTTTTTTATTTTTATTTTTTTTGTATTACATGTGAATATTAACTCCATGAGAATGTTCGCCAATATGTTTTTCATCATGAAAGAGTTTTATGGTGGTACAAATATATGCTTATTGTTATTATTTTATTTAATTCCTGTGCTGAAAAAGCCACAGGGTAGGAATTAAATGTGTTTTTATTTATCTGTATGAAGAATAGGCACCCACACAAGTTATTTTAGTTTAAAATAGTGATATTAATTTCAGCATTTAAACCACAAAGTGCTGTTTTCTTCTCCTATGAGGATCCCCATTTTCTAAACTTTTTGCTATACTTAAGTTTATATTAATTGTGAACCAGGCAATGAATAATTTATAGACCACTGTGTTAGCATTCACACATATGGAAGCTGCTAACACGAACTCAACATTTGTAGCTTAATAATTCATTACTAGATAATCCACTATCCTTTACAATATGACTATGGCATTTCATTTATGTTATCATATGGATATATTGGCAAAATTACCTTTGCAATGAATTAACATAATTAGTCAGAGATTAATATAGACAGATTCCCTTGTAAAAATACATGTGATTAATTTTGTTCTTTATTTTTTTGTCATTTGAGAGGACAGACGTGTGCATGTCAGATTCACATCTAAAATGTATTTTCTTACATTCTTTAAATATGTATCAGACTCATGCATAGAAAATAGTGCATTGTCAAGATCATGTGCAGTCAGCTTTATGGTATAGTCTGAAATTCAAAATTCATGCTTTTATTGTAGTATTAGATTACTGAGTGGGAAGACTGTAGGAGTAAAGAGGCTTGGATGCTTAGAATGACATGAGACATATACTATCCGAATTAATAGGCAAAACCTTTTGACAAATTTAGAATCTTAAAAGCACACAAAAAAGTATTTAATGATCATAATGGGTCACACATTTTGAATTTGTAAAGTATTTATTTCTTTTTCTTTTATTGAAAACAAAGTCACTCTAAATTAATCCTGAAGTTAGTTTAAATGATCCATCTAGGTATCTGAACAAGATTGATACATATTAAACCCCATAAAGTCTAAATTACCTGTTTTTCATGCCCAGAGTTGTCCTACCCTCCCGCCCCCAATCCCAGAAGTCTGAGTTCTCTAATTATTCATAGAAATCGAAATAATGCAATGGTGTACATATTGCCACAGTCATCACCATCACATTATTTTGAAGAATAATAAATAATCAGGACAGACTCTCGTTAGTGAATGGAAGCCATCAGTGGGTAGTACATTTTGTTTTCTGTGAGAATTGAGCGAGCGTGTTCACAGTTATTGTCCCCTTTTTTTAAAGCAATTCAGTGGGTTCCAGTGATTGCTTGCAAGATCTAAAAGGTCATCAGATCTCTGAGTAAACATGCAAATAAATGAAGACAACAGGATTAAGCTTTTCGTTGTTATTTTTATTTTAGAATTGAAATGCATCTTTTTTTTTTTTTTTTTTTAATGCTTTATGACATTAAAGAGCTAATCCTTCCATCTTAATAAGTTGGTATACGGAGATAACTAGGTATGAATTTACGCAACGATTGCTTTAGGCATTAATATGAAACTCCATAATATCAATAGTTAATATTTTGATTTTTGTGGGTGAGGCGTTGCAGAACTAGATGTGACACCAATTTGCCTTGTACTTTGTCATAATGCCTTTCTAAAATCTGTCCTTGGCACAAATTCAAAAAATTGTTCAAAGAACGCCCCCCCCAAAAAGTTTCATTTTAAATGTATCTCTATAAAATATCTAGCACTTAATCACTGTAATGATTGTCCCCTCAACCCTGGAACCGTCCTAGACCAATGATGGATAGCCATGGTACTGCACATTTTTGTGAATAGGTATCTTTTCTCAACAGCTGCCTGAGTTTCAAGGGAAAGCTAGTGTCAAGGTCAATCAGAATCACATTTTCAGATAACTAAATGTTTTTTTTTTTGTTTTTTTTTGTGTGTTTTGCACAATGCACAGGGCCAACTGGAGTTAGCAAAATGCTACCAGAATAAAGTCACTTACTTTTCTGTGGTTTTTTTTTTTAATTATTATTTTCACAGTTCTGTTGTGAAGTTAGTTCTCCTATGATTTGTATACAATGTAAATTGTAGGATACTGAAGAGGATACACCGTATTATCCTTTTCAGATGAATATATTTCTCTGTGAGAGTTCTAGGATTTATTTTTTTTATTAGTAATATTATTTTATACGTCATGGCTATAAATACGTTTTTTGTATGTTTTGTTTTGTTTTTTAAACTGTATTTTCTGTATATTTTGAACGTGCATGCTCTGTGTATGTGATTGACCAGTTCCAAGTCTTGCTGCTGTCAGATGGTTACTTATATCTTCTTTGTGTCCTTTAAGCTGTATTGAACACAATGGAAATGTAAATAAAAGCAGAATATTTGACTCAGAAGAAGTGATGAAGTGTTGTTCAGTTACTCAAAATAACATCTTTGTAAGTCCTGAGCGCATCGATTATTGCATGTTCTCTGATAACACTTTTGTTGTAGTTTATGATTGCAGGCTTTGTCTGCGTCACTGGAGACGTTCGGTTTGGATTAATTAAACTACGCAAAAAAATGGAAATACGATAATCCATCTTATTCAGGAAGAAAGCTGGTGTACAAATTGTTTCTTTATGCTTTGCAGCTGGCTTGGAAACCAGGAGTAATGGTTTCTAGCACAAATTAGTTCCTCTGATGTGTCTAGTACATGGGCAATTCTCTATAAAGGGGAGTGAGAACCTAATGGACACATTCAAATGTTCTTAAACGATGACCATACCAAGGCTGCTGCTACTTTCATCGTGTCTTGTTTTCGTTACTTCTTCGTCTTTCCAAAATGTCTCATTGAAATGTTTAGAGGACACAATGGATTTTCTGTTGGACCTGAATTCCAAAGAGCCCAAAACCTATGCCATTTTGAGTAAGCATATGAGGTTTTTATATTTGTTGTACATATTATCTGTTAGAACCTATAGAATTTAATGACACATAGAAGACATGTCTACATGTGCAGGATAATGTCTACCCTGATTAAGTGATATTTGTGCTTTTGTGTTTATTTTTGTAAAATTAATTTAAAATGTTTTTTTTTATAGTAATTGTTACAATTTGAAGGTCTACTCACCATGCCTAGGAATTTTCTCAAAATATTTTTTTTTTTTTAAGCCCCTATATTTGGAAAACTAAGGTTAAGAATTACTAAAGTTTATAAAATCTACACTGCCAAATCCACTCTGCCTGTTTTGGTAAAAGATTTGGTAAAAGCAGTCTTTGGTTGACCTTCACCCTACTGTTTTTTAATTACCCGCATAGTGTAATCTCAATCATTATTCAAGATGTGTTTGTTTTTTGTTTGTTTTTTTGCAACAGGCTAATAAGGCATATTTACATTAGTGACATTTGATGTTTGCTTTTTTTTGTGTCTATGTTCCTGCTATTCAATATGATGATGATAATGAACCTTCTAACAGTTCTGAAATGTAGAGATGACCGTGTTTATATAATGCCACTAAGTTCTTTTACACGCACTGTATTCTAAAAACCTAGTATACGTGCAGTACCAAGTCTTTGTTAAATACTATTGTTAGATACTGGGTATATTTCATAATGAAATGCAAGTGTGTGTCCTTCCAGAAATAAAAAAGGATTGATGACATGAGGTGCTTGTTAGAAAACCAGAGATCAGATCTATACATGTCATCTTGACTCTCCCCTAAACTAAGCCATTAATATATGGGGTCAAGACTAACTGACATATATTGGTAATAGGTTCTTAAAGACTATTTAGAAAGAAAAACTTATGATGGGAAATTAGAGAAACACTCAAAACACTTAGCTTCTGCTTGTCCCATTTGTATTATTTTATGAAAGTGCCGATTTAAAAACAAAAGTGCCAATTTCAAAATTACTGTGCATTCACCCTGTGTCCCCAAAGCTTCTCTATACGAAGAATTGGATTGACCAATTTACTAGTTTTGACAAAAATGGTGTGGGGTCCGAATCTAAACAAACAAAGGAACACCGCAGTGTCAGAAATAAATGTATTTATGTGTAATGTGGTGGTGTCACTTTAAAGGGTTTTTTTCTGCAAGGGAGAAACTGTTATGTCTGTTACCAGCGTGCAGTGCGCGCTGATGACAGACGGAATTTATGCACAGAACTGACATGTAGGCTGCCTTAGTCACATGTGCTGGGGGTGCAACTTGCCCCAGCACACAATTAAATCATCTCTGGACGTGCAGTGTTTCAAGATGAAGTACTGCACATGCAGACTCCCACCACCATGACCGCTTCAAAAGGCAGAAGTGGTCATGGTGGTTGGATTAACCCTTTAAGCATGTAGAACAGCCAACATATTAAGGATTTTCAATTACATATTGCTCAATTACATAATAAGTTTTTTATAGGCTAAAGAATGATCTGTCTTTTCTAAATAAAAATTAAGAAAATGAATAGACCACAAAGTAGAGTTACTGATAAATATATATATATATATATGGTCTGCTTATTAGATTGCTTTCTATGGCAATATGTTAATAGCTTCCAATGGTTCATAAAAATCTAACCACCTATTGAAACCACCTCTTTTATCTTGTGCAATGGGTCACTAATAGCAAGTCTTAGTTGGAATATTACCTTAAATGTTACCCTTGAAGTGCCATGTCCATTTGAATCCAATTATCGTGGAGGTGGTTCTGTGGATTAAAGAGCACAGAGTGAGCACTAAAGTGCATGTCGCAACAAATTTAGTTTGTTTTAGAAGTGTTACTAATACCAAGCCTGCCTCAGTACCTTTTTGGCTTTTCTTTTTATATACCGTATACATAATCTAGTGCCTCAAATGCCATTGTATGTAACACAAATTATTTATAAATCTAATAGTATAAGTGAAGTCAATAGGACATAAAATACAAGTTATGTGCAGTTCAGATAACCTTAAAGGTATTTTCTACCCTCAAAAAAACTTCACCTCAATGATGGAGTCCCTGGGCACTATCTTATCTTAAAGTGTAAACCATTGTCCAACAGTTTAGCTCCAAAGTTGGCTACCTGGACATCCATACAATCTGCCTCCTCTGTTTGGCCACCGTACTGTGCAGAAGAGGAATTGTTGCAGTCGGTATCATGATGGGCTGATAGCTTCAACTGATATTCTCAGCCTATCAATGGCCACCCAATGCAAGTAACAGTACATACACAGCATTGGAATAAAGTTTTATGGCTTTGTTTAATGATTTAAAAAGAAGAATATAGTGTCTGTGTTCCCGAAAGACTAATAAACACATCTGATTGAAATGTGTGTGTGTATCTGTTTATATATAATGTAAATAGGTTGCTCTAAAGCATGGGTAGTTAACCTGGTCCCTACCGCACACCAGTGGGCGGTGGTGCAGAAAACACCCAGTGGGCCTCGATGGCCCTCGATGGCCATGTACCAAGGCTGACAAGGGAAATCATTTCATCTCCCCTGCTGGCCAATGCATAGCCAGCCTTGCTGTAAGCCCTCTTGGGCTGGTGAGGAGATCAAATATCTCCCTCACCGGTCCGTTGGCACTTAGTTTAAGCAGACGGAGGGAAGGGCCTGGGAGGCTCTGTGTTGTTCCTGCGAGCAGGCATGTTGGAGCTTTGTCGCGTGTTACCATGGCAATGCTCCGATACGGTGCTGTGCTCGCAGGAGGACAGGAGAATCAGCCTGCAGCTGGAGGAGCTGCAGGCTAAAGTGAACATGCCACCACTGGACAACCAGGGCTTGTAGCATTATGTTCCCCCTCCCTGGTAAAAGGTAAGAAGAAAGCAGAAGGAGACATTAAGATAGATTTTCACATCTCACCCACCTTCACACGGCATAGACCCTATGCATCTTCACACACAGACTGCTCCCATCACACATATTACCCCCTCACACACTACACCCCTCACACACACTGCCCCCCCACACACACACACAGCACCCTTCACACACACACACTGCCTCCCACACACACACACTGCCCCCTCACACACACTACACCCCTCGCACTGCACCCTTCACACACGTACAGCACCCCTCACACATACAGAACCCTTCACACTCACACTGCACCTCTTACAAACACACACACACACACAGCACCCTTCATACACCTACAGCACCCCTCGCACACACACTGCTCCCCTTACACACACAATGCCCCCTCACATACACACACACAGCATCCTTCACACACACACATAAAAAAGTAGAATAGAAAATAGAAAAAAAGGAAAAAGAAGTAGATAAATTTAAGTACTGTGTGTTGTGACACTTTTCTATGATGGCCATAATTAAGTTTTTCAGCAATTTGAGCTACAGTAGCTCTTCTGTGTGAGATCAGAACAATAAGCTTTGGACGCAAACATTCCTGTATTGTTCCTGCACCTCTATTGTTTGGTACTAACTACTGAGTACCAGTAACACCCCACAATACTTGCTGTATTGGAGATGCTCTGACCCAGTCATCTATCCATCGCTATTTGGCCCTTGTCAAAGTTACTCAGATCTTTTCTCTTGCTAATCTTTCCTGCTTCCAAAACATCCTCTTTTTGCTATCATCCACCCACATTTGTCTAGTCAGAATGACATTCTGATATCCTTGCTGTATGTCCTAGTTAGGTGGCTCATTCTTGGCATACAGCTTGATGTTGTCCATGACGAGTAGGTGACTGATGGTAGCTCCACTGTTGAACCTGTATCTATATACGCCTGTGCAGAGCAGCATTTGTGATATTGCATCACCTTGGTATATGCCCCATTTGATGTTTATTTATTATTGTCCTGGAATTGACTTCTAGAGTTGTTTTGCACTTGCCCATCGAGTCACATCTCAATAATATGAGAGTAACATGAACCAAGAAGTCTACTGGACTAATATGGCTAATCCAATCTACACTATATATATATGTTTTGAATGAAATGTAAATTTATGACATGCTAAAAAATGTCGGCTCTACATTAAGAGGTTTCATTAGGACAGCAAATGTGCAATCTGCTATTTTTCTTTATATATATATATATACACATACACACACACACACACACACACACATACCTTTTTTAAAAAAGAAAATATTTATTATTATTTATTATTTTTTTTAGCAATGGACCCATGGACCAAGAAAAGACACAGCTTCTAATGAATTTACACTGCTACCTTACAAATGATCTGTGATAAATAATGCCACCACAGATTTTTTTTTCTCCCGAATTGAGCGAGCGAGTCACATCATGCCATTCTTCTTTTTTCTTTCTTTATCTTTTTATTTGACATTTTAAATTTTGTATGACCAATATTTATCAATATGAGGCTGAGGAGCATAGTGATTTCTGTACTCCTAGTTTTTCAGCCGAAAGCAGCTCTTTGTTATACTTGGTAGCAAAGGTCAAGAAATCCTGACCTCAAATTTGCAAGTACATTTTTATCTTTTCTTTTATTAGTTCCATTTACTGAGTCAATCGACTAAAGTTTGAGTTCCATAACTGGTTGGTAGAAAACTAACAATGAAATCTCTTAACCATTTAACTGACCACTTATGCTTTTAGAAGGAATCTTGGTGGTAGGACTCTGTATGTGCAGCGTTTCTGCTTGAAATGCTGCACATCAGTGGCGTACATACCAGGGTCGCGGCTGCGACCGGGCCCGGCCCACCAGGGGGCCCGGCCGCCCCTGCGACCCGGTATGTACCCACAGGGCCAGCCTCTTCTCCTGGGGGGCCCAGGAGCTGGCCACCTCAGGGCCCCCCTGAGGCTGGCCCTGCTGACACCCGGCAGGCAGGCGGGAGGGCGTGCGAGGAAGCACTCAGAGCAGAGTGCTCCCTCGCGCGCCGGCCGCCCAGGAGCCCAGCAGCACCACTGGACCCCAGGGAATCCCCCCAGCACTCCAAAAGGTAAGGAGGCTGGGGGGATTAAATTTTAAAAAAAAAATGTGTTTGTGTGTTAGTGTTTGTGTGTTAGTGTGTGTGTGTTAGTGTGTGTGTGTTAGTGTGTGTGTTAGTGTGTGTGTATGTTAGTGTGTTTGTGTGTGTTAGTGTGTTAGAGTGTGGGTGTGTGTGTGTTAGTGTGTGTGTTTGTTTGTGTTAGTGTGTGTGTTAGTGTGTGTGTCAGTGAGTGTGTCTGTTATTGGGTGTGTGTCTGCTAGTGAGTGTGTTACTGTGTGTATCTGTTACTGAGTGTGTTTGATGTCTGTTAGTGAGTGTGTGTTTGTCAGTGAAAGTGTATGTTTTGTAAGTGAGTGTGTATGTATGTCTATCGCTGAGTGTGTCTCTGTCAGTAAATGTGTGTGTCTGTTAGCTAGTGTGTATGCGTCTGTTCGTGAGAGTTTGTGTGTCTTCAGCATTTACCTTTCACCAGCGTCGGACTCCCTTGGCGCTGGGGATCCCTCCGCCTCTCCGCTCCGAATGCACATGCGGGGCAAGAGGCGCACGCACATTTAAACTGCCCATAGGAAAGCATTACTCAATGCTTTCCTATGGACATTCAGTGTCTTCTCACTGTGATTTTCACAGTGAGAATCGCGGAAGCTGCTCTAGCAGCTGTCAATGAGACAGCCACCAGAGGTTGGATTAACCCTCAGTGAAACATAGCCGTTTCTCTGAAACTGCTATGTTTTCAGCTGCAGGGTTAAAACTAGAGGAACCTGGCACCCAGACCACTTCATTGAGCTGATGTGATATGGGTGTCTGTAGTGGTCCTTTAAGAGTGTGTGCATACCGCGGTCACCTGCCGCCATGTGTTGCGGCCCCAACCCGCACCAAGTAAGCAGGGGGGGGGGGCCCACGGATCAATTTTCGCACCGGGGCCCCATGGGTCATGTGTACGCCACTGCTGCACATACATAGATATTAGCACATATGACTTTGGCAGCCTGGAAATCTATTCCAGGCTGCCAAATGTCTGTTCTGTGCAAAAATCTATCCGTCGCCATTGCACTGTGGCTAAGGTGCACTGTGCACAGAGCTTGCAGGAGGAAGCTTGACTGCAGCCCTCCCTGCCACTCTTTTTTTTCCCCCACGTCCATCCTTTCCTCTCTTGCACCCCACTTCCTCTCCCCCCTACCCACTCCCAGGCCCTTGTGGGAATGAAAGGGTTAAACACTTTAAACACTTCCCTTATCCAGAGCCGAGGTCTCTTAGTGTTGGCTCAGTTTCCGCCTCCTCCAACAGAAGTGCAAGGGAAGACCTAATGAGTCTTGGATGCTGCGCGAGCATTAGACTTTCCCCATAGGAAAGAATTGACTCAATGCTTTCCTATAGAGTTTTGCAATGTCCTGGCATTCATATGCAAAGCATTCGGATGTCCAACTAGGAAGATCCTCTAGTGGCTGTCTTAAACCTTTAATGTAATTATTGCAAGGGACTGGTACACTGCACCCAGACCACTTTAATGAGATGAAGTGGTCTGGGTGAAGATAGTGACCCTTTCAGTTTTTCCTCTGCTTTAACAGAGTAATATTATGCTGCATTGTAATAAATATTTCCTTTTAACTTGACTGCATTTCATACAGTACTTGGAAAATAGTACTGCAATGATTGGATTCCTGGTGCCACCTGTTGGTGAAAAAGCAAAATCTAAACCACTAAAATTTAGTGAATTAACCAGCGAGACGAACCTTGTCTCTTCCCCTTTGGGAACGAACCCTGTGAGCCCATTGAAAATGAACTGTAGGGCATTGTGACATTTACCTAACCCCCATAACCCCCTCCCTTTTTTCATTTATGTACCCTGAAAACAATAAAAATTGTCAAATTGAATTTTTTTTTATTTTTTTTAGCGAATTAAATGGACAGTGCACATTTGGGAGATGCGTTTAAATGGTACTATTTCTAACAGCAAACATGATGCATTTAGTCTTATTTTGCATTACGCCTATATGGTATGGATAAAGTTCCCTTAAGGAGTCGTTACATAAAAGAACAAATAAACAAATAAATCAAAATGCCAAAACTGAAACATTTTAGGTTCCCAAATGAAATAGCAACTTTTCATAAAGTACATATAATTCAGAATGGTGGAGACGTGTAAAGCAATATAATCTGCACTATTATTTTGCTAAAAGGATTCTTAAGCAATATATATACATATATAACATTTCTATTATTGGACCAAATAGATATTGTTTACAGATGTGTCACAATTGCTTTACTTTCCATGCAGAAACTCTTTCCTTTTTTTTCTCTTTTTTTTATCAACGACCCCAACTTCTCTGTACATAGTAGGGCTGGCAAGGGGTGGAGTGGCAGAACATTGTCACCCTGGACACAAGGAAACAGAAGTTGTGGTGTGCAGCCTTCCACCATTTTAAAGGGAAACTTCACTGCCCAAATCCAAAAGTATACAAATCTCTGTTTAGTAGATATATCCTCACTGAATGTATGCATTCATTATTATTTTTTTCAATGGAGGTATATTTGAAAACAGTTTGCACAAACGGTAGTTCTCTCTTCCCATCCGACCCCTCTTCAATAAAGAATTAAAAAAGAAACTCAGTAGTTCTCTTATTTGCTGCATTTGCAAGTCCTCCCCTTCTAAGCCCGCCCAGACCTTCTGTGGCTGTCCAATCACAGATTTACCAATACAGCTCAATGAGAAGACTTCGCAAGGCAGGTGCTCTGGGTCAATTACTCGCCTTGTGAGTTTAGCTCTACTATACTTAAAAAACAGGACGATGTTGCTGGATTAACAGCCAGGGAGTGTGTAACAAGGTTAATTTACAAAAATGTCAATTGACATTGAAATCTTTTGTAAAATGAATAAGAGGACACACTCTTGAAACATAGGTCACTTCAGCAAGCTAAAGTGCTTTAAGGGTGTGGAGCGTGCCTTTAAAATAGTGAGAGCTGGAATGTCTAATGGCACAGTGGGACCTGTTCTATTCCAAAAATAAGATTGTTGCATGTAGAGTTGACGTGGGTCGTGGTTGGATTGTTACCAGTTTATGTCTTATGTCACTGGAGGTGTTTACAAGTGACTACAGGACAAAATGAGACATTCATGATGCTTGTCAGTAACTGAGATATGTGAGTATTCATTTTGAAAAAATACTAAATTATTTTTGCCTACCAAGTCCAGATCAAGCACATATCTCAGGAAACACTTTAGTGCTCATATCCCACTGTGTGATTATAAATTATCTAAACCTAAAGTGCACTTACGAAATAAGCCTTTGTAAGAGAAATAATGTGTGCACAGAGATTACGGGGGGGGGGGAAAACGTAGAACCATTTTAATACATTTTGGATTTTGTTACAGGGCTCCTTGGAGGTATTCTTACATGTTGCACCTCTTTTAAATTCTAGCAGTGTTTAACCAACAGGGACTCAAGCAAAAAAAGAACAATTTTAAATCGCAAATTCCAAATATTACCATTTAACGTAAAGTACAAAAATTGAGGACAACCCAAACCATTAAAGGTTAATATAATAAAACATGGTTCTCGCTGTGATATAGCCTCCTTCGTCGCGTGGAGATGAACGGCTTCAAAATTAGATTACATTTATTTATTAAGAACACATAATAATATCATACTGTCAACAACTGTCACCTCAACACTATTTAATAGTGATCATTTCATCAGGTTTTAAAAATAAAATAGATTATTTGGTAAATGAAATACATGTAAAAAAAATTGAAAAACACATACCTCCCTTCAATATGTGACAGGATCCTTCCATCATATACATGCTATATCCGTGCACATTATAGTTAGGTTTTTTTTTAATTACTTGAATAAAAACTTACTTGATGAAAGGAATATTACATTAAAATATAATTGTGAGGTGAAAGTTCTCCTTTAAATATCCTCAAAATCTTCTTGTGATAGAAGCTCTATATCATGGACCTTTGGCGAGACTTGAAGGCCAACCTCTTGCCCACAGACTATGGACCTGGTCCCAAAAGCCCCTGAAAGGGGCTTGTGATGGTAGCAATCGAAAAACAAACTATTTAGTATTACTTAATAACTCTACAGCACCCTTTGCTGGCTGAATGGAAGTGTACATTTACATAATGCTGATATGCATATTAGGACAACCAAAAATGTAGTTAAATGCATATATAGTTTCTTTTTATTGTGTATGAAAATGTTGAATTATTTAGTTCATGAATTAGTTATATTTGCTCATTCTTCAATGTTCTATATATTTGTATTTTAAATGTTTGTCACCACATATTTAAGGACTAGGCCCGAAAGGCTAGACTTTGTACAAAATAAATAAATATATGTTCGTTCTTTTTGTTTTGAATATTTTTATTGTTATCACAACATATATGCAGGTAGCAACTTTGTTTGTAATAAAGCAAATGGTCGCCCACGCAGGGGCGTAAGCATCAGTACGTGTTTGCATTTCGTCACCTACGCAGAGGCTGGTTGGTCATTGCATGTGTGATATAGCAGATATATTCATATTCGGTTGCTTGCATTTTACATGTGTAGGACTTGTAGTGCACATTTATTGCGGTTAAACAGACGAGTATGGTTTTGAGTGCTTCTGCCTTGTGCATATGAATTTTTGTGCCTGTGAGTCCTGTGACTTTTTGCTGGTGTGTTGCATCGTATCTAAACCAGGGTTGCAGTAGCAGTGCATGAATTGTATCTTGCTTCTCTGCTGGTAGTATTTGAATTGTTGGCATTCTATTTGTGCCTCTGCTGTGGGGCATATATCTGACATTTAACCTTGTCCTGCTTTGCTCTGATACATGTGACTGTAAACTACTTGTGCATCTAAGTATCTGTTGCATTATGTAGCTAGATGTTTCGAGGATGTGCTTGTCTATCTGTTCACTGTATTTGTGCTCGTAATAAGTGTGGCTAATAGGTATACTGAGCTGGGTTGCGCCAGTGTGTGGTATAGATTACATCAATGGTTTGTGTGTACTAGGTGTTGGGTATCCCTTGGTTCTGGAGAGTAGTTGCGATACTATGATGAGGCTCGCCCACTAGTGTATTTAATTCGGTTCCCGTGTAGTTTTTCTGTTTGGCTGTATTGGTGTTGTCTTCTGATGGGTTCTCGATGTGTGGTGTCTGTTGTTTTATCCGTTTGGATCTGGTTCTGGTTTTGAGGGTCGTGGTTGGATTGTTAGTTCTTTTTGGAACTGTGTTCTGTGTCTAATTTGATCAGGGATCTTGGTATCAGAGTCTTGGACCTGTTGGCTGGCTGCATGGTCCCTTTAGCATGGGACAAAGTCAATGGAGCTAGGCCTGACAGCCACAAGTGCCTTTATAAAAACAGGAAGGAGAGCTATAGAGGAATAGGCAAAGGGGACGATACCTGGCTGGAAGGAGAGAGCTGCATCCTTGTTGGGTGGAGAGCTCTGGGAGACTCCTGTCAGGCTTTGGTGACTGGGTCTGAAGTGTTCCAGAGTCTCCTGTGGCAGCAAGAATGCGGACTTGGCAGAGATACTCGGCCAAAGTATGGGAGCTCCATCACATGTCTTATCTCACAGGATGAGATAACATAAAAACAACAATATGATCAGCAATTCCTGATTGTTATGTTGCTTTTAGTTTTGGTACAAAAAATTTAAACAATTGTGAGGTAACATTTAATGTCCCTCTGCAGCATTTCATATTGAATATTAGTTCATATTTTGTCCATAGAACAAAATCTACATGAGGTTGTGATATTTTGTTTCTATTGTGAATGATGGGGTTATAAACCAACACTTACAGAAGATATGAACATGTTAATCTATAAACATATATTTCCCTTTTCCCTGTTGGTAGCAGCTAGTGCTTTCTTTTTTAATCTAGTTTCATCAACAGAAGGAAGAGTTTCTCTGCACAGCAGCTGACAGTGAATAGCAAGAATTCCTGATTATTTATGGAAATTGTGAAACATGTACAATTGTACAAACTGTGCCCACATTGTCAATATAGATAGTGGGAACTATATGCAGAAAGTTTGGTATTAGTTTGGTGACCCAACTTAAAAGGACACTCCACTGCCCAAATACAAATTAATTAAAAAATCGCTGTTTAGTATATATACAATAAATGAAAACATGCATGCATTTAATTATGCATTTTTTCATTGGAGTTATATCTGAAAACAGCATGCAAAAACTGCAGATCTTTTGTCTGCTGCCTGTGCAAGCCCTCCCCTTCTAACCCTGCCCAGACTTTCTGTGACTGTCCAATCACAGACTTCCCAATGCTGTTTAATGAGAGGTCTTTGCAAGGCAGATGCTCTGGGCAATTGCTGCCTGTTGAGTTCAATGCAAATAGGCTAACCAAACCAGGGAGTAACAGGATTTGCTGTCTGCTTTAATAAGGAAAATTTATAAAAGTGTCAACTTCTATTGACATCTGTACTATTTCCAAAATGAAAAAAGAGGACACAATCTTCAGACATAAAGCTTTTCAGCAAGCTAAAGTGCTTTAGGGGTCTGGAGAGTTCCTTAAAAGGGCAACTGTCTCTTCTCCAGATTTTTAATATTATGTTAATTTATCCCTATATTTAACAAATATGTATTTATAAGGTGTAAAAAAGAAAAATAACTGTACAAATCCCCACCTTTTTATCCTGCAATGGGGCAATCCATCTTAGCACTTGGTGAGGGTTTATTTAAAAAATACAATAATGGCAGATTAAGGGTATAGGGAGGTAGGGAGGCATTGGATGAAAGAGGTAGGGAAAGCGCGAGAGAGGGAGGGGAGTTGAGCGTATAACCTTGATGTGCTCGCTGATGACAAGCATAGATCTTGCACAGAATTCACATTAGGTAGCTTTCAACAGAGGTTAAACTACATAAGTTGTGTGCTGGGAATGCAACTAGCTAGCGGCAGATAAGTGTAAATATTTCAGTATGCACAGTGTTTCAAGTTGAAAAAGACTCCTACCACCACAGCCACTTCTAAACGCAGAAGTGGTCATGGTGGTTAGAGTAATCCTTTAACCAAATGGCATATGATAATAAAATAATTAACATTATTATCACTCCCATTCTGAAATTTCAACTAGTTCATCCAGTTGTTCAGTCTTATACTTAAATCTGTTTTTTCTTTTGCAGAATAAAATGGAAATTTTCAGAATTTAGTTTTTAGAAACAAAAACAACACAAAGTGAAGTTACTCTTAGAAATTGAAAGTCATTTTGTTACATTGTGTGTAAAAGTATTATGCTCGAAGTAAAAATACATTCAGTAAAAAATAAACTAGATTTGCTTTTTAAAAATCTATTTTTAATACATATGTTACTACAAGCTAATTTTACTGTATATCCTATAGTTTTCTAATATTTGAGAAACTTAAAGTTGATATGATGAAAAAAATAACAACAACAAATTTTCACTGCTGCCATTGGCTGTGACACAACTGCAAATATCTAATCCCCCCAGATTTGTAATGTTCTATTTGAGAAAGAAAACGACAGCCTTCGTACTGTTGCTTAAAGGACAAGGCTCTGAGAAGATTTTCCTCTAAGCAGACATTGCTGTGTTTTGCAGCCACAGAGCAAATATGTAAAATTGAGAATGAATAATCTAGTTGGATTTGAAGATCATGAATCGAAATGTTAGATTTTTATTAAAATATTTGAAAAGGCGCAAGGTGTGAGATGTCATTTGGAGAGATGGTGAAGTACTGAAATATAATTCTAAATAATATAACAATTTCCGTGTGGATTTATTTTTGTTAACTCTTGCTAAGTGGGTGTAAAATGTTTTGGTCCACAATTTCAAATTCATTGAAATGAAGTGGCCTGGGTGAATGTGTGTAGTATAGAGAGGAGAACAGCTTAATAGGAGTTAGGTGGGCTTTCCTGATGGGTGGAGGGAGTAGAGGAATAAAATACTAAATAGAGCTCTACTGGATCAGGATCCAAAAGTACCAGACGTTTCTATACTTTTTTTCCCTTTCTCTTCCTTCAATTCTTCCTTCAATTCCGGCCATTTAAAAAAAATAATTGTACAAATTATTATTTAATTATCGTCCTTTTCTAGTTATGCTCTAAATATTAGTTCCTGGATACTAAATTTCTAGAAGTGGTCTGGGTGCCTATAGAATCCTAAAGAAAAAAAAAAAAAGAAACAACGACTGCCCATTTCAATCCTGTGGTTGAACATAAACCTTATGAAGTATAAACATTTTAGAAAAGAAATAAACAGGATTGAAAGACAGTAGGATTATATTTGCTATCTTTAACTAAGGCTGTACACACATTATTTTGGGATTCTCTTGATAGAATTGGAAGGATTGTATTTGTATGGGCATTTGGGTATAAAGTGGTTAATTTGAGCTATTATATTCGTTTTCTGTGATTTTCCTTTCTATGTAAGCAGAACACTTTCACATACTTGCTCTAATGATGTATATAAACATTTGCAGTTAGTTTAGAGACTACATGGTCAGTCAGCTCAGTGAATCTTCTCTAGGTGACTAAGAATCAGAACTGCCTTATAAAAAGCCAAATTTACTTACCTTATCCCAGCATCCAATGTCAACAACATATCCCAATGTCAGCCCACTCCTCTGTCCCGCCAAAAGGGTGCTACTTATCCTCACTAATACACAAATATGTCCTGTCTAGGCCCCTACGCTCTCCCGGAGACCTACGTCTAACCTCTGTCCATACTCCAACCTCTGACACTCACCTTATAGACTTCTCTAGCGCTGCACCGTTCCAATGGAACACCCTTCCCCTCTCTGTTAGACTTTCACCCAATCTCCATTCCTTCAAAAATATCTTTGAAAACTTACTCCTTTAGGAAAGCATGTCAATTAAACTGTAAACAGCTTTCCCTCCCCGCACCCTGATTCCTTTCCTGAAACGGTCCTCAAAACAAAACACTAAGCCAACAATGAATACTATCCTTGCAACCTACTTTTCTACCCTACCTTTACCCTTTGTGTCATTATACCCCACTCCCTCTAGCATGTAAGCTCATTGAGCAGGGCCCTCAACCCCTCTGTTCCTGTGTGTCCAACTCGTCTGGTTACAAATACATGTCTGTTAGTCCACCCATTGTACAGCGCTATGGAACTTGTTGGTGCTTTATAAATATTCTCAATCCATATGGATAATTACTGAATCTACAATTGACATTTATACTTTTATAATTACTCTGCTTTTTGGGTTTGTAACTTTTGCTAATTTTAAAAATCAATATATTAAAAATGTTATGTGTGAATTTTCTTTCTTTTCTATGTTTTTCGAAAACTATGGTAATGTAGTTGCTTATTCTTGTTTTATATCAGAATAGGCCAATTTCCTACACACAAAAGATTGATTGTTATTAATAATTTCTCTCCAAGATATTGTATGGGGCAGGATGGTGAACCCGTTACAGTGTGAGAGCCTAATTGACTATCTGAAATAAGGTTTTTTTTGTTTTTTTTATCTGCTGCTACTTTTTTACACTAACCATTATTTTTGAACGCATGCCATTGCACAGATTGGTGATCTCATTATACCGCTTTCTTCATGTTACAGTGTACGATGCTTTGGGCAAAGTAGGAAGTGCTATTTTGAATGGAAACATGGACAGAATTGGATTATATAGTGAATGTGTATCAGTAACGGCTCCTTCAGGCAACTTCCGAGGGGAATACTGCAAACTGCATGTGGAACAGGTACAACGTGTGCTACTTTCTGCTATTATGGTATGAAATACAATCTGACATGACAAAGTTTAGGGGTGCAGCAAACGTGAGGACCTTGTGACTGTTTATTTGTACTAGAACGCAGGCTTCCTTAGGCAAAAATGCAAACCCACCCTACTCTGGTACATATGTATGCATTCTAATTATAAATACCATGTGGGTGGGTGACTACAAATGGGGCATAAACAGGAATATTCTGGATTTTTGAAGAAGTGAACAGATTTTACAGACAGATATATAATTAAGTTGAATTCGACTTGCTTACTATTGTGGCCTTGTGATGTTTTTTAAGACTAGTCTGTGCTGTTTGTATATGAGATAGGTATGGGCAGTGAGAATGAATCAGATAGAATGAAAGATGATGTTGGCATGAGTGAAGATGGAATAGATGAGTGTGGCTGGTGTGACTCGATAGATATTATAAGATGACTTGAATTGGAATATAATAGTAGGGGACCTTAGCATGGGTGGTGGTGGGAAAGACAGGAAAGTGGAAGTGGCACATAAAGGATAGCAGATATCGGTAGGTGGTTGATAGGAGATGTTGGCTGGTACTAACAGGAGTGGAGGTGGTAGATAGAGTGGAGAAAGGAGATAGAGGATTTTAATATGGGTCAAAGAGAGACATCATAGTGACACTAGCAGCTGTGAACCAGTATGGATAGCATTGTCTTTGCGATGTGTATGTGTGAAACTGTTATGAATGGATGGTAAAGGTGGAATAAATTGGCTATAGTGCGTAATGATTCACCACATTACCGGTAGTGATATGATAAGGTTGGCACAAACTGGAGTGAGGTGTATAGATGAGGGTTTTGCAAAAGTAACAATCTGGATAAGTGGGGCATAATGAATTGTAGGAGATTGATATAATGGTTTCTTTTATGGTATAATGATAAATATATATTATATATATAGTGATGTATTGTGTTACTTTAGATTTCACAAAATCAAATATTGTATAATAATTAAAATGATTGTGTACTAGAAAGTATGTCCCTTTGTTATATTTATCTTAAAGGAAGGAGCTAAATTTGTTATTGGAATATGTGTGCCAAATTCCTGCAGCAGTCATGAGATAACATCCCTGACTAATATGGGTAAGATTTCGATTTATTTTGGTATGTATTAAAGTTGTAGACCCCTTGGTAGTGCTTGTACTAAGTCTAAACTCCAAGCTGCCCTCCTGTACTGGTCTGCTCTGCATGCCCATGCGTACAGCATTGAAGTATATGCAGGATTCCACGAGACCACAGAATCCTTTATCGACACTACTGACTGCTGCCAGGATTGATACTGTATCTCTGTCCAGTGTTCCAGAAAAGTCAGGCAGAGGAAAAATACATAAGACAAAGTACTCCTTTGGTTTGCTTTCCCAGCGTTTTAGTTATACTTGGTCTTTAGTGGGCAGAAAACCCAATTCCTGGACTTGTCAGGTAAGAACATGTGGACTGTCTACTTTTTGCATAGAATTGTTGGCCTCTCAACTGAATTTGTTCCCAATAGGTTTTTAACTCCATATGATTTAGAGTTTAGTGAATAAACTCCAAAAATCTGAATTTATAATTATAATAATAATAATAATCTAAATTTTGGTAAAACTCTCTAACATATCTATGTTCCCATCTTGGCAGTTTTGCCCTAAATTCAACACATTTTAGGAACATAGAAACATAGAATGTGATGGCAGATAAGAACCATTTGGCCCATCTAGTCTGCCCAATTTTCTAAATACTTTGCAGTACAAACCATTATCTAGAAATCTATTCATAAACAGGGCTATACATAGGAAACAAGGTCACGCATTTAGGCTGGAAGAAAAGAGATTTCGTCTAAGGCAAAGAAAATTTTTTTTTACAGTAAGAGCAATAAGGATATGGAATTCTCTGCCTGAAGAGGTTGTTTTATCAAAGTTCATATAGATGTTTAAACATCAGTTGGATAAATACTTGCAAAAACATAACATACAGGGATATAATTTCTAATTAGTGGGGTAATAGCTGCTTGATCCAAGGAGATATCTGACTGCCATTTTGGGGTCAAGAAGGAATTTTTTCCTAATTTGTTGCAAGATTGAAAGCGCTTCAGACTGGGTATTTTGCCTTCTTTTGGATCAACAGCAAAAACATATGTGAGGAAGGATGAACTTGATGGACGCAAGTCTCTTTTCAGCTATGTAACTATGTAACTTAGTCCCTGGCCTTATCTTATAGTTAGGATAGCCTTATGCCTATCCCACACATGCTTAAACTCCTTCACTGTGTTAACCTCTACCACTTCAGCTGGAAGGCTATTCCATGTATCCACTACCCTCTCAGTAAAGTAATACTTCCTGATATTATTTTTAAACCTTTGCCCCTCTAATTTAAGACTATGTCCTCTTGTTGTGGTAGTTTTTCTTTTAAATATAGTTTCCTCCTTTACTGTGTTGATTTCCTTTATGTATTTAAATGTTTCAATCATAGCCCCCCGTCTCGTCTTTCAAGCTATACATGTTAAGATCTTTTAACCTTTCCTGGTAAGTTTTATCCTGCAATCCATGAACCAGTTTATAATCTTACTCAATTCACTTTTAAAATAAATAAGACATTTTGGGTTCTCTAAGACATTGATATATATTAAATATTAAGACTTCCTATACTAAAATAAAGTTTTAATATTAATGTTATAAATCTTAACATAAATGTAATCTTTTTTTCAACAGATATTTTGAAATACAGTGATGTCTCATTTTTGCCTCCTTTACCAAATTTTCTGCTCCAGAATGATAGTTCTCTCACCGTGGCAAGCACTGTGTGTTCTGCAGGGCTTTTTCCCATGGATTCATTCACAATTGTCTGCATGTAAGTATACATAGTAACATGAGAAAAAATGCTGTTGATTCAAACACTGAATAAATAAAAAAGTTTGCATAATGGGATGGGACTAGCATACCTTCCTACTTTGGGAGGTATGGAATTGGGAAGGGTGGGTGGTCTTCATGGGGGCCATTGAAGCAACTTTTGTCTTTGGTGACACTCATCATTGGCAGGCAGCCTACCCGGAAAGTGGGCCCACTGTATGTCAGCCAGGCATCAAGCACACCAGCTGGCCCCCTACATACAGGACGATGCAGTGAGAGCTGCTGATGCACTCTCTTCATAGTCCTAGGTGTCAACATGTCTAATGACTTACTCACGCTGTGCAGGGAAAAGTTCCCCCACAGATGCGGGAGACAAATTAAATCAGGACAGCAGGACTGAACCCCAAAATTGCCACTGCCCTCTCAAGAGTGGGCGAGTTGGAAAGACATGACTATATATGTATATACCCAACAATTATATTAAATCTTGATGTTTTTTGCTGGGACCCAGGGCCGGTGCAAGGATTTTTGGGTACCCGGCCGAACTGACAGGGAGTGCTCTCTCACTAAGCACCTCCTGTCAGTTTGGCCGGGTACAGGAAACAGAAGCTCCTGTACTGCGCTCCGCTCCGCCACGCTACACTCAGTGGTGTATACACACTGACAGTCACACACTCAATGACAAACACACAGACAGACACAGACTCATTGATCTGACACACACTCATTCATTGACACACACACTGATAGACACACACTGATTGAAACTCATTGACAGACACACTGATAGTCACACACAGACTCAATGACAAACAAACTCTCACTGATTTGACAGACAATCACATACACACTCATACACTGACAAACACACTCATCATACACTGACAGACACACTCATACACTCACATGCACACACACTCATACAATCACTCACAGACACACACACACTCACACATACACACTCACACACACACACTGTCACTGACAGACACACACACTCACACATACACACTCAGTCACTCACAGACACACACACTCAGTCACTCACAGACACACACTCAGTCACTCACAGACACACACTCAGTCACTCAGAGACACACACATACACACTCAGAGACACACACATACACACTCACAGAGACACACACACACTCAGTCACTCACAGACACACACACTGTCACTCACAGACACACACATACACACTCAGAGACACACACACACTCGGTCACTCACAGACACATATCACATACATTCACTAATTATTATTTTTATAAATAAGCATTTTCCACCCAGCATTCCCTACCTGGAGAGCTGGTGTGGATGATGGATCATTCCCTGGGGTCCAGTGGGGCTGATGGGCGGCGTGCGGCAGTGGTATGATCAGAGGCGGCGAGGGAGCTCTAATCTCCACGCTCTGCTCCCTCGCGGACTGTCTACTGATGCCGGGAGACGGAATATGACGTCTTATTCCGGCTCCTGCGGCATCAGCAAACGGCGCGCGAGGGAGCAGAGCATAGACATATTATACATAGACGCCGCATTGACTTCTGAGGGGCGAGAAATGCAGGCGCCATTTTGGTTATAGCATTCCTTACTTTCTACACCTCAGTTCAGCACTTTCATTCACAGAGGATCCGTGGCTACTAAACTGTTGTAACACCCACTGACTTATAAAGCAGGCAAGCTGACCACCATATTCCTCCTGCAAGCATGCAGAGTATGGTGTAATGATCCACCACAGCCAGGCTCAGCACTCACAGCCAGGCTCAGCACTGACACCAAGTATGGTGTAATGACCCATCACATCCAGGCTCAGCCCTTACAGCCAGGCTCAGCACTCACAGCCAGGCACAGCCAAAATAAATAAACGGGAAAGTTAAAATACGGCAAACCTATATGTCTATGGTGTTCTGTATTCTAGCGGGTGACCGACCCAAGATGGCGGCCCCACGGCTCATTAGCGCCAATAGGAAGTAGCAGTCAATGCGACGTCTAGGTATTATATGTCTATGGAGCAGAGCGTGGAGATTAGAGCTCCCTCATCCCCTCTGATCATACCACTGCCGCACATCGCGCCGGGGTTCCAGAAGGTGGCCTGGCAGGAGGGAGAGCTTCACTCCTGCCGGACACTGAAATCTTGCGCCCCCAGAGCCGGTGGGCCCTAAGGCGGCCGCCTGTGCCGTCTTATGGACGCGCCGGCCCTGCTGGGACCTGCTGAACTATACTTAGTTAATTAACACTTTTTGAAGCTTCACACAACTTTAAAAAAAAGAATACATATTAAGAATGAACTAAAAAAAAAAACAAACAGTCATATATCGATAAACATTTACACAATCAAGACTCTTTTCAGGAAAGCCTACTCAAACCATAACAATCTGTTTTGTTTTCCCTGCAGATGTATCAGTGGTGTCCTAATCATCCTTCCCATCTTTGGATCAATTTACGTTGGAGTTTTTCAGTTTACAGTTAATTCATCTTTAGAACGATTGAAGATTGTCCCTCGAAAAAGAAAACAAGGAGTGAATTCAGAGCATGATAAACTTGCAGTAAAATCGTCTTTACCCTTGGCAGAGAATGATAACAGTGAAAAGGCAAAAAGTAAATTTCAACTTCATTCTTGCATGTCCTTTTTGGTCTCTTTTTTTTTTTTGGAATACATTAAAATAATGAATCTGCGTTATGACTTTTCCAGGGAGTGCACTGTCAACTATTTTACTTTTCACTGGTCTGTGAAATTTAGAAGGATCTGTAACTTCAGATTGGGCAATTGTAAAACAATCACATGGATCCCAAACTGTACGAGGGACTTTCCAGAGGGAATGAACTATGTAAATGAAGGATATAAAACAGAGTCTATTTGTTTTGTGTTTATTTTTTAACATCTGCTTTTCTAAATATGGGAAAAGGGAGAAAATATCAAAATATCCGCACACCGCCAGGACAGACTTGGTATACCCAGAACAGACTTGGACAGTGTTATAAGTTCACAATCATAATTAAAATAGATTAATTAAACATATTAAGCAAAAAAAAAAAAAAAAAAAAAAGATTAGTATTAATATATTATTTAGCCTGCAGTGCGTTTAGTTTAAAATCGATCTGAGACATATGGGAACGTTTTGACTAATTCTGCTCAGATGATATGCAAATACTTGTTAGTCGTGTGTCTTGACCATAGTACAATGTTCATTCCTTAGCACCAGCCCCCTCCATTTATTCTTCATCAGATCACAAGACGAAAAGAACAAATTGTAAACAAAACAAAGGCACTAAAGCAATGGAGATAATGTGAAATGACGCACAGTTTGCAAACAAACATCTTCATTTTCTTGTCTGCCAACATGACAATATATCCTACATTGGTTACACGTGTGTCAGTACTACCATGTCTGCTCAAAGCCAACAAGTCAGAGCCTACCTCCTTCTTTTCAGGTCAAAAGGTATCTGGCATTTGAGTAACCCATCTATGTTCAAACTTGTGGAATGGTTTAGAGTATATATTAGAGTTGTAATTCACTTGATTTTTGTGTAAAGGCATTCTAAACTCCCTGCTGTTGTGGTATTGTTCCTGGAAACCCCTGGCTCTGTTCCCAGGTGTATGGGATCTTCCTGGTCTTCTCAACATTGCTAAAATATGCTTTTTTTCCTTTAGCTATGGCACCATTTTTACACCATTCATTGGTTGGGAGCTTAAGTTGTCACTCTTGGCCAATGAATGATGAGAAAAGTTGGACAGAGATTAAAAAACAGTTTAACTCCTTACCAGAGAATGGTGGCAGGGGGCGCTACAGCAACGCTTAGATTGCCCCTTTTTAGTGAGAATTATCACTTTTCAGTTCTGCAAACACATCTAAGCATTCAGATTTTTCTAACACACAATTTTTAAAGATTGTTTAGATCGTCTTATGAAGTGCTTTTCCTTACAAGAAAATATTCCTGCCGTGTTGTCATTTCAAGCCAGTAACAGAGAATATCGTTCCCTGGACGGAATTAGAGTTCTCAGCCTCTTGTGGATCGTTTCCGGGCACAATGGTCAACTGGCATTTGTCTTTAATATGGGTATGTCGTTTTTCACCATTTTAAAATGTAAGAGATGATTTTAGAGCATGGGAGACAAGTTTAATGCTAAGATATCTGTCTGTCAGTGTATTTATCTTTTATCCATCTGTTTGTCTATTAATTAATTATCATGTATGCCACAAAATGAACCTACTCACTATTGTCCTTGTAAGTTCTCATTGCATCCATATCAACCTCATCCCTAGTTCATCTCAGCTTTGTCCTGTTTATCTTAGCCTTGTCCTTGTCCATCTCATATGTCCTTCACAAGCCTCTGAAACGTGCGGTTACCCTTACACATAGGAAAAAGGATACCCACAGGTTTCCAGCCATGTGGCCGCATGGAGCAGTTGGGCCTTGAAGCTAGGGTGGCGTCAAACTGACTGACCTTAGCAGTCAAGAACACAAATAAGAGGTTTGTGTCACTGTTACTGTATGGACTCTTGTCTGCCTAGGCTCGTTTCACTCCCCACTGTTGTGTACGATTTGTCCAGTTTGTGCAAAAGTGGTGGATTGCTATGGCGGTCACTGAACACAGCATGGCCTGTTTATTAACTATATGTAAACATGTAGTAGCCACTACATGGTTGCTATCAGTTTATTGAGCCATTGAAGTCCATGTCTGTTAAAATATGTTTTAATAATTGTAAGCAAGCAAGCAACATCTTAAATCTACAATTCATTTTTGAGACAATGAATTTGGATAACATCACAATTACTATTTACATCTAGATTACCATGTATTCATGGAATTTTGGATATCTGTATCAAACATATTTTCAGAAGTTACAAAAAAATCTAAATTAAATTATTACAAATTGAGTCCAACTCTAACATTGCGCATCATTCAGCTTTATCCTTGAAAGCTTTTTTATTTGTGCCCTTTGAGAAATAAACGATGACTCGAAGCACCATCACCATTTCATTAATTTTAAGTAGTCATGTGGCCTGGAATCCAGCAGTGTTTCACTTTGAAACGCTGTTCATACATAGATTAACCACTTCACCTCAAACACCTGGATAATACCAATTCTGTACCAAAACTGTCATCTGTACTCATCTCAGTCTGTCCTCCATGCCCTCCCTCTTCCTCTGGTGAAGGGTAGTGATGTCAGGCAAGGAGGATCGGGTTGATGGGAGAACTTGGGCTCAATGATGCAAATTATTTATTTTATTTTAATTTATGGGGGAGGGGTGAACCACCTCAAAAAGGTAAAAATACTTTTTTTTTGGCTGGAGTAACTCTTTAAATATTTAATTATATCTAAATTAGAAAAGAGCTAATTTCAGGTGAAAATGTGGTCCTGACAAACTAGTTACCCATTCTCTGATCCATCACATCATCTGCCTTGGTCTGATTTAATTTCTGCTAATTCCTTTTTTGCCTTTATTCTTTCCTTGCAGATAATTCTTTTGAATGGAAAGCTAGAGTTTTAGAAAAGCCGTTGTATATCTACGCACTGAGTGGACCAGTGTATTTAGGTGTGGATTCTTTTTTCTTATTAAGGTAAAGAAAAGTTAATGAATTTCTAATTAATATTTATACTCACAGAATAGGCTACACAATGTTGTTTTAATTAAGGGTTGACTAAATCCACAAAATAGGGCACAAATGAGTGAGCAGTGATTGAGTATAAATCTTCTTCTGGTGATGAGACTGACAGTGTGGTATTCTTACATTGGAGTTTGTTACTCCTTTGCCAGTCAAATATGTATGCTGTAGCGGATTCAGAAGGTCTAGTCCAAGGCTTGGGATCCAGACCTATTCCGCCCAGCGTACGGCCCTTCTCTTAGGGGGAAATATAGCAGAGAGCCAGCCTTTGTTTTACAGTAATACCCAGCTAGTAGTGTCAAGGATCTTCCAGACAGCAGATGTCCCTCCACAGATATCAGCCAGACACTTGATAAAGTGGGGAACAGTAATGTACGCTTCATTTAGACATGGTTTTTATACTTTTTTTTTGTAAAGTAAACATAAGTCAACCAATAGCAGTATTGACTTGGGGTAGCAACCAATCACACTACATACCTTAATTAATTGACTGTTAAAGTGAATTGAGCACTGTGTTGACAAGGAAGGGTAGGGACAGAAAATAACAAGGACTGTAGACTACATGGGAGACTTCAAGGGATATTGCAATTCAGTGCATATAAATGCAGGCGATATTGGCGCCTGCATAAAAATGTAAGAGTATAAAATGTAAGAGTAAATTGTGTTTCTATTAACACAGCATTCTACGGCAGGGGAAAGGGATGCCCAGTTTACACTCGATAGATAGAAATCTCCCTGCAGCCTGTGCCACTATTTCTGGAAACATTTACCAAGTGGCAGAAATTTGTGCCAAACTTCTGATTAGCTCATACACTTTCCTGAACATTTGCTCATAGATTTTCACTGAACATGCTATAGCTATATGCTATATACATACAATAGACATTTTACCCATACGGTTACTTTTAACATTTGTAAAGCTAATGCTAAACATTCACAATTAGATTTACAGTGACTATTCTACTGGAGACTTGCTCATAATGTTCTCACATAGACTTGCATTGAATGTTCTTCCATTGACTAAGATTGGGTAATTATTGCATTAAAAGCGTACCTATACACTTTTAGTGAACTTTTGTAAGGCTCTTACCTTGATGGTGAGTCCGACATGCAGAGTTAAAGCTCCCCTTGCAATTATACACAAGCCAAGGGGACTCAAGGCAGAAATCCCCAACGCTGTGAACCAGTGCACTGGGGCTGATAACAACCAGTGCTTCCAGGAGCGAGATACAGACAAGGAGAATCCAAAGGAGTAGTCAGGGACAGGCAGCAAACAGGCGTAAACGAAGGACGAGCATAAGATCAATATCAGGAGTCAGAGGAACAACAGGAATACCCAAACAGGAACAACGATCTGACAAAGATCACTAGCCAAGGCGGGGTTTATAAAGGCTGGAATCAGCAGACATCAGGAACAGGTGAGCAAGTCCAGGAGTGCAGATTCAGGCTACTGGATACAAGGAACAAGCAGTGTTAGCCAAAGATATGTGGAGCCAAGGATAAGGTCACTGGCTGGAATTCAGGAGACTCAGGTTCAAACCCAGCCAGGACCAAACCCACAAATTTTGTGGAGGGCACGATGACAGTCGTGACAACTTTCACCTAAATTCATGCAATTAACTTTTATCTATAAGCTTAAAATTAACATCTGCCCCTAGACCTACAATTAACATTTGCTCATATGACAAAAAGAACATTTACCACCATGAGTTTACTGAAATTCACTATCATTCTTCACACGTAAGCCTTACTCGGGGGCATACACTTGGGATTTAAGCCAAAAGGAGACATTCAGAACTAAGTATCTGGTTTTATATTAATTTTGCTTTTCTTTGTGTATACCGTGCTAGTTAGACTACAAATCATGCCATAAACTGCCCTCTCTCATGAAAGTCTTTATAGCCAGTTGAAGAAAAGACATTTAAAAAGGTAATCTAATTGGAAAGACATTTTGAATGCAACTGATCTACACCATTTAATAATGGCTCGCATAATTTCTGACATTCGCTTGGGTTTTTTGTGCGACCCTGTTCTGCATTAATTTATGTACAGTTCAAATCAGTCCCTTAAGATGAAGTTTTAATGTTCTCTGATTTTATTTCGGTTTTATGATGGTTAGTAACAGACATATACTTCAATCAAGACATAATCAAGCTTATCTAAATGAAAGTTTTGTAATCATAAAATCTGTGCAAAATTTGGATAAGTAGTAATGTGACACAAAAAATGAAAAAAACATGCCTTGTGTTGATTATTTATAAAGTTACAAAGAGGGAAAATCAAAGTGTTAGTCCAATTGTTCTCAAATTACTGGATTGTTTCTGCTTGTCATCCCATGTTCAGAAAAAACATTTTTAAAAATTGATATTATCTGCTTTTTTGACCACAATACATTCAGGCTTCTTTTATTCTTCAACTGCTTTACTTCATGTAGACCTTTCTCATTCCAACCTTAATTTCTTCTTGATGTGAATACGGAAACACCCACAGTCTATTAAACAAAAAACTAGAAGACACACCATGGTTGAGTTTACCACATAATTGTTTAAAGGATCACTATAGTGTCTGGAAAACAAACCCGTTTTCCCGACACTATGTCATCCTTGGGGGGACCCTCACCCTCAGTTTCTCTGAAACTGCTATGTTTACATGTGAAGGGTTAAAACCTGAGGGACCTGGCACCCAGACCACTTCATTGAGCTGAAGTGGTCTGGGTGACTACAGTGTCCCTTTAACATAACAAATTTAAAGTTGATTTCCAATGCAGTTAACTTGGAGTATTGCTGTTTAATACCATTGTTATACTTGCTTCAGGACACTGTAGTAAGGAGAAAAGAGACCTAAATACAAATAATGGACAATAGGAGAGGAGAATTATTTCCCAATGCGACAACTTAGATCCAATTAGATAAGAGGTTATATAGCACAGATGGTTGAGCCAAGACACGTATATTCTTTACTTAAAGAGGTTTGTTACCTGAACATTAAAATAGGGAAACATTTCCAATTAATTGCAACATTCCAAAATGAGTTGGGACAATTTTTCAACTCTACTGTGACCTCATGTTTCCAATTCATCTGTCAAATTGCCGTAATTATTGCATTGCATTTGTTTTTTCTATCTGATTTTTATTAAACTGATACATTTGAAATTTCATCTTCTAATTCTCCAATACACTCCAAAATTTTATTTTAGTATAAAAGAGGTGAAGATCTCATATGCAACAATAACCTACTGCCAAGATAATTTCCCCACTAATAGACCAGGATAGGTAGAAAAGTGGTTTTGGTTGAGGGTGTTCAGTGTTTTATTTTTATTGCTATAAATAAACTGTAGGCACGATGCATGGCATTTGTCTAGAATAGATGGTCTTTATGAATGAACCAATTAAATCCAGACCCCTATCTTATTTATCACTTTCAATGTTTTAGTTGTTGGGAGTCTTCTTTTAACCCCTCAACCTTTCTCGGAGTCCGGTTTTAACTGCCAGGTTTGACATTTGTAATTGCTTCAGTCTTTCAGATTAACAGAGGAAATTGGAATTGAATGTGTCTTGTTATTGGGTAAGAAGTGATTATTAACTATTTGATAATATCTAGCCCAAAATGCCAGCTGTCACTCTAATGGGGTCAGAGAGTCAGCCAGTAAGGTAAATAGGTTTGACTATTCTTAAAAAAGGACAATTTAATTGCTGTTCTCAAAACTCATTGGCCAGAACAAAAAAGTATTCAAGATGGCATTTTGATAAATCAGATAGACAGGTGACAAAAAGCTAATATAGTCCTAGAGTACACTAATTAAACTCAGGTAGCATAAATCTGATTTCATTATTATCTGTCTACCGCAGCAGAAGTAGAATGATTCAGATGTTATTTATTACGGCATTTAGATAATATTATCTTGGTGTTACAGCTTATCTATGTATAGAGGAGCTTTGCAACTTGGTGATGCTTCTAAACTATGTCTATTTACTGTGGGTCAGAAAGTAACCTAGTACGCCATCTGCTAGAGTATCTATGTTAAGTTTGTATGTCTAAAATATGTGCAAGAATGTATCTATGCATGTGTGCATGACTGCATGTACACGCATTAGTGTGTATAATATGTGGTTCTGTAACTGTCTATGTAAGGTATTACTGGAGATGTGCGAATGTGACTAGGCATGTAATATGTGTATGTATGCAGTTAAAGACATTCTCAGTAACACACACATGCACATATACAAATATATGTATGTCTGCATAAAAATGAGAGTGTGTAAAATCAAGGATCGTAACCAGTTAAAGGTCAGAAATAAAATAATTATATCGTAACAATCTATCCTATAAAGAACTTATCTAACATTTGAATGTCCCAATAATTTTAAAGGAATATTATAGCGTTAGGAATACAAACATGTATTTCCAACGCTATAGTGTCCTGTTACATACAGTATCTCACAAAAGTGAGTACACCCCTCACATTTTTGTAAATATTTTATTATATCTTTTCATGTGACAACACCGAAGAAATGGCACTTTGCTACAATGTAAAGTGGTAAGTGTACAGCCTGTATAACAATGTAAATTTGCTGTCCACTCAAAATAACTCAACACACAGCCATTATTGTCTAAACTGTTGGCAACATAAGTGAATACACCCCTAAGTAGAAATGACCAAATTGGGCCCAATTAGCCATTTTCCCTCCCCAGTGTCATGTGACTCGTTAGTGTTACAAGGACTCAGGTGTGAATAGGGAGCAGGTGTGTTAAATTTGGTGTTATTGCTCTCACACTCTTTCATACTGGTCACTGGAAGTTCAACATGGCACCTCATGGCAAAGAATTCTCTGAGGATCTGAAAAGAAGAATTGTTGCTCTACATAAAGATGGCCTAGGCTATAAGAAGATTTCCAAGACCCTGAAACTGAGCTGAAGCACAGTGGGCAAGACCATACAGCAGTTTATCAGGACAGGTTCCACTCAGAACAGGCCTCGCAATGGTCGACCAAAGAAGTTGAGTGCACATGCTCAGCATCATCCAGAGGTTGTCTTTGGGAAATAGACGTATGAGTTCTGCCAGCATTGCTGCACAGGTTGAAGGGGTGGGGGTGAGGGCTCCGTCTGTGAGTGCTTAGACCATACGCCACACACTGCATCAAACTGGTGTGCATAGATGTCGTCCCAGAAGGAAGCCTCTTCTAAAGGTGATGCATAAGAAAGTCCGCATACAGTTTGCTGAAGACAAGCAGACTAAGGACATGGATTACTGGAATCATGTCCTGTGGTCCGCTGAGACCAAGATGAATGTATTTGGTTCAGATGGTGTCAAGCATGTGTGGCGGCAACCAGGTGAGGAGTACAAAGACAAGTGTGTCTTGCCAACAGTCAAGCATGGTGGTGGGAGTGTCATGGTCTGGGCCTGCATGAGTGCTGCCGGCACTGGGGAGCTACAGTTCATTGAGGGAACCATGAATGCCAACATGTACTGTGACATACTGAAGCAGAGCATGATCCCCTCCCTTCAGAGACTGGGCTGCAGGGAAGTATTCCAACATGATAACGACCCCAAACACACCTCCAAGATGACCACTGCCTTGCTAAAGAAGCTGAAGGTAAAGGTAATGGATTGGCCAAGCATGTCTCCAGACCTAAACCCTATTAGGCATCTGTGGGGCATCCTCAAACGGAAGGTGGGGGAGCGCAAGGTCTCTAACATCCACCAGCTCTGTGATGTCGTCATGGAGGAGTGAGTGGAAGAGGACTCCAGTGGCAACCTGCAAAGCTGAAGGTAAAGGTAATGGACTGGCCAAGCATGTCTCCAGACCTAATCCCTATTAAGCATCTGTGGGGCATCCTCAAACGGAAGGTGGGGGAGCGCAACGTCTCTAGCATCCACCAGCTCTGTGATGTCGTCATGGAGGAGTGAGTGGAAGAGGACTCCAGTGGCAACCTGCAAAGCTCTGGTGAACTCCATGCCCATGAGGGTTAAGGCAGTGCTGAAAAAAAATGGTCGCCACAAAAAATATTGACACTTTAGGCCCAATTTAGACATTTCCACTTAGGGGTGTAATCACTTTTGTTGCCAACGGTTTAGACATTAATGGCTGTGTGTTGAGTTATTTTGAGGGGACAGCAAATTTACACAGTTATACAGGCTGTACACTTACTACTTTACATTGTAGCAGAGTGTCATTTCTTCAGTGTTGCCACATGAGAAGATAAAATAAAATATTTACAAAAACGTGAGGGTTGTACTCTCTTTTGTGAGATACTGTATGTAGATGTCCCGTGTGAAGGTTTGATGAGTTTGAAGGGTAGTGTGCACATGCATGGCGAAGTTTAGTTTCATCAATCAAATGCTGCTATAGGACCAGCATGTGATCGATAAGTATGTTTTACCAGATGCATTTTAAATCTGCAATCTATCAACAGCATGTCAATATTTGACATTGCAGGGTTGAACAAACGGATACTTGAGATGAAGTAGTTTGGGTGGTTTTAGTGTCCCTTTCACTGTAATAGGGCTGTAAGGAGCTACCTATATATGATAAGTAGGACATTCCATGCTCACATAAAGTCCAAGGACAAGATTGTCACGATGGGATGAAACATCACTGGTTCTTGAAGGAGCCTAAGGTTATTATAGTAAGTAAGTAATAGGGAGAACTACCTCTTCGATAATCACAAGTCAATATTGATGTCCCTTAAATTTCAGCTAAAAAAATGTTTGAAACGTCAAAATTCAGTGTTGTCCTTTATTGTGTCATCACATCAGTCAACAAGACACCACCACTAAAATGTCCTAGCAACACTCATGATGATTGAATGTATGCTTACAGCACCAGACAATCTTTAAAATGTGTTCTCATTTTTAATATATAATTTTGTTTATATATAAATATATATCCTAGCTCTGAGCTTATGTGCCTGCTGCTGCTTTAACTTTTGATACCACATAACTGTAAAAAATATATATGATTGTTTCGACTGTCTACTAGAATTGATCTATACTACTCAGGCAGTGTGAATGTTCAGTGTTGTTAAACATTATCACTTTTTCTTCCTTGTTTCCATGAAAACTCAATAAAAATAGTTTTTAAAACAAAGTATAGCTGTAACCTTTCCAGATATATGAAAAAAAATCCTTCTAGAGTGCCAAAATGTTTCTAACGGGCAGATAAATTCTGTTGGGAAACCTCAGAACATTGCCGTTATCTTGTTCTGCAAAGTATGTGTGATGCACTACTCTTAAATGAATGCATCAAAGAGCTCTGTCTTGTGAGATGGATAGTTGTAGGTGACACTTGCAAAGTAGTTTACAACATATAAATGTTCCACATATAAAAACATGGTCTACCAAAGCTTACCACAATAGATGCATCATCTACAGGATCCTCGCTTTTGAGGCAAAGGGATGTTCTCCCCATTACGCCTCTAGTTTATGAATCTTGTTACTAGGCATCTAGAAAATACACCAGAACATTTTTATGATACTGGTAAAAAATAAGTGTGCATTTACTTTCTAAATTATTTGCTCAGTGCTACAAATACAAGAACAATAACATATTTAATTTTCACTTGGCTGGTTATAGGGTTATTAATGAATTATGTGGTTACTTGGGTGGGATAAGATCACTCGTATATCGAAAGCTAATCAGATGGTTATCAAATATCTAGTCCTATACATCATCCATAAGAAATAGACCTCCTAATGGTGTGAAGTTTGAAACCCATGATGGGACGTTTAGTTCGCTGCCACTGGATTGCTGGGAAAGGTTGGCATGAAAACAATGATACATATCTTGGAGTTTCAAAGACTACCTGAAGTTGACAAGAGTTGAATTCCATAGCACTGTACTTAATAATTTAATCTTATTTCTCCTTTTTTTTCTTGTAGTGGATTTTTGAGTGCTATATCATTTTTAAAACTAATGGAGAATTCTGAACATTTAACTCCAGCGACAGTAATGAAGTATATCTACAAAAGAATAATAAGGTGAGAAATGTGTTAAATAAAAGTTTATGCAATTCAGCAGCAATTATTGTTTTCTTTATCAATTTATATTTACTTAATGCTCTGATTTTTTTAAAGGGGAACTACAGTAAGACATTGTAAATGAAAATGTCAACATCTTAGAAATTCTTGAAGTTTGATTATAGAAGCATTAATGTACTTAGATGTGACAATGAATGTGTAAATGTGCTTGCTTTATTTAAAATATTAGACCATACACTGATCAACCACAAGAGTAAAGTCACCTGCCTAATACTGTGTAGGTTCCCCTGGTGCTGCCGAAACAGCTCTGATTTGTCAAAGCATGGACTCCACAAGACCTCTGAATGTGACCTGTGGTATCTGGCACCAAGACACCTTGACAGATGCCATTGTAATGATATAATAAATAATATTCATTTCAATTTCACCCATTAGTGGTTTTAATGTTGTGGCTGATCAGTGCATAGAGAGACAGTAAAGTTTTTTTGTAAGTGACATATCTCTACATAGTTCATGCTTCCCCTACAGATAGCCATATCTTGTTTTTTAGGCTCCAGCCTCTTCACTTGGCTTCCGTTTGTCTTTCCATCGGACTGATCTCGTTAGTTAATTGGGGATCTTTCTGGGAACTTCCCAAACATCAGTGGGATAACTGCCGGAGTGTCTGGTGGTCAAACATTTTGCTGATAACCAACTATGTATCTGTTGCAGAATCTGTAAGTAAATTCTCTGTGCATTTTTGGGAAGTGGTTTTTACTGATGTATATTTTTGAACATACATATACATATAAAATGCAATAAAAACTTAGGGGTTGATTTCTATTACATGTTAAGAACAATATAACTCCTATGAGGTCTGAAAATGATGTGCAAGTCACCACTTCCAGTGTCCGTTTTCTCTTGGGGTAAATGCTGGGTTAGAGCAATGCAGAGAAATGCGTTGGTTTAAGTGGTGAGTCATGGCTGCAGACAGTCAAGAACATTGTCACAATTTGCAACCATAGCAAGTCAGAGCAAGACCCATGAAACTGACAGGCAGCATTAAAATATATAAATAAATTAAGGAATACAGATGACATGTCTAAAAAACTTGAAGGGAGATTTACCCAAGCACAAACAGTTGCTATTTTGTGGCAAAGTCCCAAATAAACAGCAATCACCATGGAAACCAATAGATTGTCTCTCGTCAGTTAGTAATTTTCACCACAAATATCACCTGTTTAACCTTGACAATTCTCCCCTTTTAATATGTAAATTTTTTATATAACAAAAGTGAAGAAACAAATCCTGCATAAAAAAAAAAAAATATGGAATAGTAAAACTAGGTTTATTTATTTTTAGAGATATTAACATAACGATAGTAAACCTAGATGTATATAGATACTAAGGTAACAGGACTCAAAACTTCACTCTATGCAAGATAGCATTGTCAGAATGTTACAATCGTATTGAAATACCACTAGTTGGCTCTTGCGCTTTAACATTCTTTTCATCTGAGCCTCATCTTATACAGAAACCCAGAGAGAGTAATCCTGGCTGACATACATTATTGTCATATATTTCAGTGCAGCGGCTGGGCCTGGTATCTCTCAAACGATTTCCAGTTCCATCTTACGACCCCTTTTTTAATCTTTCTCTATGTCAAGTAAGTATTTCCAAAGGCCTGTGTAATTGTTATTTTCTCTACTGCTCTTTTTTTTAGGGAAAAATTGTGTTTTGTTCCCTAGTGATGGCAGATATTAACAGTATACATCATAAAACAGAGGAACTCACAAACAAATGGTTACCACTATTTCATTCTTTACATTGTCTTTAAATTGTGTGTGTGATTATTTCCCCGTTGTACAAGAAAGCAGACAAAACTGGTAACTAGGACCAAGATGAGAAACTGTAGCGTAGTTAACCATTTGACGATGTACACTGCATCGTTCTGTGTTAAACATCCATCTGACATTTAAATAATATATACAATATAGTGTAAAACTGTATAATGTGCATTGTTCATAGATACTTTTACTTAATTGAGACATAATAAAATGCCATGTGTGAAAAAAAATATTTGATTTACAAGCAACTTTCTTTTAAATTGTCCTCCCATTAAAAAAAAAAAATTATCAGAAAAGCAGACCAATAAGGAAAAAAGGAACAGACAGGAAAAAACAAAAAAACGTAACAACGCTTAGATTCCCATATAGTTTATTGTTGATAAGTCCTACTGGATCATATTGATTGGAGATCGAGTACATTTAAATTCTTACATGTGACAGTAAAATGAAAAACATTATACCATATTTATTTATTTATTTATTTATAAAATATTTTACCAGGAAAGATACATTGAGATTTCTCTAGTTTTCAAGTATGTCCTGGGTCCACAAATCATTGCATTGTTACATTAGAGTACAATAAAATACAAAAACAATATTAATACACAATATATACAACATTTAACATTTTTACAAGACCAGGTAGGAGATGTATAATCAACCATAACACGTGCATTCTGTTTTGAGGTATGTAGAGAGGGATCTCTTAAAGGACTTTAGGCTTGGGTAAGCATATAACACTGTAGATCTCTCCACAAGATTTTGCATGGTAGTATTATGAGGTGCACCAACAAGGCTTGGGAACCACCTTACTAAATTAAGGCCATAATTGATGGGTTGGAATATGTCTCTAAGAATAGTTGGGAATTTTAACATCTCAGCTCCTACAATTTCAACTGGCATCTCCCTATAACTTGGATTTTTGTAGTGTATCCCACATATGAAATCAAGATTGGCCTTTCCTTGTCAGAGAGTTAGAAAAGCAGAGAGAAACATCCAATATATTTAGGGTCAGGCAAATGTTTAATGTTGCACCAACACATCAATTAACACAATTATAGTTTTAAATCTTTATTATCCTTGTAAACACTGAATTGCACACATGTGAGTTAGTCTAGGACTCCTATAAAGATCTATAGTTTTTTTTTAAATTATTGTATCGTAACATCACTCTACAAGCATTAGTTGTCATGTCTGCTAGCACAGGGTAACTTTTGCAAGAACAAACCATATTGTTAACACGTTTTTTGAAGTTGTTATAAAAGGGTAATTATTTTTTCTTTCTTTCTTTTCTGTAGATGTAAAAGAGTAATGTTTGTGGTGGTGACACTATTATTCTTGGTGTCTTCTCTCGTGACTATTTTATTGTCATATTATTTACATCTGTCAATAAATTATCCAACAGGAGAAAGGTATTTTGTTTACAACTCAGTTATTTATTATGCTTAAATATGCTGTAATTATGGTCTTTACTGATAATTTACCGTAGAAAGAAAACAAAAATGTGTGGCAAGACTTATTTACCATTAATGTCTTTTTATATGCCAAGATAATATGAAAGATATAATATCATTTACAAACTGATTCTTAAAATTGACACTCACCATTTGACCACAGCTCCAGGGAAACTCATTAAGGAAACCCTAAACAATCAAATAACAGAAGACCTGATTTTTTACAATATGAAAAAAAAATCTCTATCCCTAGGTTGAGTTTTAAGTATGATTAAGTTATTATCAGTGTCGGAACCATAGCAATGGGTGGGAAGGCACACAAATATTCTCCTGTAGCAAGTCAAGACGTTTTTGTTTTTTGATAAAGAAAGATAACAATATATGTATATGGCAAATATAAGGAATAGTTGAAGGGACGTGAAGAAAGTTGAGGCAATTTGTAATTTGTCTGTCCATTTCATGCACTTTACTAATCCGAAATCTATACTTGTATATTAATGTAATAATCCCACCATTCTAGGAGGCTCAGCTCCCAGTGGGGGTCCAGGTATAATGGCAAACCGTTGCTAAACAGTTTTCCTCATTACCGGGTAATGCACCTAAGATTTTCCTGGTATAATAACTAGTACAATGGGCTGTAGTGGTTATGATGCTTAGAGGCACTCTTTAACCTCACTGTAACCCTAACTTTATTGACCTTGTAGAACCTTACCGTCTGGCCCACTTCTGCACATAGGTTCCAGAGGGATCATTTTAACAGATCTCCGTGAGCCAAAAACTTTAGTATGGTATTGGGATTAATCATATTTGCTGACAACTGATATTTTGAGTAATCATGAAGTCAGAAACTATACAACTGAAGATGAAGTAAAATATAGCAATGATGTGAAGTAGGTCCTACTTCCTAATGTTATTCAGTAAGCTACTGTACTTAACAATACAATTGTCCAAATTTCTCTCCCTAAGAATACATTGTTATCCTCCAAACTTTGCTTAAACTTCTTTCTCTACTCAGTTTGGTCTTTGTTCCATAGGATTACCCTGAAATATCTGTTATTGACCAATAGTAATTTTACTTGTAATCATTCGGTTGTGGACTATCCATTTTAACCATATTACACTCATATAAAATTAGCAGTCTGAGGGCTAATTTAACCTTTAGTAAATACCATACTCAATGATATATCACAGCAATATGGAAATAGATATCAATTCACCTGTCTCTTTGGAATAGGTTGCTTGCCATTTTTCGTGTTTTGTCTTGTGCGACATGAGACATTCGGCCTGCCAGTGAATGCCAAGTCACCTATCTCTCCCCTCCTTTTAGTATTTTTCATTTGTATTTGCTTTTCTATTCTGTTAGGGCTTCTGTTTTTTTTGAGTGAATGATTTCTGATACCTTATGTTGTGTTTTCTTGCATTTTAAATTGAATGTATTTCTCTATGCTCTTTCTGAGTATGTTCTAAATAAAGATATTTTTTTTTAAATAAAATGAAAAAAATTTAATAAATCAGGGTATATTCTTTTGCAGTCACACTCGTCTGAACTACTGGGTGGAGTATTATACTAAACCGTACTGTCGATATGGTCCATTTTTGGTCGGTATAACTTTAGCTATTTTGATGTCTAGAAAAGACTCTAGTTGCATCAAGAACAAAGTAAGTGTCCAAAAATAATTTCTAGATAAGGCAAAATGTGTATATATAAAAATAATGAAAAATACAACTGAAATATCATTGATCATTAACAAAGTAATTTTGAATATGGAACAACATTCCATTGAAAGAGTTTTGTTCATAGACATTTTCATCCCTACATTTAGCTCTTACACATGACCTCAAAGAGTCCCTGAGGAGTTAAGGGATACCCTTTCAAATGTATTGTTTACATAATGAATTTAAATATGCAATCACAGTACATTAAAGTAATTAAAAAGGCACTTACTGTTAAAGCCATGCATTTACTGAAAATTCCATTGGCTTTGCAACTTCGACAATGAGCCCTCACTAAATCAAGAAGTAGCTCAGACAATTAGAATGTTACCCTAAGAGTATATATCATAAAATACAGTATAAATACGTGTAGTCTAAATAACCTGTTTTGTGAATAATAAGCTGGAATGTCCCTCTAACTTCATTCATTGTCTTTGCTAATATTTAAATCTATAACTGCATAATATGAAGGACAACTGATATATGTTGACACATTATTGAATATGTTCATATTTATCTACAAATATATTTGTAACAGCTGTATGCATTCTTACTTTAATTTGAAGAAATAAATCTGTAATCACACGGTGGAAGTGGAAAAGACGATACACTTGGATCCCTGTCTATTTCTTTCATATCACTCCACTTGTTATTCTCTTCTTTCATGTTCCTCCTGGTAAATATAAAACTGTGCCATTGCACATTATGGATTACTATTATATCTGCTCTGTACATACAGTGGTTCACTAAACCAAGAGCTATGAGAAAAAAAAGAAAACAACTGAAACAAATGTATAATAAATTATTGTATCTGTCCAAGTGCATACAAGCCTACAGTTTTACAGGACATATCATCTATTTACCAATAGCACCAACAGAAAAATCATACTGCCATGCTGCATGGTGGCATAGACGATCAGCTCCTGCAGATTCTAATCAATGCTGAAATCAAGAGATTAACCTGTGTAAACACAGCCTAGAAGCTGCAGTCCTGTCTGCCCAGAGGTGCTGGTACCAAAGCCACACTTTCTCCACAAATTATGGCCCCTTAATTATGGAAGCTGAGGCCTACTCAGTTGGTGAGTGGGGTGTACGGCCGCTGCCCTGCCTGGTGGTCACAAGCTGAACCTTTGGCGCTATGTGGTACTGGCCTCGTTCGCCCCCTTTGGACCGGTGGGGGTGATCCCGGTCCTCGCCTTTGGGGGCCCTTCTGCAACTAAGAGTTCTGCTGAGTTGTTCTGCTGAGTGGAATGGGACTCCTCTCTCTAAAATGGCAGTCGCTTCGAGTCCCACTGACAGCAGCAGAGACCGTGCTGTGGTTACCCTTACACTAGATCAGATCTTCGAAGACTTCTGGGATAACCATAACAGCCTGCAAATACCGATCAAGCAAGAGAGGAGTGACCACCCACCACTGTATTCACCATTCAGGATCCAGCAGGACGCGCTGACTCTGACCGACGGAGGGGCGTGCCGTGCTGTGAAATAGCAGACGCAGTGAGCTGAACTCCGGAGTGCCGTGGCCCATGATATCCTGCCTGGGCTGTGGCCCAGAAAAATCTTGCACAGCAGGAACGATATATACCATCACAAAGCTGACAGGGTCACACTGCTAGTTCCACAACCTGCTGATACAGGAGTCGAGGTGCATGCAGGCAGCCAGACCACACTGGGAAAGTCCTGTGACTGTGGAGGGGGTCAGCTAAACCGTGACTCTCGATACTGATGGTTTTAATGCCCCCATCATTTTTATGCTTATTCTCCATATAATTTCCATATTGTTTATCTGTTCCTATTTTAATCTAGCCTATTGTTTATTGTTGAAGGCTTCCCTTACCTCTAGCATAAGCGTTGGGGTCGACAGGGCAGAATAATAATTCCTAACTTACACTCCAGCTATCCAGCTGTTCACTATAGCGTTCATGTATGTATCTTATCAAATACAGAGCTGGTAGAAATGTTCAGCCTAAACTTTTCTGCATGCTCAGGGTGCAAGTCACCAAAGCTCTGTATCTGTCTTGTCTTTATCTCTCGCAACTGGGATGGTTTCAAAGTTACCTTATCTTAAAATCTAATACTCATCTTGTTTCCTTGAAAAACAAAACAAAAAATAGTGCAGTTCCCTCCCAACATGTCATATTGCTGCAGCATTCATGTATTGTTATATGTCATTCTGTGAAATGTTTATACATACTAGCCTGTCAAACTATGCACTGCAAAAATAAATAATACAAAAAAACCCAAAAACTCCCTGCACTCTCAACAATGGCCCAGTAGAGAACATCCCAATCTATGTAAGCTATTTCCAGTCTAACTGTATTTTGTGTTCTCCAATAGGGCTGTGCTATGGCAGGGTGGCTCTGTTCATTGCTGACTCTGCTCCTTGTAATTACTTTACCCTTTATTCTGGATGATAGTCCTGACTCCTATTCCATCATGGCAGCCTTTTATCAAGGCCTTCACCGGACATTATGGGCAGCTGCAGTAGGTTGGATCATTGTTTCGTGTCAGGAGGGATATGGAGGTATGTCTTACAGTTCTGTTAATAGTTCTCTCCATAATCGTTATAAAGGTGAATTTTACCACCATGCAGAGGCGTAGCGGGGGGGGCCAGCGGCAGCGGGCGCATCATCTGGGGGGGCGCGCTCGCACTCGCAGCTCCCTGCCCCTGCCTGGCTCACTCACTCTCTCTGCAGTGCTGGCTGTGCGAATCTGATCCGAGCCGCCGGGTCGCCGCCCACTGTGGAGGGGGGTGCCAGGCAGGGCCGGCGCTACCATTAAGGCGAATAAGGCATTCGCCTAGGGCGCCGGCCTCTAGGGGGCGCCCATTCGCCTAGGGCGCCGGCCTCCGGTGGGCTGCCCTGCTGTAGCTGTCCGGGGATGCTGTGCTGGACGAGCGGCTCTTTAGCCACCCCCCAGCGCAGCCACTCACCTGCTGGGCTCCCTCTGCAACAGATTACCTGCTCGGGCAGTGGGGTTTGCTGTAACCCGAGCAGAGCACTGTGCTTCCTGCAGGCAGAGGGAGCCTGTGAACACCGGAAGCACTGTGAAGGGAGCAGGAAGTAGCCTGTGCTCAAAGTGCACAGCTCTCCTGCTCCCCAGGAGAAAGAGCAAGATCCTGGATCCTGCAGCCTGGACCTCTGCTCAGCACAGCACCCAGGTATGGCATGGTTAAGGGGGATTGCTTATTGTGTGCATGTTTGTAAATGGGGGAGTGTGTTAAATTGGTGTGTTTGTGTGTGTAAATAAAGTGTGACCTTATGTAAAGTTTGTGTTTGAGTGACAGTGTGTGTGTTAGGGAGAGTGTGCAAGTGACTCTCTGTGTGTGTGTGTGTGTGTGTGTTAGTGAGAATGTGCAAGTGACTCTGGGTGTGTGTGTTAGGGAGAGTGTGCAAGTGACACTGTTAGTGAGTATGTGTTAGGGAAAGTGTACAAGTGACACTGTTAGTGAGTATGTGTTAGGGAGAGAGTGCAAGTGACAGTTAGTGAGAGTGTGCAAGTGACACTGTTAGTGAGCATGTGTGACACTGTTAGTGAGCATGTGTGACACTGTGTGGTGTTAGAGTGTGTAACTGACAATGTCTATGCCAGTGAGAGTGTGTAAGTTAGAGTGTGTGTGTATAAGTGAGAGTATGTAGGTGACACTGTGTGTGTTAGTGAGAGTGTGTAAGTGACACTGTGTATGTTAGTGAGAGTGTGCAAGTGACAATGTGTAGGTCAGTGAGAATGTGTATGTGTTAGTGTGTAAGTTAGAGTTAGAATGTGTAAGTGTGTATGCCAGTGAGAGAGTGTGTGTATTAGTGAGATTGTGTAAGTGACACTGCTTAAGGTAATTATTGCAATTTTTAAGAAACTTCAATAATTACCATTCAGGGTTAACTCCTCTAGTGGCTATGCATGGGGACGTCCAGTCACGGAAATACCACTGCGAGCGCGGCCATTGAGGAGCTAAGGCGGACCCAAGCCAGCACAAAAGACATTGGTGCTGGACCCAGGTAAGTGACTGAAGGTGTTTTAACCCCTGCTGCACCACGGAGGGGGAATCGCGCTTGACGGAGGGGGAAGCTATAGTGCCAGGATAACAAGTTTGTTTTCCTGGCACTATAGTTTCCCTTTAATATCTACTCAGTGCGCCTCTTTCCCTAAATGTCTCTTTAGTGTAATTCAGAGTTTAGTGAATAAACTTCTGAGAGAATGTAGTTGCATTCATAAGGAGGCGTCAAAATGTATTCTTGCGTAGGGCAGCAAGAATCCTTGCACCGGCCCTGGTGCCAAGAAACTTGTATTTAGATGCATTTTACTTTAATTACATAAGTATTTTCATAACAAACAATACATGTGCTTGGGGGGTAAGGGTTTCTTTAACTAATCTAGTGGAAGAGACTCGAGTGCTAAAATCCACGGGTTAGGGGGCGCAAATTACTTGCCTTGCCCCGGGTGCTGACAACCCACGCTACGCTACTGCCACCATGTGCTTAAATATATTATATAAGTGTAACTAGAATGTCTCACCTAGGATTGGTAGCTATCCTAACCAATCCCATATATATCATATAAACATATGTGCAGCCAGAAAAATGAGTGCTGCTGTACTCTGCGTTTATGAGAGGTTCACTTTGAACTTTCAATATTTCAAGTACAATAGTAAATATCAGACTGACTACTCACCACCACCTCAATGAGGAAATATATGTAATGTTAGACAGGTAGGGACAAATCCATGGGCAGTTTAGGAAAATGATCTTACTTCCATTACCTTTCTAGCAGGAAAAAGAATTCTAAATATTTATTCCAAGATAAACTACAATTGACATGCTAACGTTACAGCATATTGAAAGCAGTTGTTATTTATAGTATCCAGGTCACCATTAATAAATGCATATCTACAGTAGATGGCAGGGCCTGACACATGTCCACTAATGACATGATAGTAAAACACTGGTTCTTGACTTTCAGTCAGGACCCAAATTATGTAATTAGTTTTTTTTATTGAATTATAAAACTAGGTCTGGAACCCATTCTGCAATAATATACAATGTATTAAAATACATTAGACACACATACTCACCTTTATCATTTCTTTGTACAATGTTACTCCTAGGTTTTATAAACTCTTTGCTTTCCTGCCAGACGTGGAGCTTTCTGTCCAAGATAAGTTATGCCTGTTACCTCATACATCCCATTGTTATAATCCTTTACTGTGGACTTCAAGAAACTCTATTTCATTACTTGGACATAAATATGGTAAGAGACAGTCCATATGTCTGGTATACTAGAAAACAAAGCTTATTTATATTGAGTCCTAACTGTGGACTAATTCCAAGGTTGCTATCAGAGTTATCCACTAAAGTTTGATGCTCAGAAATGAAAGTGAATTTCAAAATAACTGACCATAGGGACTTTTTATGCCTGAAATCTGTGATTCACTTTGAATTCTCTTCGATTTCCAGACAATTACTACTTTAATTGATACACTGTTAGTATCTCCCAGATGTTGGTTCTCTCAGTAGGGAAAATAAGAAAATAAGACATCCCCCCAAAATAAGTCCTAGTCGCAAGTTCGTTAATCTATGTTCGGGGAATTTTCTCCAAACATAGATTCGCAGGATTCCATTTGCGAGTAAGCTAATCTATGTTTGGGAATTTCCCGGAACGTAGACCTGTTTTCTAGCATTTGCTGCTGTTTTTCCCCGAAATAAGACATCCCCTGGAAATAAGCCCTAGTGCATTTTTTTGGTGGAAAATTAATATAAGACCCGGTCTTATTTTCGGGGAAAGACAATACTCCTCTGAAGACTTTATTTTAACCAGTATTACTGTTGTATTTGTTTTATTGATAAAGGCTTCCCTCGAGAAAATGGAGACCTGAACTCTCTATGTGAAAGGTAGCATTATTCAGAAAGGATAAATTAGGCAATATAAAGTGATGATTAGTTTAACTTTAAATAGATGGATGTAGTCGATCCCCGCACCTAGAAATAATGATGGTCTTTGTACGTTTTCTTTCCCCAGTTCTACCTGTTTGTTGGACATTCCGTGCTGACCTTTGCTGCTGGACTTGCTCTGACCATATTGCTTGAGAGACCATTTCAACAGTTACTTTCTATTTAAAATCATAACTGATAAGTGAAACCGTCTGGTCACACATTCATGGGCTCTTCTAAAATCTAAATCTAATTTATGTTTGCCAAGCTCTTCTGAGTTGTCAATTCCAGGCCACACTAAAAGGCACCACAATCAGAAAATTTTAGATATGTTATATTGTTTTTTCTCCTATAAAATAAAATCAACATTTGCTGCCTGTAGTATATTTTGTTTATTAGTATATAATTAGTATATTAGCCTGTAACATTATCTGTCAGATCACTAAAGACAGATAGATAATCTTTTGATCAGAGACCTAAGGTCTGGGATGTCATGTTTTCTTCTCTACCACCAAAGATGAAACCAATGCTTTTAAAAAGATGCATCATATACCAGTAAATAACT